CACCATACCTGGCTGGTTTTTATTATATATATAATATAATATATATCTATAGATATATATAGATATCTATAGATATAGATTTAGATATAGATATAGATATAGATATAGATATAGATATAGATATAGATATAGAAACAGTCTTGCTATGCAGTTCAGGCTGGTCTTGATCTCACTTTGTAGCCCAGGCTGGTCTCAAAGTTGCAACAGTCCTGCCTCAGCCTGCTGAGTGCTGGGATTACAGGCATGTGCCACCGTGCCCAGCTTGGTTTTTATAATTTTTAAACTAAATTTCATAGTAATCCTACTCACATGTTATTTAGCAGTAGTTTGGCATCTCATCTTATATGACACAAAATATATCATTATGGTAACAATTATGTTTTGCATAAACAGATTTGACTCCTTGTAAACAATTCTATTCTGAACAAAAGAATAGTAATTATACTGAAGAACAATATTTTAACTGGGAACATTTAATATCTCATTGATACCAGTCATTGTACAGAAATAATGGGGAGAATCAACTATGTTATTTTCAGTTATGCAGAGATTAAGAACACTAATATTAATAATCTGCACAACTCTACAAGGAGAAAATAGTATCCCCATTTTAGAAAGCAGACCTTCTGAAAGGTTTGTCTGAGATCTCATCTGGTAGCTTGCTACTGAGGCAGGACCAGGAACTACATGTGGTTTATTCCAACTGTGGACAGTCTTTTTTAACTGTATATCTTTTTTTTTGTCTTTTTTGAGACAGGGTCTCGCTGTGCAGTTCAGGCTGGCCTTGAGCTCACTTTGTAGCCTAGGCTGGTCTCAAATTCGCAGCGACCCTCCTACCTCAGCCTCCCGAATGCTGGGATTACAGGCATTAGCCACCGTGCTTAGCTAATTGTGTCTCTTTTTTATAATCTGAATGTGCTTTAATCTTAGATTTACTTCATGTATTGTCCATAATTATGCGTTTATAAATTCTGCAATGTGAAATACTGTTTCTGGTTCCCTTAATTTTTATGTCGAAGGTCATTATTTTTGAGTAATTAGTGACAACCCAGTAAAGAATACAGCCTGCCTAAATTTGGGGATTCCAGGGTGATCTCCTAGTGTAACTCCAAAGGAAAGTCAGAGTCCAGTATTCAGCTGGGTCTCTTATGGATAGAGTAAGGGAGTTAGTGGGATGGGTTTAGGGCCCAGTGGAATTGGGGGAGTGAGACTAAGCATGTGGCCATAGCCGTGGCCACTGTGACCTTGAGGTGGGCTGTGTGTGTCATATCTTAGCAGAATAGGCATTGTTGCTGGGTTCAAATGTGGGGAGCTGGATTGGGGATATAAATCAGCAGCATAAGCACCTGCCTGGCAAGTGCAAGGTCCTGAATTCAGTTCCCAGTACAAAAAAAAAACCAAACAAACAAACAAAAAAAGTGTGGGGGAGCTACAGAAAGTAGGAGTGAGCTGTAATTGGTCTGGGAGCTCAGGAAGTAAGTTGGCTGGTGTAGGGCAAATAGTGATCAGACCTGTCAATTTTTTGTTTTTCATCTTCCTTGACTTTATCGTGATGCTCTCTTGTTTTGTCTTTAGATCACAGTTTAGTCAGCTTGTTACTCGAACAGCTTGTTTCTGAGCAAACAGTCTCATTCTTGAGAGGTACAGCCTGTCCCTACCCAGAAGCTTAGATCATCTAGAAAGCAAAATCTTATTCATCATAAATGTGTTGCCATTGTTTGTTTCCTATTTCTTCCTTCCCTTTCAAATCTACAGCTTGTCCTCCAAATATCCTGTAATCCTCCAAATTTCCTCTCCATAACTAACTTTTATTTTATGCTGCTTTCTTATCCTCTGATGGTGCCATTCATCGCTTAGTGAATCAGCACAAGTGAGATCAGGTTTAACAAGTTTTGACATAGTTCAGATGAACCTTTCACACTTTGTAGACAGATGTTCCTGAAGAAAATGCGTGCTGTGGTTAGCAACCTCAGTGACATATGCATTCCGACAGTAGTTATTGTTACCATCACTTTTCTTACCTCCCATAAGCTTCATGAGTAACTCCTCCTGACTCAGGTTTCCTTTCCAAAGGAAAGGAAAAACCCTTCGGAACTTCAGTGGTACAGCACTGGTAATGTCACTGTCATGTATCTTTGTGAAGTCAGTTTTCTGATTTTCATCTTGGAATTGTTTTGCATTTTCCATTAGAATTCTAATCTTTAGAGACTCTTGGACAACTCTTAGCAAAGTCTTTTAATAAGCTGCCTGATCTTTGAGACTCAAGAGTTTATTTTTGTAAGCTAACTGATTCTTTCATAATCTGTTGTGTTCACTTATCTGTAGACATAGTGAGTTTTTATCTTTAGCAGGTCTCTATTATACTTTCTCTTAGTGGAGTGTATTTGAAGCAGAAAGGTACCCTTAAGGAATGTTAATGAAACTATCTTTTTTTCTAACAGCTGTGATAAGGGCAAATTAGCTGTTGATTCAGACTCAGAGAACTAAGGAGAACAAGAAAAAGTCTCAATGTGTTATATATTAGGTTGATGATAAAAGCCTCAGGTACTCCTGGAAAGGCCTCACCAGCAGAGTAGCTCTGATCATGTACTGTAAATGTTTGATGATGTGAGGAAGAAAAGAAAGAGAGAAGAAGGTGTTTTGTACATTCTTCGTTTTGAGAGGCAGTTTTGCACTACGGCTACAGAGTATGGATCCAGGTCTGAATCCTGCTACTTTGGGCAAATTCTTTAACTTATTTTTTCAGTTTCTTTTGTGAGGTGGCCTTTGTCCTCACCTTATATAGTTTATGTGTAGTATCAAAGTTGTGAAGCTTAGGTTATGTGGTATGTGTAATGTAATTCAGTAATCCTAATACATAGTAATGGGAAGGAAATTGTTTTGTTTTGTTTTGTTTGTCTTTTTCCTTTTTATCGGTACCGGGGATCGAACTCATGACTGCCTGCTTGCAAGGCAGGCGCTTATGCCGCTGAGCTAAATCTCCAGCCCCAGGAAATAGTTTTTGTTTTTCTCTGTAAAACCAATTTCCAAAGTAGTATTGCAGATCTTAGGCTGTTTGATAGCACAGGGAGTTATAAACATTTTTCTGATGAACTATATTTTAATAAGCCCTGTTTCTCTTTCCTTGACCTGTTGGGAACTGTTGCTGCAAATTTAGTGCATTGAGCTGCACAAAACAAGGAGGTCAGTGTGCTGTAGTAAGTGTCTGGTGCTCAGTATGTTCTCATTTAACCCAATACAATAATAAAGGAATAACAAACACTACCGTTCTTTTTCTCCTTGCCTTGCAACTGGATGGTTCACATTTGGACAAAGACAGTTTTTTGTTTTTGTTTTTGTTTTTGTTTTCAGAGTGACAACCTAGACTTTGGTATGAACTTGTTACTGAAGTTGCTGCTATAGTTGTGATTGCCAACTGGTATAACAGATGCTACACATTTAACTTCATGCAGAGCTTTCCTTGAATCACAGCTGACCATGAAAGAGGGTTACTGACAAATACAGTGTTCACTCAACATCCTTTTTAGAGGCCTTGCCACAACTGTTTTTAGGTGCATTAGCATTTCCTGGTATTCCTTCTGAGTCAACATCCAGGAATGTATAAACAAGGACAGCAGCAATTTGGGGACAGAGAACAAAGTGTTCATATATCTGTCTCTTAAAAATCACAGAGCAGCTCTTGTGCAAGTTAGGAGTAAACTAGGCCAGAGGCCGGGGCTTGGTTTGATAAACTCTTTTGCCAACGCCCAGCCTGAGAACAAGGGACTTTCCCTTTCCCTCATCATCTCTGTATTCTTCTGTGTTTGTGTATTTGTTTGCCTGCTTGTTTTCCTTTTTCTTTTCTTTCTTTCTTTTTTGTTTTTTTGGTACAGGAATCAAACTCACGACCTTGCGCTTGCCAGGCAGGTGCCATGCAGCTGAGCCGTATCTTTGGCTTTTTTTTTTTGGTCTTTTTGAGACACTTTCACTATGCAGTTTACACCAGCTTTGAACTAACTCACTGTGTCATTCAGGCTGGCCTTGAAGTCACAGCAGTCCTCCTGCCTCAGCTTCCCCATTGCAGAATTACAGTTGTGCACCACAATATCTGGCCTGGTTTTTTATTACTCTGTCTCTGATGTTTTTCATCTCATATTTGTTGTCCTTTTTTTGCTGCATTTTTCCCCATTGGCTCCTTTCTCTACTCTGATTATCCACTGTGGAATAATCCATTGTATACAGGATAACTGGACCATTATCATCAGAATTAGAAAATCCCTAAATCTTCTTTTTTCTCATATTATCTTCTATTAAAGGGAGCTAACTCATAGTGTGATCAGTGCGAGTGCTATTGCTCTTTTGGGTGGGATTCATTTTTAACAAGGAATTACAAGACAGTTCACCAATACCAGTGACACATTAGCAATCACTGTGACCACCTATTTCTATTCCCCCCCCCCACAAAATAGTGGTATAAATGTTGGTTTAGACCCACTGCGAGCTAGACAATTGGAAACATATTGCCCATGTGCTGAACTTAGCTGCTTATTATTAACCATTGTATGTAATTTGATAGAGCAACTTACTTGCCAAAGTCTTTATTGTCTAGATAAAACAAAGCTATTAAAACCTCAAAAGTTGTGCCACTTGAGACTATATCAGTCACTTTTTATTATGCAAATTCTACAATATTAGAAAATCTAAGATACCTTTTGGTATGTTTTGCATATGCATATGAAACATTTTCTTTAAGGAAAATATTGTTTTCATAAAGTTACTGGTTTATAAAATTAGTTATGTACCTGTGAGCTGTAGTTTTCTCAAAATACACTCATTTTTAATTTACAGGATTAAAGTATCTCTCTCTAAAATGATTTTAAAATATAGTACAAAGTGCATGTACATTTTAGAGTTTCTTATACTAGTGATTTTGAAATCTGCATATTAAGTTTGATGTTACAGTTTGCTAATGTTATATAAATAATGAAGTTTTGAAGTACTTTATTTATTTTATTTTTCAGAGAAACAGTTTGGAAGAGAACCGAGCATAGACAAAAGCGAAACAGAAGAAGAAACAAAAAGCATAATAGTCTTAGTGAAATCATGCTTGAAAACTCATTTGATGCCTTAAGTTATCTTGCACCAGGAGATCAGGACCCATATCCAAGTGAAAAAGAAGATTTTGAAAAGACCGAAAGAGAATCAGTTTGTCCCTTAACTACTGGCTTACAGAATGAATGTGGGGATTCTGTGAATGGTTATAAAGAAAATAGTTGGAATAACATAGATTCTGAAGATAGCTATCCAGATGTTGCACCTACAGTTGAGTCGGACAGCTCATCAAAGAATTGTCTCCCTATGGAAGATGATGACTTGTCATCAGTACCAAATGTTACTCGTCCAATAGGGACTCAGAATCTTCCCTGTGTAACAAGGAATGACTGCTATGGCAGGAAGGTAGAAAAACGTACTGGAAATAGACATAACTCAGCATTAGATACCCATGACCTATTTGCTGAAACTCCATGTTCATTTAGGAAGAAGAGAGAGAGAGTAGATAAAAATCTCTCAAACAAACCAGTCCCCTGCCATCAATGTATATCTAGACCTTCAGATGTTTTAAGAGAGGAACAAGGAGAACACAAAACTATGAATAATTGTTGGGCTTTTTTCACAGCCAATGTGTCTGATAAAGAATTACAGTTAGGCCCTGACAGACAACCCTCTTTTGGTAGCTGGCCAGAGGGAACTCATAAGTTTGTATGTGAACAAAGGCAAAAGAAAAACAGATCACGTAAACTGACCTGTCCTGACAGCAGAGAACAAATGATTAAATTGATTTCTACTGCTGAAGGAGCATCAGGACCAGCAAGCAGTCCAGAAATAGCAATAGAGGAGAAACTACTGATAGAAAATGAAGATTTGCTACCTTCAACTGAAACTACAGATTCATTCATAGAAACAGAAACAAATCTATTCGGAAGCCCTTTACTTCTAGATGTCCCAAAGAGTGCCTCAGAACCAACAAAGAATAAGATACAGAAAAGGATTTTCAATTTGGCACCAAACTGTAACTTACTGGAACAGAGTAATATCAATGCAAAAGAAAGGGAGAAATATGGCTTATTATCAGAAAACTGTGAACCAAGCCTTATTGTGGGAAAAGAAAATGATAAAATTTCAGAAATAAATAACAAAGAGGAGAAAAAGCAAAAAGTTATGGTCTTTAATAATCAACCATTGTGTTTTTACCTTGATATCAAAGATTCCCCACCAAATTTTGGTGGACAGTTTTATTCTCATTATATGTCACTTAACAGACCAGGACACACTGTATATTTTTACAAATATCCTGTTCCTTCTCTTGTACTACATTACATATCTAGCTTTTGGCTAGTACTTTCTACCAATAAAAAAACATTTTTGTCTTTCAAATCTCAGACAAGATTCAGCAATAAACTAAATAATATAGGGTTGTTTTCTTCAAAAATTTTAAGTGATCAAGCTCGTGCTTTGTGTTCTTTGAGAGTTACTTCTGAACCTCACTTTTTAAATCAGCCATTTGATGGCAAGCTAAAGAGATGGGAAGAATCGAAGCTATTACAATGCTTACCTACTAAGGACAGACAAGATTTAATAAACAGTGATTTTAATTTCCTTGGGCTACCATTATCACAAGACTTTGCTTTTCAACTAATAAAGGTTTTCGGATCTCCTGGGGTTCCAACAGGTAAATTGTTTTTACTTACTAAAAATAAATTATTGTAGTGTTTCTACCTGATATTAATCATTTTATGAAATGTATTGATCTTGTGATGTCTTTTAAGAATAAAAAGACATTTAACAGTGCCTGTATTTTTTTCTTTTTCTATTTTTTTGAGATAAGTTCTCATTATGCAGTTCAGCTGATCTTATACTCACTATGTTGTTAAGGCTGGCCTTAAACTCTCTGTGATCCTCCTGACTCAGCCTCCCAAGTGCTGGGGTTACAGGTGTGCACCACCATGCCCGGCTGTATAATTATTCATCTGTGTTAGGAATTCTGATGTCACATTTATATTTGTGAACTTTGTGAATAATCATCTTAACCATTTTTTTGAAGTTTTCTATCTGTTTTAATGTATGTGGAAAAAACCTTTTCCAAAACAAAACAAAACAAAAAAAACTTAAAATGCATTTGTTTTGGGAATTTTAAGTACAGAAGATAATTTAGGTCAGAGATATTAGTCCAAGATCCAGATTCTGAAATTTTGTACAGATTTTGTGTGTGTCACTTTGTGTCTATGTGTGTGTGTGTTTTTAAAGTACATAGACTACTTTAGCTTCTTAGTGGGATTTATAGATTAGCACCAGAAGGCACGAAGGCACTGGCGTAAAAAAATTCTGAAGTTCTTCCTTCCTTGAATGCACAATATCATCATAATCAGCAGTGATCAAGCACCCATTAAGTAAACCTTGGAAAGCTTTTTAGAGGAAATAGATCTCATTCATCAAATGGTTTACCTTCTAAATGGGGAGACCAAAACTAACAAAATGAAATCACCATATACAGAAAATATGACAAGAGAATGTTTTATGGGTGAGGTTAGCAGTGCTAAAGGGATTGTTGAAGAGAACATGGGTTATAGTTTTTTGTTTGGGATGGCTTCAGTATGGAAGTGCATTAGATGCAGTGTTTATACAGAGAAGGAATGTGGCTTGAAAGAAAAGAGAAAATTTTCATAGTTGGAAATTGTATATGCTTAAAAAGAGAGAGGAGGTAACTAAATGGAGGCTAAGTGGAGGAGGTAACTAAATGGAACTGGTTTGTTGGGCTGGCATGCACAATAAGCCAAGCTCTGGTGTATCATTGGTGGCTTTGTAAATAATGCAGAGATCTCAAATGAACTAGTGTTAGGAATTCTGCTGACTAAGATTATATAATACACAATATATAGACCGTAGAAAACCAACCTACCTATAATTCTAGGACTATGTGAGTATAGGGAAAAAGTTTTTTGTAGTTTGTTATGGCTGATGTATATTATGATTATATGTTTGGACTTGGTTGTGAGCATCCTAATTGTGAGGGGTTAAGCCTCTTACACACTCATACATGGAAAGAGCAATTTGCAGGAAGATCAAACTTCTAGAGTTGCAGTGTTTCATCCATGTCACAGGAAAGGATGACTACCTAAATTTTATGATTGTGACAATACTACTTGATATTACTAATATTATAGGTGTATATTGATATGCATATATTTTTATGCTTTTATGATATGAAAGACTTTTCATTGAGTCTGCATATTGTTTAATAATAGAGACGACACAAATTCCTATGTTACCCATCACATACTGTATTTGCTTATCTTCACATTTAGGATGAAAATCCTTGTGAAGCTAGAAATGCAATTTCTAACTCCCCTTTTTCCACAGAATCCTTGTCACCTGATAACTGTGTGATTCACCATGACTGGAAAACATTGAAGATGCTGTATTTGCAATGGAAGATGGCAGTAGAGGTACATTTTTTAAAAAAAATATATAGCTTTCAAAGAAAGTCTTCTGTAACTGAGTTTCTTTAAAAATAAAGTTGGAGAAAAATTTGTTCATCAAACTTAATAAGCAAGTGCTATATCCTATATGAAAGTAGAAAATATTATGGAGAAGGAGGATTATTTTTAAAAGTTAGAAAAAGATATTTGTGGTTGGGTAGATAACATTTACATATGTTTTTTTAAATAGTCCCAAGAGAAAGCTGCATCTGGTTTTTTTTTTTTTTAAGGTAGAGTACAATATATTTTTATTTTTTTCTTGAATTAGACATATAGGTATGCATATTGATCACATTCATCATAAGGAATTTGTGCCTGTGCATGACACAACTTGATTCTTTTTGTTTCCCATTCCCTTATCCTCCCTTCCACCTCCTTCTCCTCGTTATTTATGAAAGCTTCATTTCCATTTTTTCCCTTCCTTTCTCTCTGTTTTTTTTTTTTTTTTTTTAAGACAAAAGTTCTCACTATGTGGTCCAGGCTGGCCTTGAACTCACGGTGATCCTCTTGCCTCAGCATCCTCAGGGCTGTGATTACAGCTTTGCGCCACCACACCTGGCCTCATTTCATTTCTTTTGCATCTGGTTTTCAAAGTGAATTCATGCTGTGGATGACTCAGGTGTCCATTGTAGCAGAGTTCTTTATTCTTCACTACATTTTTCTCCAGCTTTGTCTTACCCTGATACGATAAAATAGCAGCTATAAACTAGATTTGTATTTACTTGACCTAGAAACATCTTGTTATTGGTGTGATCTGCTGATCTATAGTGAAAAACACAGCCGTTTTTGGAGGTTGTTCATTTTCTATGTGGCTGGAAGAGGACTGGCTTGAACCATTGGAAAGATAATAGATGAAAACTCTTCAAAAGCCAGTAAAATGGGGTGTCCAGGGTTTCTCTGATCATGTTAATAATGATGTAAATGATCCCAGAAACACTTTGAAATTGTGAAATGGAAGCTTAGTAGACGTTACAGAACTAATACCCTAAGATAGTAGGTGTTTCTTACTTGTTTATATAAGGACAACTGTAGATTTGTGTGTCCATATCATAAAATCAAGTGTACATTTTCATAAACCATTTATCCTTATGCCCATGGAGATTAGGTTACTTACACACACACACACACACACACACACACACACACACACACAGCAGTCCTTCAAACATTCAGACTGACATTTGTGGTAATACTTCTTTTGTCAATTTTAGGAAAATCTCTTCATGAGTAAAATGACAGTGCAAATTTAATTCCATGTCAAATATTAATCATTATATAATTCTAATTTTTAGAAAAAACAGAAGATGATACTGGCTAGAACTGAGAATTCCTTGAACTGTAAGTATAAATTATTCCAGAGATCTCTATATGATTAGAAGGAAGCTAACATTGACATTGATTGTAATAGCTCATGTGTACCACAGTTGAAGAGTAAAATATAAAAAATGTAGTTTGTTACCATAGCAACTCTGTGCTATTGTACATGTGATGGTTTTATTTTCTTTAAGTGTAGATTCCTTGTGTGTGTGTGTGTGTGTGTGTGTGTGTTGCTCCCAAATTTATTTTCTTACCTCATAGGTTTGAACATATTTGAGAACATGCTGATAATACAATTCATGAGAATTTTCCTCTGGGTTGGTATTTAACCAGGGCTAGGAATTACGGTTGTAGATTTTATTTAAATGCTTTATGAAGGAATCTCTAGGAAAAGAGGCAAAATGTATAGAAACATTCATTTTATATTTTAAACTTGACATCGAGCTGACATTAAAATAAACACATTGCACTTTTCCCCCAAATGCCTAAATTATGAAATAAACACAGCTGTTGCAATTTCACTGTGTAAGTGTCTGCATTTGGTAAGAATAGAATGCACTGTGCATTCACCGTATGCTTTCTTTCTTTAAGTCACTTCTAAGAATATTCTGTGTTTCTGTTTCTCAATGGGAAATACATGTATACTCCTAAAAATGTTGTGCGACTTTTAAACCTTCTTCTGCTGAAAGAAGAGGGACAAGAAGGGAAGATTTGGTAGAATACTTCAGAAGCTTGCAGAGACTACTAGAAAATGTGAGATAAATATTACACAGGAAGACTTAAGAAACTATAAGGAATTGTACAGAAAGGAGGTGAGGACTTTTATTTAACAAGTATGTATTGAGTTGCCTCATGTCAGACATCATTTTAGACACTGCCGAGACAGCAATGAAAACATTCCCGCCGTCCTGGACTTTATAGTACAGGGATGGAAGTTAGGAAGGCAGGAAACCCCACCTCACCGCCATGAAGCCACCCAGCGTGAGGCAGCACCAGTACAGCAGCAGTAAGCATAGCTCGATCAGGTGTCCTTTCTGCCTGCTAAATGTCTATATTTTATGTCAGGGTATTCTGGATTATAATTTTTACTTTGATGTTGCTCTTCCACATGTACTTGAAACTGCCCTGTAAAGACCCAGTCTTCTCACCACACAGTGTGCCGCTAATTCTGAAACTTTCATTACTTGGACGTTTTTGAGTATAAGTGTTGTAGCCAATGTTTTTTGTCTTTGAGACAGGGTTTTGCTAATGCAATTCAGGCTGGCCTTGAGCTCACTTTGTAACCCAAGCTCCTCTTGAACTTGAAAGGCTCCCTCCAGAGTGCTGAGCGTACAGGTGTGCGCCACCACGCCTGGCTATCAAATTTGTTTCTTTTACAATTACTTTGAGAAAGGGCTCCCTCATTTTGTGTTTGGCATAAGGCACTGACCAGTAAGTCTTAAAGAGTAAATAATAATTTAGAAAGAAGGAACTAGCAGAAGAATCTGTTTGGCTCTGGGAAACACAAAGCCCTGCCTGCTTCAAAGTATTTCTCCTGCTGGTTGCCTGGGTGTTAGTTAACACTGTGACACACCTGTGCGGGAGTAGGGGCGCCTGACTAAGAGAACGGGGTCCTAACAGAGCTGCTGCCTGCCTGCATGACTTTAAACCAGTTGTCTTCTCTAAACAAGTTACTTTCTCAGAGCCTCAATTTCTTCACCAAAGAAAAAATCAGTTTATAATACCAACCTGTCATGAGACATTAAATGAGGATTAAATGAACTAACTTGTGCAAAATATGTTGTGTAATACCCGAGAAATAATAGGCTCTTACTAAGAGTTAATGCTCTTCATCTAAATACCTCCTTGAACTTTAAAAAGCATTGCTTTTGAAATGCCCCCTGAAAAGCAGAAATTGGTGTAATCTAGGAGGAGGAATATATTGATCCAGGAAACTTGTTAACATATTTGCATGAATTAGTGTAATTATTATTGACGTTTTATAATATAATTGACTAGACCGTAGGAAATGGGATGCTGGGACAGGCACTTGGCCACTCGAAGGGAGTGGGTTCTTGGATGAGGTAGGACCAGGCAGAATGTGCAACAAAGGACAGTTTGAAGTCTTAGATGCCAAAGGAGTCACATAACAAGGAGAGCAAAGAGTGGGAACCTGGAAGCAAACTGTCCCTGTAACCATTTTGTCTGGATGTGTCTGGGTTTGTGTTTTGTCATAGTTGGGTTGTCTGATCTCCTTGGTGCTGCTGAAAATCGTGCTCATCAAGCAAAGTCAGAGTACTCTGTGTGGACCCAGAAGATTCTTTCCAGGGATGGACCCATGGGATACTCAAGCTGGTTTGGATAATCTATTAAAAGTGTTATCTGAATAATGACAAACTCAGCAGGAGAGGTAACAGTTTAAACATCATATTATCTACTTTGAAGATGTTTGCTGTTATTTTATTTTGTTTTATAGAAGAAAATAAGGCACACAACACTTACATAGCTTATCTTTTTAGATTGTATCAGTTTGGAAGGGTAGACCATATATTCAAGTGTTGATCTATGATTGCGTTTCTAGAATTGTGAATTCCAAAAGGCTTAGAGAACTAAAAGTTTTGTTTTTCAATTTTTATTGTGGTAAAATATGAAAAAAACTTACCATCTTAACCATTCTTAAAAATATTATAAATGCATTCATAGTGTCCCAACATCACCACTGTCCATCTGCAGAACTCTTACTTTGTAAACTGTAACTCTGTACTCATTATATATTAATGGACCATCTCTTTTCCCTTTATCTCTGGAAGCCACTGGTTTGTTTTTTGGTGTGTGATTAAAAAACTGCAGTAAATCAGAAGCTAAGCCTAATTCCAACAGGATGTTATTTTATTCCTTGTATCCCAGTTGGTGTGTATGCAAGTGTATTCATATATTTCATTGTAGAAATATTAATGTAGTCAATGACTAGGGGCTGCCCAGACGCTACTCAGAATGTAAGGCAATGTGTACACTTGTACTTTACTACTGCAATAGACACTTTCTGAGTTTGGAAACATAGCTGACCTCCAGGATTTTGGTTAAGGATTGTGGCATGTATAGTGTATTGTTTTGCTCTTTAATTCCATTTTAGCTTAGATATACTTAAAATATAACAATACATTTTTAAAAATAAGAAGCATGATTGTCTACTCACTGTCTGCCACACAGACGTTTAATTATTCCCTCTTTTCCAGAAAGGGTACCCCACTTGTCTTAAACCCTTCCTCACAGATCTTTTGTTTTACCTTCTCCAGGAGACAACCTTGTGGGCCTGGGGGAGGGGACTTTCATGTCTTTCTTTTTGGACTGGAGGAGATGATGACTGATGCTGGGGGCTGAACTGAGTAACTTGTTGGTGCTGTACTACCGATCACACACCCCTCAAGGTCTCTCTTAAACAGACTTGGTGGTCACTTTTCTGTTTAAAGCCCTACGTCTGGCCCCACATCATTCAGTTCCTGGGATTCAGGGGTTATGGAGTATATATTGTGTTTCCTGGCTAACTATAATTCATATATCTTTTTGGCAAAATTAAGCAGTACTTGGCTTGTGGTCTCTAATTTCCAAGATTCTGTTGCTGTGATTTTTTTCTCTCTTATAGTTTATACTTAAAATAAAAATAACATAGCAAGCACTGCCTCCAAACATTCCCAAACTAACCTCCTTTATATTTTAATGTAGTTATAAGAGTAGAAATTAAATGTTGGTGTTCAAGCAGCCATTATTTTTGAGAATTTAGAATGCAGTGCTTTCTTTAAAATGGCTCACTGTTTTCCCCTGTTCCTCTTACACACACAGTTAAAAGCTTTGCACGTGACATACTTTAATCATTCCCCCCCCCTTCTCCCTTGCCCCACCCCCCGTAGTTTCATACTGGGGAAGTCACTGTGTATGATGTGTTTTGATCACACTCATCCCTCCTTGCACGCCCCTTCTGTCTGCTGTGCTGCCCCCTTATTCCCTCTCAGGGTTTAATTTACCCTGCAATTAGACTGTAGGCCTCTTCTGGTCTGCAGGATGTGATTGTACCGCACAGCCCCTGGAGCTGCCGTGTGGCACAGGGCGGGCAGCTTCCCCGCAGATATGACCAGAACTGCCGTGCTGATGTATTCCGTATGACTTTTCTTTCTCGTTCCTTTTTTTCTAAACTCTTTTCTTTTTTCCCTCCCTCTGCCTTTCTCTTGTTGTCTCTCTGTCAGTCTGTCTGCCTCTGTTTCTCTCTCTTCAGTACTGACCCAGCACATTGTGCATGCTAGACACGTGCTCTACCACTGAGGCAGCCTTTTCTTTTTTCTTTTTTTTCAAGACAGAGCCTTGCTAACTTACAGTCCTGTTGCTTCAGATGAGTGGCTGAGATTACAAATGGGGTACACTTGTCTTCTTACTGCTTCCTAAAGGCTTCCTCAGGCTTCTAGAGAAAATAAAGAGCCAGGAGAGGGCTGAGCTAGGGAGAGGGGGTGACTTCAGACAGTGTGGTCCTGAGGAACTGGAAAGCAGACCTTGTTGACTGTTTAATGTGAGGACTGAGCAAAGGAAAGTGCCTGGGGTCACTTTTCTGGGCTGCTGCTCTCTGAAACTGCCCCTCCTCCGGGAGACCTTAACTGCTGGTGTTCCCAGGGCCCGGAGCCCTGGGCTGTCTGCTGGGCTCTATCCCCTCACAGGTGCAAGAGTTCCCAAAGCTGTCTCCAATCTAGTCTCTCTTCCGAGGACTCGTGTCAGTCCACCTGCTAGAGGCACTGCAAGACTGTGCCAAGAACCTCATTATCAAACCCTCATGTCTTCCGCCTGCCTACACGGCCTCAGAACCCCAGAGAACGAAGCGGAAGCGGTGGAGCTCTCAGGCAGCACTATCCAATAGAAACATCGTGCAAGACGCTTTTGAAAAGCCACATTAAAACAGTAAAAAGAAACAAGGAAAAATTTAATACTGTAGTAAACTAAATTTATCTAACATCTTTAAATGTGTAATCAATATAAAAATTACTGAGATATTTCTTTTTATAAGGAAGCTTTGAAATGTAGTGTATTTAATCGGTTTGGACGAGCCACATTGCAACGCTCAACAGCCGCATGTGAGCTGTAGTCCCATACTGGACAGAGATGATGTAGAATGAAGAAGATAGTGAACAAAAACTCTCTCATAAAAACAGAGGCCTGTGTTCACTCCCCACACCTGGGGGGGGGTGTCTCACAACAGGGATGCATGGATCATAAACGTCACTGTTATGACTCATGTACAGCATTTTCTGCTCCTCATGGTTTACTCCTGATATTCAGAGTAACTTGCAATTCCATTGCTTTTTAGTGTTGATAAGAATCAAGAACACATACTATCTGCCAAAGCTGGAAAGGGCTTTTCTTTCTTCTTTTCTTCTTTTCTTGGTACCAGAGATCGAACTCATGACCTTGCACTTGACAGGCAGGCACTTATGCCACTCAGCTAAAATCCCCGGCCCTGGTAAAGGGATTTTCAAGGGAAAGTAACTCATCAACACCCCGCCCCCCCCCATTCCTCACTCTCCATTCCCCACCCCCACAGGGAAGTCCCTACCTAAAGATCAACGTGAGTCCCCTGCCCAGAGATTCCTGTTCACAATTGTCATATAGTAGATGCCAAAAACAATTTACTTTATATAATTATTACACTCAAACCCCCACACATAGGTTTTCTAGGATTAGCGTTTTAAATATTGTCTCTTTCAGTCCAGAAAATAGGATTATCATATTACTCCTGCGTGTGAAATACTAGTCACTATAATGATCAACTGGTGGGTGTGCACCATCCTGGAACTGATTTGTAAAGAGTTCCAGGAGAGTCAGTTCCAGCAGATTCTGCCACTGCTCTGGAATCTAAACTGTTCCCCGAGAGGCTGTCTCTTTTCCTAGGACAGCAGTTAGCTGCCAGGGCTACCACGCTTAATAACTCACAAGTCAGTCTGAGGCTTAAAGAGTGCTTTTCTTTGGAGGAAGATGACGCAGTAAGTTATGGAGAGTCAGTAAAGCTTTGTAAGAATATTTTTTTGGCAGGCCAATAAAAAAAGGTAAGAGATACAGGCTGTGGAGTGTGCGTTAGCCCTCTGGATGTCAGCCAGATGTTGGTGCACATAATGGGGGACCTCACTGGCCTTGCGTATTACTATTAAAAATGTTGCTCACATCTTTTAATCGTCAAGAAAAATTATTTCAAGGACTAGACCGATCCGAAGTGGGGAGGGGAGGGCTTCTGCCAGGGGCCCGGTTTGCACGGCAGCTTTAGATAAATGTCTCAGCGTCCCACTGGACAGGTACCCTTCCCTCTGGGAAAGGGCACCGGGAGCCTGGAGGGAGAGCTGGGGCGGCGTCTCGCGTTTTCCCGACTGCCAGCCTCCCAGCGTCCCCAGCTCCCAGGTAGGGACGCCCCCTCCCCGGCAGCGTGGTTCGCGCGGGCCGGAGGCTGGGAGGAGGGGCTGGGCTCGAGCGCCCGCCCCCATCTATCACATGGCCGAAGAGTCACAAAAACAACAGCTTTGGACGAGACCGCGACTCCAGGAAGGGAACCCGGGCCCTCGCAGCAGCCCCCTCCCATGGAGGACGGTTTCCTCGAGTCGTTCGGGAGGCTGAGCCTCCGACAGCAGCCGCAGCAGCCGCGTTCTCGGCCGCCGCCCCCGCGGGGGCCGCCTCCGCGCCGCCACAGCTTTAGGAAACACCTCTACCTCCTGCGAGGCCTCCCGGGCTCGGGGAAAACCACACTGGCCAGGTAATGAGCGCGGCCTGGGCGTCGGCGTGCGGGCCCGGGGCCACTGCGCGCCCCTGCCCGGAGCCGGGCGCGCCCACCCCAGGCGCTCGCCCGGGTCCCGGCCCCGGCCCTGGCCGGAGCCTGGCCGCGCGCGGAGCACCATCGCCGCCGCTGCCCCCGGGGACCGCCGCGGCCCCTGCGCCCCCGCCGCCCTCGGAGAGGAGGGTGCTCGTCTCGCTTCCCGCTGCGCTTCCCCGGGAGGACGGATTTCGGCACTGCGCCTTGCGCAAGCCCCCGAGGGCACCGGGCCACCGCGGCGCGCCCGGCCTGGTGCCAGCTGGGCCGAGGCAGCCTTCGCCGCCCCCAGCCTCCCCAGCCCCGAGCCCGGAAGGCTGGCGGGGACTCTTCTTCGGGAAATCCCGGTGGCGATCGCAGAGAAAACCGCCGGGCGGCCCGCTCGAGCGCAGGCAGCCGCCACGCTGCGTCAACAGGCGTTTTTACGAAGCGAATGCACAGGGTCCCGGGGACTGGGGTCTGGGGCACCAGAGGTGGTGGCCGGGGCTGGCGGCCCACTTTGAAAATCTGCTTGGATTCAGGCAGCCTGAGTTTGCTTTGGCAGCTGCGAAGGCTCCCAGGTACCCGGGGGAGGGGGCTGGCGCCACCACCGACCGCCTCTGACAGCCTCGCCATAGCACCCGAATTCGTTTACTTGGGAATTGCGTAAGCAGCTCCCCCGTTACCAGGTCGGCGGGAATTACGCGGGCTTGTTACTCGCAACCACCTTGCTAGGCCCTCCGCGCCAGCCTGAACTCCCACCACTCACTGTCTTGCACTTGACATCCCAGTTACGTTGGACTGTTCATCTCCTGTAAACCCAGCTGTTTCTCCCGGAGGCCGGGGCTGACGCTGGCCCGCCTCCCTTTGCCCGACTGATTCTACTAGCCTTTTAAAACTCAGCTCTGTTACCTTCCCCTTACCTGGTGCTGGCTCTCCCGCCAGTAGATGCCCTCTTGCAGGCTCTTTGGCCTCCTGTTTACAGCTCTGTGACTATGACTGCTTTTGCACATGGCTTTGTTTATCCTTCTGTAAGTTTCTTAAAGGTAAGGACCAAATCGTATCCTACCATTTACCTTGTCTAGCACGTAGTAGATATTCAGTCTTGAAGAGTGGCCTTTGCCTTCCCGGAGCCTTCCATGCCATTGGGGAGAAAAGGCTGGCCACAGGGCAGTGGAACTGTCAAAGACCGAGGTGTCCACAGTCGGCTGCTGGCTTTCCTGGGGCCCGGACAATGACCTTAGGATGAGCACCCAAGCCCTCTGGATACGCGGGAACCGAGACAGCGTCAGTCAGATGCTGCCGATTTTTATTAGGATTCTGTTTGATTTGTGTAGAGGCCTTTAGCCAAAAACAAACAACATACACACACTTGCGGGTTAAAAGAATGGGAGACTTTCGGAGGACCCCTGCTACCCTTTTCTGAGACACAGACAGTTTTCAGTGGGTGTCCTGTCTGGTTCCTGGAAAAGCAGAGGATGGCACTAGAGTTGGAAGCCTCCTTAGCACCCAGAATTACTTGGTTATTTTGTGTTATGGTGGGTACATCTGTCATCAACCAAGTATCTTGTGGATGTCAAAACCTATTTAATTTCACTTTTACTTTGTGGTCTATGGTCTGTCACAGATGTGTCAAAGAATAAAGTAAACATTTTTGGCCCAGTTTGGTTTTGAGCCGTAACATGATTATGGAGCCAAACATAAGGGTTTCAGACCTCACATTTCCTCATCTGTAAAGTGGGTGGTGTGGTCTTTAAGGTCCTTTCTGTCTCTAATGTTTTACACTTTTAGGATTTCAGTTCCCGGTTGACATTTGACTAAGCAGAAGACATATGATGAGAGATCAGCTTATTAAAGAACATCTCTGAGTACTGGCTGAGAACTTTGAAGATGATGCCTTTAGATCTCCTGTACTTGGTCACCCCCTAGCTGGCAACTTTGTGCAATCCCATGAGGCCCTTCTGTAGGCCTCAGTTCCTTATATGTGACTACTGAGAGGTGATTAGGTGAGAGGATGTATTCCAGATCCTTCTGGCTTTTAATGTCCAGGCATTAGACTTTAAAATGGCTGGCTAATAATAGCTGGATAAAGAACTTCAGCTTGCCAGCCAACTTAGGGCTTCCTTCAGAGCTCTGCTACTCACTAGCTATGTTGTTCAACCCCATGGCTCAGTTTCCTCCCTTGCCCAATGGAATATCCCCTTGCCCTGCCTCATAAGGCTGCGGTAAAGATTAAATGTGTACAGAAGACACATTTCTAAAGAGTTTGAAGTGCTGTATAAATTTTAAGAGATACTATTGTTTTTTGTGGTTGATCATATGGGCTCCATCTTGAGTGGCACTAGGGGGGGGCCTTGGCATGCTTTGGGGTGGGCATTTACCTTACATCAAGGTCTGGAAATAAGCAAGGAAACAAGCTACATTTCAGCAAGACAGGAGGCCCGCGGTGGGGATGAAATGGGAAGCAGTTGAAGGATGGCCCTCAAGGAGCAGTCTTCCCCACTCTTGGTGTGGCAGGGTGGGAGAGGAGCACGGCCAACTGTTTTTAAATGCACATGTATAGATAATAGTAAAACTGTAAGGTTATCTTATATGTTTGTTGGATCCTGGGAAATTCACATTTTTCTCTGTGTGTTTTCTAAATTTTCTATAATGCATATGTATTTCTTAAATCAGAATAATAAAAATGTTTTCTTTAAAAATTGGAGAAAATCAGTTTTTACAAATGTGGGTTCATCTTTTTCTGCTTAACCTTTTTCGTTTGATTAAATAACTAATAAAAATCTTTTCTTGAAATTAGGTTATGTCTTGTCTTCCAAGTCAATGTTAGATTTCTATGCCTTTCACCTGTATGTTTTCATAGTTCAATGTGACTAGGTTGTAGAAAACATCTATTTAAATTCTTTGAATATGTTAAAAAGGTAGTTGGAGTTTTACCTGGTTTAAATATTTTAAGTATATCGGAGTGCAAAAATTAGTATGCCCCTAAACCTGTTTTATCTCTATTTTATTCAAACACTGTTTTTTTAAATAGGTTCTTACCATTGACCTGTAAGATCCACTTCCAGGAGCTCATCCTAAGAAAATAATTGGACAAGTACGTGAAGAGAGGAATGTTCATCACAGAATTTTTTTGTGTAATAAAAACCATGGGACAATTTAAATGTTCAGAAAGAAAGGATTGGCTTATAAGTCACGTAGTCATTATGGAAACATAGATGTATATTTGGTCTGTAAATGTATTGTTCCTTTAAAAAACTTAAAAAGACACACACAGGCACACACGTATTTTCTGTCCTAAGAAGTCTATGTATATGCATACAAAAATGTGTACAAAGATCAGTGTTTTTTGGTAATTGTTGACTTTAGCTAGTGGATTATAGACTTTTACCTCTAGGTTTATTTTCCAATTTCTTACAACAAATACAAATAAATAGATACATGTATATATACAAATATACAATTTTCAAATGTGAAAATTAAGGCACTATTGAGTAAAAGGCTTTGTTTAATGGCTTACCTAGCTAGATCTAGAGGTTTTATGAGATAGCCTTATTATGTAAGTAAATATGTCATTTGCCATATTAAAAGGCTTTCCTAGATTAATTCTCATTTGGACATAAACTAGGAAGCTCTTTTACCCTCAAAGATGGGTTTTTAGTGACTTACTAAATTTTACCTGATTTTAATAAGCATCTATCACTTTATTCCTCAGTACTTCAGATATATTTTAGTAAAATGGAGCTAATATTGCATTTTATTTTGAAGATTTTAGATACTGTGGTAAACACAGACCCTGCAGTTAGATATATGGATTAATCACTGTGGAGTGTGTTATTTATGGTGCCAAATGTTCATTATCGGTCATTAATCAACTGTAACACTGTTCACTGAGTACATGTAAAACTGTGAACACTTACTCCATAAGGCGTACACCAAATAAAGTTAAGCGAAGTTGCCTACACAAGACTAACAAGTGGAAGTCAGTAACCAGTGCTCTGTTGGGGTAAGTAAAGTCCAGTAGCATTCCACATACTCACAGTGTTCAAGGCCAAGGGAACCAGTGAGTTACCTAGTTCAGGCTAGTTAGGCCCAGAGTGTCTCCTGCACTAGGAGCGGGTCCTTGAGCTGGCCTTGAAGGAGGGTAGGGCCAATGGCAGCGTCAGGAAGGAGACAGAGATGGGAAAGGGGGGTTCTCCTGGCCTTGGCCAGGACGCTTCATAGCAGTCGGAGTACTAGACAGGTGATCCTGGGTTAGGTCATAGCAGTGAAAACTGACAGAAGACCCCACAGAAGGAAGACTTCCCGTAGCAAGAGCCTTTCACTCACCCTGTGACCCAGAGCCATTCCCATAGCTGATGTAATAAACTGGATCTATTGCTGTCGTTTGCTTTGGCTGCAGTGAGAGCATCTGTAGTGAGCACCTGTGCTTTCTCTGTGTGTGGTCAGATGTCTTCCTGTCTGTACATTTTCACCTTTTTTAAGTATTAAAAAGCAGTGGCATTAATTATATACATGATACTGTGCAGCCATCCTGCTATTTCAAGTTTTTTTTATCACCTCCCAAAAGAAGCTCTGTGCCCATTAAATAATAAGTCACTGTTCTGTGGGCGTGGTGGTGCACTCCTGTAATCCCAACGCAGGATGGTGGATCACTGCAAGTTTGAGACCAGCCTGGGCTACAAAGTGAGCTCGAGGCCAGCCTGAACAGCGGAGCGAGACCCCGTCTCACAAAGAGACACACACACACACACACACACACACACACACACACACACACACACGCGCGCGCAGAATCACTGTTCTTCCTCCCTCATTACAAACTAAGCTACTTGCTGCCTCTGTGTGTTTTTGCCTTTTCTAAGAGCCTCATGCAAGCAGATTAGTTTTTGTCCTTTTTCATTGGCTTTTTGTCCTTTTTCATTTTGTTTTCAAAGGTCTGTACATGTTGTAACATGTGTCAGAACTTCATTATTTTATGTCTGAATAAAATGCTACTAAATGTTCTTTTGGAATGGCAATAATAGTGTTGCTTTTGTTTCTTTTTTTAAAAAATAACTTTATTTGGAAAATTAAAAATCATCAACCTCATATCAGTTCCTGGAATTATTTTGAGCCTTTACACCTCAAAGCCAAGTCTGGGAACTACGCTGTGGTACATGGTGCATGTTTGTCATGTTCTAGCCCCTTTTGGCACCATCATAAACGATGTGTAATGTGGATTCAGTCGGGCTGAAAGGGTGCTTGCTGATGGCTTTTTTTCTCATTCCTGTTTCTGGTTAACAGTTTTCCATCAAGAGAAATACCATTTGGTGATTCCTCAATGCTAGCATTTTCTAAGGCAGTAGAGGGGTACTTTTCTAATATGAGGCAATAACACAGAGATGGGGAGAAGTGTATACAGCTGAGCAAGCAGTGGGATCCAGGAAGCAGTCAGGACGGGAGACCAGGTCGGGTCACTAGTGGTGTCAGTCTGACTTCTGAGTACGCTATGCTGACAGCCACCTGCACCTTGGTGTTGCTGTCCACGCAGCCACGTCCCACTCAGGTCAAAGTAGAAAGTCTGTGTATATCAAATAGAGTATCTGGCGGGGCTTAGCCCAGATTTCTAGATATTTAGCTCTACTTAGAAATTGATCACTAGAGTTTTAAATATTTCATGATTTTCTTAAACAGTCCAAAGTCTCCTCTAAGGAGAAAACTTAAAATGCCTCTCTCTGGATGAGAAGATGATTGAGAGCTGGCAGCGCTGCACACATTTCCTAAGAGTGGTATGGTGTTGTGCCACGTGTCTGCAGTCACTAGACAGACTTGTCAGGAAGTGTTCGCTACACAGGAGACACCACCGTCCTGTTCCTGGAGCTTTTGGGACAATGAAGGAAGACGCTGCTGACTTGTGGCCACGTTGTACCACACGTGTGAGCCACAATTTGAGCGCAGGTAGAAGCGGATGAGGGGCATTTTTGTAGTAAAAGCTCAAGAGATGTGTAAGAAGTTCCTTGAGTTCACCTAGTTCAGGCCCAAGACATGAAACTTGATCAATTTCTTGATCCTGCTTCTAATCCAGAGCGTTTTCTTCTATATGAAAGAGGGTAGCAGGAGTGACCTGGTCAAAGTGTAATGAGGTAGTTTTGATCTGTTGTAATGAAAACAACACTTAAAGACTCAGAGGGGAAAAAAGACTTGTGGGGCTAAATTAACCTGGATTTCACCTGTCAGGGTAAGGAAGCTACTTTTTATTGTTATTTATCAATACTAATAATATGTTTGTCTCCTAATTGAAAAACTATAACCCAGGGATGCTTTTTGTCTTGTTAATATGTTACAATTGGGGGCAGTGGAGAACAAAAGATTTAGATTTTAAATAAATATTCTGATTATGATATGTTGGAGAGAGTTATCAATTCCCAACTCCCAGGGATCTAGATCTGCTCACCTAATAGACTATTTATTACTCAAATTAACTTCTTCTTGGCATTTCAGTAAAATCTATTTAATGGCACCTTCCTAGATTCAGATACTAGACCAGCCCAATAAGAAATTATTTTTTTATCATTGTAAGTGACCTAAAGACACCTGGCTCTGTGGGGTTGAGTACATAGTGTGATAAAGAAAAGCTAGCCTAATTTCTAATTGTTCCTTCATAAGGCTGTCTGTCGGATCATGTGTGTGGCTTGGGGAGAAGGCTATCTGTTTTTATCAGGTAAGAATCTGGGAAGGCGGAAGGGAAAAACAGAACCAAAAAGCCAACACACAGAAAATACTGACCGTGTGCCTGGTGCTTTCTAGACACTGGGGTGTTCAATCTTCACAATAACTCTGTGAACACAGAGGTCATTTTCCTTTATAGATGAGTACATTAGCATCAGGGGACCGCATCTGACACCTCACTAGGGATGTCTTGAACCAGTACACCTCCACCTCCTGCTCAGTTTCTAAGGATTCTGTTGAACTGCCATTGCACTGCTGGATCTTTTGAGGTTCTTTCCCGTGTTTTAAGGATGTGATGAAGAACACAGTTTGGGAGAAGCTTTCTGTGCTGGCTAGCACCTCTTCAGCAGCCTTTGTCCTGTGTCCGTCTTGACTGTCTTTTCTACATGTGGCACATAGTAAGATTCACTACATAACTGATGAACAGATTTGCTATTGAGAAGCTTCTGAGAGATGGGAGCTAGACTTCAGCGTGGTTCTTGAGAAAATCACAAGACAGATTATTCACATAAAAATGCAAAAGAATGCTATGTGGAGAATAAAGGAGTTTCAAAAAAAAAAAAAGAATAGTCACCATAAAATTAGATGCACAGAAAACTTTTTTTTTTTAACATTTGAGAATGTTTGATGTGCCAGTTGCTCTGAGTTATACTAAAACAATTTACAAAATTAGGGTCAGGTGCACCCGCTGTCCTCATTAATCACTCAAAAGAGAGCCCAAGATGGATTATTTTCTTGGATGGCCAGTCTTCTGCTATCTGTAACTGATATGATGCTGGGAGACAAAAGCTAAAACAAAGTACCGAGGCAGGTGTGCCTGATCCCTTTCTCAGCCCTGAGTGTTACTGCACTAAGCAACACACACAGGAGAAACCCGAACCATTGCTACGTTCTGCAGAAGGGCGCTGCCTACAGGCAGGAAAGTGAGCACGAAGTGGGACCATGTAGATAAGTGACAGCAAGGTAACAACAGGGACTGTGCATTTTCCATCTCATAAACAGGCCCCAGTGTGGAGGCCTGAGGGGTACAAGGCCAGACAGCAGAAGGACAGCTGGGAACTTGTGGAGTCACTCAGCCTTCGTGGCTTGGTGATACAGGGCTGGCAGTGTGTGTAACAGGTATCTCCAAGGGCAGGGCTCAGCCGTGGCAAGGTGGATGGCAGCTTGTGAAGGCCAGGAAACGTGAGGGGGGGGGGGAGACTGTCCCATGGTGTACAGCCAGGCTCCTGCCCCGTTCTCAGGCTGCTGGGTCTCCTGCTTCCATTTTAAAGTACTCTGGAAGGATTCTAGTAGCACCCACAGGAAGTACTAGGATCTAAGCTCTTTACGCTCAGTCTCCTCTAAGGGATAAACCTGAGGTTTGGGTAAAATTCTCATTATCCATAGATGAAAAATTTTCCTCACATGGTTTAGGACCCTGTAGAAAGAGTTCACATAATTAGTCAAGAAAGCATTATAGGAGCTGGGGATTTAGCTCAGTGGCATAAGCACCTGCCTTGCAAGCAGGCAGTTGTGAGTTCGATCCCTGGTACCGATAAAAAGAGAAAAAGAAAAAAAGCATTTATAGTCATGAACCATTCATATATTCACCAAATTTATTATCTCCCACGTGCCTGGCATTTTTTTCTGGATGCTTCAAATAGAGCAGCAGACAAAAGACAAAAATCCCTGCCTTCATGGAACATAGGGGTTTTTTCTAAAATATTTTCTGAAGGAAAATTGAGATAGCATGTGCTTTGGTCTATTGTCTCAAAACAAATGACTCCTACAGCTACTCCACTTGAGGTGCACGCCACAAGAGTCATCCATGGGTGCCCATAAGACAGGTACAGTGAAGCTCATGCAACTGCATGCATCAGAGGGAAAGCTGCAAACCTGAAGATCACCAGAAAAAGGCATCAGTAAACAGGTTTATAACTTCATAGTGCTCAAGCATAATGGTTTCCTGTGGAGCTCCAGGATCGGAAACCTGGCTTTTAATCCAGCTGCACCACTCATTGGTCGGCAACATGGGGTTAATAACAGTATTTATCTCCCAGGATTATTTGAGCCTTCCATTAGAAATGTGAAGCTATTAGAATAGTGCATAGCACAAAATAACTTAATATTAGATATGTTTATATTGCTGATAATGGAGTACTACGTAGCAGTTAAAAGTAATGGACTGTATGTATCAGCATGAATAAATCTAAAATATATAATGCTCCATTTTTTTCATTCCATAAATATTTATTGAGTGTCTACTATGTTCCAGGTAGTGTTCTAGGTACTTGGGAATCACCAGTGAACAAAACACAGATCCTGCCCATGTGGACCTTGTATACCAGAGGTAGGGAAATGGATATAAAACATAAGGGAATTATGTGCTACATTAGGAGATGATAAGTAATGTGACAAGGGGGAAGTGAAGGAAAATATGGGGAATGCCAGAGTTAAGGTGCCGAGTTGGGTGAATGTTAAGACAACAAAATACATGTGAGAAAATGTTAATGATTAACTCCAGGTGGTGAGTATACAGGTTTTTATTATATTATTCCTTTTGTTGTTCTCTATATTTAAAAACTTACATTTATATGGTATATTCCTGTCTTTGATACAAAAGGAAAAAAACGAGTCTGAAATATTAAGGTAGTTGACTAAGAAGTAAACATTTAAAAGAAGCTAAATGAGATACATATTTTTTGAAAGATTCTAAAATAAATGTTGGAGCTTTAATGTTCATGAGAGATGGGGCTGAGCAGACCCACAATGCAAAAAATGAGAAGTCCTGCAGTAGTTAAATGTGGGAGCCAATGTAATCAGAATAAATATAAACAGGCAACAGTCACAACTAGGACATTTCTTAGTTGGAGACTCAGAAGTGATAAACAGTAAATTCAGGCCTAGGCATGGATGTCATGCTAACTGCTGGGAAAGCTGTTGACTAACTGCCCTGTCTTCCTTGGGAGCTCTGTATTCGGAGGTGTGACAGTGTGCCTAACTGTTACACTACAGCTGTAAGACTCCCTTGGCTCTTCTGTTCTGAGGAACACGGATGTCAGGGCTGTAGCTGCAGTGGCCCCCGGTCCCTGCAGAGTGGGAGCTGCCGCTGAGGTGGACAGGGGATGCTGGCTGTCTTGGTGTTGCTAATGGGAAGGAAGACAGCCAGAAGGGCTTTGTTAGGTCCACAAGAGCTCACAAAACACATGGCTCCCCCATGCTCTGACTGTATAGACCAGGGGTAAAAGTCCATCAGGGCCACATCCAAGCTGTGTAAACTTAAATCTTGAAGTGCTAGGTTTTTTTTTTTAATCTATCAGCCAGAGACCGTATTGCCTCATAAAACTGTTATGAAGGTTAAGGAGGGTTAATACATACCAAGCCTTTTGATCAGCTATTAGCACTCTTGAAAAGAAAATTTATTAGAACAACCAAACTTAGCCAACCATGAGATGACTCTTAAGACAACGATGCTGACATACACTAAGGTTTAAATGCACTCGGGAGGAAAGTGTAACAGAGCATAGATGTATTTACACTATTAGAGTGCAAAGTCAAAATAAGAGATGGATGTATGTGACTAGGCAGAATTTTCAAACAGACTTTATGGTTAGTATAAACAAAGTTAAAAAAAAACTGTTAAACTCTAAGAAATTGACATTCAGAATGAAAGCTACACTCCTAATAAAATACTGTGTCAGAAAAAGGACATGAAAATGCAGTTCCCGAAAGAATATCTAAGTGACCAACACACAGAAGAAAAGTATTAGTCTTTTTAATGATAATCAAAGAAATATGAAACAAGCTAAACTTACTCATAGAGTACTGGTTAAATTACTGCATATCCACATGAATTAGTTGCCGTATCATTAAAAATGTCACAGAGGACTATTTCATGAGGTGGAAAATAACTTGGTATAAAAAACTTGGTAAAACTGTGGTTTGCTCTACATTATGTTCTTGTTTTTACATAACCACACAAAAGATGAAATGAAACATGGGAAGATACATAACTGTCTCATTCCTGTAAAGAAGACCAAGCTGTTATTAATAAGTTATTTTTAGTTGGAGCAATATAGGAATCTTCCCTTTTTCACAGTATTGCATTTCAAAATTTTATGCAGTAAATGCATAAAATTGAAAAAGAAAAAATGACACTTAAAATGTGCGTGGGCATTTAATATAGGAGCCAGTTTGAAGAATACCAAATCTGAGAGGCCAAATCTGAGAGGATTTGAGTATCATTAAAGGGTAAGAATGGCAAAGATTAGGAAAAGGAAAAAGGGAAAGAAAGCTCTTTACTAAGCCATTTAGTAATACAGAAGGCATTACAGACTGAAAACATCAAAACTGTGCGATTCAGGCAGGGAGCAGAGCAATAGCTATAACACTGTTTGAGGAACAGGTTGCTGAAGAGCTCCGTGCCTCCGCGGGCTCGCTTTCACACCCACACATTACTTAATGTTACAAAGGAAGTGGATGGAGCACTTCACAGCCGGAGATCAGGGGCTCCTGCCTTGAAGTACACGAGCGTCACCTCTGTAGCTCCCTTCTAAGAATGTCCAGCCTGCATCTACTTGTGAGGAAACCACCAGACACCCAGAATGCAGCATCCTCCGGCCAGCTAATCTGGACTCTTAAACGAGGGACCTGCAGGAGCTGAGGGCTGTTCCAGACTAAAAGACACAGGCGGACCCAGTAACCACACATATTACTTGGAAACCTAGAAGAGCACTTTGGGAATCATCAGGGAATTATTAAAAATTAAAAATTTAATATTTTATGGGTTAAACCTAGTGTTTTAGATGTGATAACAGTACTGTGGTTCTGGGAGAATGCCTTGTTCTTGGGAGCTGCTTGATAAGGAATTGAGGTCTACAGAGTTATGTCTGCATCTTATTTTCATCTTCTATGAGAAGCAGAACACTGAAGGCAACATGTTAATGTCTGGTGATGAGTGAAGGGCAGGCCTTGTTCCCTGTGCTGTTTTTCAACTCATTTGAATAGATTTCATTGTTTTCTAATTAAAAGGTTTTGGTGGGATTCAGATAGAAACCAAAAGGGGAGAGAAAACTGTAGAATCTGTAAGAGGCAAGGTGCTTAATTCCTCATTCAAACAAATGAACTTTAGGAAAATGTTAATGAGACAAACAGAAAATTTTGGGCATTGGGGGATTTTGATGAACTAAAATATGAAGTAGGTGAAAGAAAATTTGCCATCTGGTGATAATTTCTGCAGCTAGGATAATTTCTAAAGATGTGTGGGTATTGATTTTCCTAGCCTGTCAACCTTTACATGTTTGAAAACATCCATAGTTAAGTGTACAAGTCAAAATTAAATAGTAAGTGAGTGAGCCAGTGACTATATACTATCTATATGATTATTATTAAATAATTACAGCAAAAATGGTAAAGGGGGCTGGGGATTTAGCTCAGTGGCATAAGTGCCTGCCTTGCAAGCAGGCAGTCGTGAGTTCGATCCCTGGTACCGATAAAAAGGAAAAAGACAAAAAAAAAAAAAAAAAAAGGTAAATTGGAGCTCTAGGTTAGTACCTGGGTTTCTCTCACACTAATAATTTTTTTTTCCTTTTTATCGGTACCGGTGATCGAACTCACAACACCGCGCTTGCAAGGCAGGCACTTCTGCCGCTGAGCTAAATCCCCAGCCCCCACACTAGTGATTTTGAGTGAACCCAGGGAAACTGGGGGAGTGAAAGATATGAGAACTGATTGTCTTTTTTTTCCCTTTTATTTTCATTCTTTCATTTTACATAGTACATGAGACCCTTGACCTAAATAAAGCAAGCTAACGCTGGGCATTGTCCTCACCACCTCCCAAGCTGGTGGAATGGTGTTTATTGCTTCCACTTAAGTTGAGAGTCTTTGATTATCTGTTTTAATCAATTCTTTATTTAGCTCGAGGAGATTTTATTGTCCCATATTTTCAAGAGGGTGTTGTGGCTCCTGGTGCTCATTTAACATTTAGGTGAACATAAAGCAAGTTTTTGAAGGCCAAAATAAAAGACATGCATCAGAGCCATAAAGGTGAGAAACATTCGTATTTTTGCCCACCTGTGGTAGGAGATGGTGGAGCCTACAGGCAGGTGTGTCTTAGCAAGTGACCAGAAAGTGCTCTTGGCCCATTATGATGCTAAATAATTTAGTTTTTACTCTAAGGTAAAAATCTGTAAATAAAAAAGAACAGCAGTTTCATGTTGTTTTCTAGAGAGGAATAGTATTGAAATTGTGATTTGGTACCTGTTTTGTGCTGCAAAGTCTTTTTAAGGGAGACAGGGAGACTACTAACTTCTAGTCTGTAGTATAAACCATGAGGAGGAAACAAGAGCAGATCAAGAAATGTATATGAAAAGAAAAATTCAACTCTGATAATGTTTAACAAATAAACTCATGAGTGTGGACTTAATAGGAAAACAAATAAAATCAGATTTAGAGGGAATATCAGGTGTGGACCAAAAAGAAAAATAACTCTTGGAATAAGCTTCCATAGTTGTTTTTTACATTAAGGTAGGAAATAAAACTATACAGTATTATTTTACCTCTGAACATAGTTTTCATAATTTAGACTAAATACCATGATTGATAGAAATGACTTTAAAACGTTACAGTGTTCACAAATATGAAATGTACCCTCTTGGGGGAAACGCCCAGTAAAATACTGTGGACCTTGACTTAGGAACTCAGCGCTGCCCGAGGGCTTGGTTGTAACGCAAGTGGTCAGTGCAAGGCTCAGGCTCCTCTGCACAGCTTTCGGAGTCTCCTGTGGACAGCTTAGAGAGACATCGGCCCAGGATTTCTCAGTGAGCCCCATTCAGGGAAGGGTGTCGTGATGTTCCTTCCAGAGCTCAAGGGTTAAACTAGGAGACGTTGCCCGGTATTCACGTTGTAACTCAAGGCTGTGGTCATAAAATTCTGGTCATAACCCAAGTTGTTCCTGTGTCAGGCCAGTTGTAACTTGAGAGTCCACTGCATGTGTTTCTGAAAACGCATCTGCTACTACCCTTACATTTTTTTCTAAGGTGTCTTATAATGTTTGCTTATATTGGAAGTTAAGATTTAGATTTATGACTTGGACTTTTTAGTCTCGGTATCATCAAGGTCAAATAATGACTTTATTGTGGAAACTATCAGTCTCTCATTCAGTCTTTGTACTTTGCCTTTCTTACATATTGTGTTCTGTGTCGGTGGGCAGGTGAAAGTTGCCACTTCTCTTCGCTGCAGTTTGATCAAGAGGCAGAAACCGTTTCCTTCCCCTCCAGCATGGGCCGGGAGAGTGGCAAGCTGTGGGGAGCAGTGGGAGCCCTGCACTGCTGCTCGTGGCTGCTCGGTCCCCTGTGGTCTGGGGAGGGCCCGGGTCAGCGCCGCCAGGCTCTCCTGAGGCCTGCCTGGACCTTCCTGTCCCCCTTAACGTGGCACAAGACTGCAGCTGCATGGCTGACTCCAGGCAAGACAGCAGAACTGGCCCACGGAGCTCAGCCAAAATGCTGACCCCGAGAATGACAGGGTCATTCCCTCAGTGACGAGCGGGCTCCCCGGCACCTGGGGTGGCTACCAGGAATCATTTTTATTGTGTGTTTTCCACCTTGCAAATACCCCACATTTCTCTCATGATCTTTGTTTCCCTGACGCAGTTTCATGTTCTGTGGACTTCTTCTAGCTTGCCAAATTTCTCTTTCAATTTGTGGCACTGAGAACTGAAACCAGCGTTTCAAATATGTTTTGCCACTTAAATTTTAAGCCTTAAAGTCTTTGTTCCTGTTTCCCTGCAGCCTAACTCATAATGAGCCAAACCATTAGTTTCTTCCTTCTCTCACCCCCCATTCTCTTAGCTTGTCCTAGAAGAGACAAAAATACCCACCCTGCAAGGTCCAGGTGTTGCCTTCTGTGCAGGGCTTTCCGCACGGCCAGCTGTCCCTGCCCTGGAGTTCCCAGTGCTTTAAGCACGGCTTTCCCCACGGGGTCGTGCTAGTGCGAGGTCCCGGCTCCTTGGCTAGGCTGGGAATTCTTAAAGCATCACAGTACTTTATCCTTCTAATACTTCACATAGTACTCGGCATATGTTAAGTGCTCAATAAATACTTAGTAGCTGGGCTAAATTAACTAATAGACTTTGGGCAACAGAATATTTTGTGACCTGTATTTTCTCATGAGTATCAAGATAGATTATCAGATTACTGTTTAACTCAAGAGCTCATGTCCTTTGGCTTTCCATTAAAAAGAAAATATATTTGATTTAGATAGTTTTTCCGCTTTTTATGTTGCCTTCTGAACGGTTGTGGCAGAGGTTTATTTACTGTTTATGGAATGTTAATTTATTCATTTTTGACAACCAAAGCATTTGTTTTGTTTTCTCATCTCTCTCACCCAATGCATTGCTCTAACGATCATCTCATGACATTTATTACCGTGGCATGTGAAGCGGAGGCGCTGCGTCAGTGTGGCTTGTTAGTACTGACCACACAACAGTAACTTGTATTTGTAAAGTGCCTTGCCCTTTATGTTTTCCTATGCCTTGACTCACTGAGGCTTCACAGCCTTGTTAGTAGGTTAGTAGGTGGGGATCTTACGTTTTAGGAAAACCAGCTTAGAGGGAGGACGAAGTCACCTGACTAGATGGTGGAGGAGGCGAGACTGAACCCCGCTCTGGCAGAAAAGCGCAGCGCTCACTTGGTAGTGTGGCTCCAAGTCCATCTGCACTAGGATTTTCCTCCTTGCTGGAGAAGGACAAGGAGGGGAGGGAAGGGAGTTAAACCGCTGGGCCTTCTCTTTGCACGCTTTGCCTCTGTCACTGCCCTCCCTTTTCTGTCCTTCCGCCTTGTCAGTGTCTCTATGCCGACCCTGCAGCGCCCGCTGGATCGGTGTAGGAGCTGAAGGGCTGCGAGTGTGTCGGGAGCGAGGGCAGGGGCGCACCCGAGCTGTGCCAGTGCTGGGTGCTGTGCCAGGCGTCGCCTCTGTGCTCATCCATTGGCACCACCCGCCTTATGCCAAGTACCATCAGGAGTTCAGATGGAAAGTCGTTTCTTTCAAACACTTTTTATTGATACATGTTTATAGTATAAGGATTCTGTCCATCCTGGGGAGTTGGTACATGGACATAACTCATCCTGATTGTCGTCTTATTTCTTTGAAGTCTTTTTTACAGCTTTAATACCCTTCTGTGGTTATTGCTTTAAAGGAGGCACTGCCTGGTTTTTCTTCCCTGTGGTGGACAGGCTTGGGGAACACTGGGTTCACCTCTTTCCTTCTCTTGTGCTTTTCTCCACTGGTCTAGGTTATTGTTAAAATGTAAAATATGTTACACACACATCATCTTTGTCCACATTTCATACCTCAGCAAGAACTAGTTTCTCAGATGGGTCTTTACAGAGAACAGCTCCACGGAAATGGGTCCCAGGACAGGTAAGAGTTTAGGGGCCAGGGGAAGGGCTGCAGCATGGGGCGTGGAACCTGAAGCCAGGTCTCCTGAGGGCACCGGATCTGGAGAGCAATGGCCATGGGTGTCACCACACTGCCCACCCGGCCTTGTAGCTTTATCCTGAGTCAGCCCTGTTTGCGGCAGAAGGCGCTGGCCAGGCGCCCCCCAGTTTTAAGGGCTGGCGACACACAGCCCTTCTCACCCTCTCCTGCCTGCTGTTGAGGGGCGATGCCTGCGGGGATAATAAGCATTTGTGTTTTTTTTTTAAATTGAGGCTTACCGACTGCAAACCTGGTGATCTCAGAATCATAAACTGCTAAACATTAGAAACGGAAGAAAAAAAAGAAAAGAAATGGAAGGAAATTGTTCCTACCATGACTCTACGTGTAATTTAAAAGCCTGCCTTCGTTTCTCCACTTTGCAGACAGCTGCAGCGTGACTTTCCCATGGCTGCGATTTTCAGCACGGATGACTTTTTCAGCAGGGAAGATGGTGCCTATGAGTTCAATCCTGACTTCTTGGAGGAAGCTCATGAATGGAACCAGAAAAGAGGTGATGAATTCCTTTCCCAAATCCCAGGAAGCCCTGTTGGGCACATAGATCTCAGCTGCTTCACGATGACTAACGTTTATGGAATGAACTTAATTCAGAGTTCTGCTTGACCCCAGCAGAATTCTGCAGCTTAACCTGTTTAGGTTCTAGGGAAAAATTACTGATAATGGGTTCCAAAACAGGTGGCACTTTACAGTTGTACAATGACACTTTATAACAAAATATGACAAGATATGGATGACGCTCACCGTTCTCTATTGCATGTTGTTCACTGTTATGTAAATTGTGTTGCAGCAAGAAAAGCAATGCGGAATGGCATATCCCCCATTATTATTGACAATACCAACCTCCACGCCTGGGAAATGAAGCCCTATGCAGTCATGGTAGGAAGCGGCATCATTCTGCATTTTCAGTGTGGCCATTTGTGAGCAAGTTGAAACATTTGTTCTTTCTTCTTTTTCTGGTCTTCCATGATTTCATATTACTAACAGTTCTTGAAAGGGGCAGGTGAAGAAGGTTTATCTTAGTGTTTCTCTGCTGTGTAGTGGTTGAAATTCGCTGAGATACTAATCTCACTTCAGGGCACAGTTTTTAAATTCTCCTTGGTAAACAGTTCTGGTCTGCATTTTTCTTTTTTTGGATCTGCATTCTGAACAGTTTTCCAGTCTTGGTTACTTTCCATACAGAGGAGTTCCACTGTAACTTGCAGGAAAATATTGGGCTAATTGATGCATGCCCTGGTTACACGTTATACTAGAACTTCCTTTGGGACTCGGGATCATAGCACTGTGTACAGTTGTCACCTGGGAGTTCCAGGGCAACAGAATCTTTTAATTTAGAAATAACTTTAGGATTATCACTATAATCCTATTAAGGCAGTAGCATAGAAATATACATATAACTCAGCTCTCCAAGGAAATGGGACCCAGGTCAGGTAAGACTTTAGATACATTTTTCCCACACATACTTTGTCTCACCCTAATAGATTTTCATTCTCTGTTGGGTACAGAAAGGACAAAATATCCACTACCACACAAGGTAGGGCAGGAAGCAGGCGGCTTCACCTTGTATCATGAATAATCCCCGCTGATAACTGTAAAGTGAGTATCTCCCACCAGACTCATGGCAGTCTGTTTAGGCTTTAACATTTCTACTCAGGCCCAGGCTGTGGGACCTGGTGAATGTGAGGAGGAATAGGCATCACCTCTTTGTATCAGTTCATGATTGAGGTCATGTGGGTGAGAAATGAAGAGGGCCAGGGAGAGCTGCATGCATTCATGCACATCTCAAAACAGGAGCCAGGGATGAGAGGCGCCGGGAAGGCATCTACTTTTCATTTTCTGGATATGTACAACTTTCTCAGCCACCTGCAGCTATTAAGGAGTCTCAGAAATTAGATGTTTCATGATATGATAGTTGAGTCCTTCCCTAATTAGCAGTGCCCATCCAAAGAGTAAAGAGGAAACCTTTATCACTTTTAAAAAAAATGTATTAACTGACAAGTAATAGTTGTGTCAGTCCATGTATGTAAGGTGCAGTGACGAGTTCAGGATATTTTGGTGATCCATCACTTCCAATACTTACTGTTTGTGATGACATCTGAAATCTTCTATTTTGACTTTTTTGATACAATGTCAACTATAATCACCCTTCTGTGTAACAGCACGTGAGAACTTACCCTACTCATGAGAAAGTCTTTTTACTTAGCTCTTTTCATTTTGTGTTTTGTAACACAGTAAGCAAAAGTAATAGCAGAAAGTTGTTTGAGATAAAGCAGGATTCCTGGGTGTTTGTATGGGGACTGTAATTGTTTTCTAAACTCAAGGCCACTGGATGAGTCAGACTGTTGAGTAGCAGCTAGAGCTCCTTCTGGAGGGATGATCATGTAAAACACACAGCAGTCACTTCTGCTTCATAAACTGTGTTTCCATGGCACTGTCATTTTCTAAGTCAAGGCTTGAGGACCAGAACAAAGCATTTGACAGAAAGAAATCTATGATGAGCATACAGGACTTTGAGAACGCACTGAGTCTGCTGCTCACACCTGCGTTTGGGGTATTTTAAACTAGTTCAGTAGTGAGCTTTTAAAGATGTTCAATTTCTACATGCTGGGCAAAATCGACCAAACCTAACATCGCGAGTTATAATCTGAGAGTGGCTAAGTATGGGAAGGACTGCGTTAAGATAAATTACGGCATTGGGTTACTGGTCAAACACGTTTTAGGGACGCTTTGTAGTAAATGTTAACTGGCAGCATAAACGTTCCCAAACATACATACTATGTCTTCAATGTTTTATGTACTTTTGAAAAATCAGGCACTTGAAAATAACTATGAAGTTATATTCCGAGAACCTGCCACTCGCTGGAAATTCAACGTTCAAGAGTTAGCAAGGTACTTCTTTGTTGTTCTCGCTCCTCATTCTGTATCCTGCTGTTTTCAGGTATTTCAGGCCGAACAAAAGAATCTTTTCAGGCTGGAAATGGACTGGTAGTTTTCAGGCCAGAAATGGTAATTCTTGGAAATCGGTAACTTTGAAATTATTGATGTGAAGACTTAAGTTTCGGGTCAGTTTTCTAATATAATGCTAAATCTCAGCTTGATCTTGATCCTTTAAAAGGACACACTTAACATTTTGCTAAATTGCTTCATTAATGAACATCTAAAAGCACTTTCCTCTGCATGGGATGGCACGTCAGTGGTGTTTTTGCATTTAGACTAAAGATCTTTAGATGTTGAACAGTATGTGGTTTGTTTATTGCTTAGATGCTGCTTCTAATCTATAAAGCAATAAATGTCCAAATAACACTAACTTGGTTTTGAATGCATGAGTTCTGATATTCAGTTTGTGTTCTCTGATATTAATGTCAGTGACTTAATCAGTGAGACCAGAATTTACTTTTTGGGAATAAGGGTAGCTCATTTTATGATTACAAGTAGCTAAGTTTCCAAAGAGGGTCTGAGGTTCACCCCGGGAGGACCCCAAAGGTGACTGTTAACCCCTATAGCATGGACTCCATTCTATAGTTGGGCTCTGGTAAACATGTTTCTAGTTATAGTCTCAGCTGATACTTGTGTCTGCTAGAGTTTAAGGTTGTTTTAATAAGCGTCTTTTAGCAGGCTTAGGGACTGATAGGCCTGAACTGATGATAAGTATGTGCATGCCATTAAAGTCAAATATGTGATTTTAAAAAATCTCATGGTATTCTTTCATGTTTTAAAACATATAATTGGGATTATCAGAAGCAAAGCGTTTCTGAAGGTGCCTCAGGGTAGTTTGAGGGCATGCAAGGCAGCATGAAAACTGGGACAGAGCCTGGAAGACAATGCAATAGCAAGAATGCTTTTGCCAGTTACATATGAGGAAGAGAGTGCAACCTTTATACAATGCAACAAGGAAAGCACGTTGGTATTTCTGCCTTAACTGTTTATGTTTTTTTTTTTCCATGTAGCAGAAACATTCACGGAGTCCCAAAAGAAAAAATACAACGAATGAAAGAACGGTATGAACATAATGTTACCTTTTACAGTGTACTTCACGCAGAAAAACCGAGCAGAATGAACAGAAACCAGGACAGGAGAAACGCACCGCCCTCCAGCGGTGCAGGACCCTGGAATTCCTACACAGGGTTTCCGAGCCGGAGGGCTCACGGCAGCTTCACGAACGGGAGCGCCTTCAGCAGAAGGGGCGGCTGTCACCATGGATACTAGAGGCCTCTCTTACAGCCATTCAGAATTTTCCTAAATAAGGTTTTACTCAAGTTTTGGTAATTATTGTTTGTTCAATTTTAGCAGAGCTCTGATTCCTGTGTAAATAGTCAAACCCCAGAGTTTCCGAGCAGAGGTTACTATTTTCATTATCACCAACAAGAACTTGTTAAAGTGCACCTGTGTGCATGGTCTGACGCTGGGCATTCTGCAGAGTTAATTACTCTTTCTCTAGGGAAAGAATGAATTTAAAACTGAAATCCAAGAACATAACCCATTTCACATAGGTTCATACATGAAAGTTTATATTAAATATAAATTTTAGTACTGTTTTATTAGTCCATTGTTTTTTCAAAAATTTCACCTTTACCAGGAAAATGAGAAAGATGGGGGAGATGCAAGAGGCAGAAAATGTTCTTAGTGCTGTTGCTACTTGATAATCTATGTATCCAAATACGTGAGACATGTCACTAATGATACCGATTTTCCTCTAAAATGGAGAAAGTTTACACATAGGGAATGCTGTTCTTCAAAGTGTACACCCTGGGAAGTTACCCCTTTATTTTAATGATCTGCTACTGTTAAGAGCATTGGCAGTTACACAAGTGACTCAGGAAAATCAGTGTCATTATTTGTCACCCTTTGTGTTTTACTGCTTTATTCAACAGGATTAAACCTCTGTCTGTGTCGTTGTGTAAATAAAATTAATCTGCCTTCCTAAAACAATTTTAAAAGAAACAAGCAATTTTTAAAATTATGCCTATAAATGTAATTACTTGGCAGCCGAAATATTTGGGAGTACAAGAATTAAGCAGCCTAGGATAAAGACCACACAAGAACAGGTAAAGCCAGGCACGCTGGCAGGCAGAGCAGTCGTAATGTTTCATTTACGTGGCATCGTTGGAGACAATAAACTACCACGGCTCTGGAATGTCTCTCTTATGTGGGTACTGACCATCTGAATCCAAACTAAACTCCAGGACTTAAGATCAGATTAATCTGGTATGAGGCCATGATGGACAAGCCACTAGGATGTATGCTCTTATTTATTTTGGGCCAACAGCTTCTTTCTAATGTTCTGTGAATTATTTTAAGTGTCTTATATAATGGTGCTTTTATGGTTATTATAAATTGTATATGGTATTGCATTTATATGGATTTATCATTGACTTTTTTTGGTTCAATAAATGTACCTAAATCCCTAAGAATTTAATCACGTGATAACCAATTTTTGTACATCATAACTTATTTATTAGTCCAACTTTAAATGTAAAGACAAAAGCAACTTGATGTTTTCCTTATATACATCTGTACACATTTGAAAGTCTTTTTAGTCTGCATGGTGGTGCACACCTGTAATCCCAGCACTTGGGAGACTCAGGCAAGAGGATCACCGTGAATCTGAGGCCAGCCTGGGCTACAGAGCGAGACCCTTGCTTCACAAAAACAGAAGACTAGGGGCTGGGGATTTAGCTCAGCGGCATAAGCACCTGCCTTGCAAGCAGGTGGTCGTGAGTTCGATCCCTGGTACCGATAAAAAGGAAAAAGACAAAACAACAACAACAACAAAAAAAAAAACCCCAGAAGACTATTTTAACATTCCTTTAACATTGTGGAAATCTACTCAACATCCTGATGACTACCAGCAATGTATTTGTAATTTGTTTGTTAGCATTTAAAACACTGGTATATCCATTGACTCAGAGCTTGGCTAATATACATAAAAACAGTACATTTTAATGAGTCTAACCAATACAGTTAAAAAATTCTGTATGTTTAAGAACACAGTATCCTGTAATAACAAGCCTCTTAACAATACTCCCACTTTCCAGGCCCTGGTAGTCCTGGGTATTGTAGTCAATATAGTTACTACAGAACCAGCTCAAAAAGAACGGCATCACCTGACATGTAGAGGGAATTACCGTCAAGTCTGCAGGAGTAGCCCACAGGGCCAGATTCAAGCGCCCTGGTTTGGCTGCCTGGTTCACAAGGGCTGAGCCAGGTAATCACCACAAAATGGCTCTGGGCTACAGAGCCAGAGGTTTTACACACTTCAGTGGGCTCCTGGCCCATTCATGTCTCTGCTTTTTCTAGATGACCTCTGAAATACTTGCTTTGGAAGCCTAGAAATAACTAAATGCCACCAACTTTCTCCCACTTGGAAGCAGCCTGGCTTTCACTGCCGTGGCTCGTCTTTTGGACCTAACGCTGACTTGCATTACTCTGCTAGTGTTTGCATCATTCATGGAGCTGCACGGGCAATGTAAGCACATGTGCTCTCACTAAGTGATGCTGACTAAGATCACAAACTTTTTACCACTTAGTCCTATCACGCAGGATTCTCTGACAGCTTTCTAAGTTGTCATTTCTGGGAGGTAACACACATATATATTCAGGCTTTACACTTTGTTCACACAGCTTGGATGTTATTTATAACTCATTAAAAAGGAGTGTGTTTTAGATATCTTGTGATAGATGGTCATAAAGCGAGTGAGAATGAGAATACAGGAGGTGAGAACAGTAATTTCTAGAATTCAAAAAGTTAAATCCTTGAAAACATAATTTTTCCTGGTCATGTGAGACTTGTTTACCGACCGTTCTGCAGTAGAACATTGAGAATGAATAGGGGGTGAAGGCCACGTATTTGGGGTGGGCACTAGGAATTGAACTCAGGACCTTGTACTTGCCAGGCAGGTGCTGTGCCACTGAGCTAAATCCCTGGCCCCTATATTGTTTTATGAACAAAACTTAAGTTGGAGTAAGACTATCAGAACACTTAATCTCAGAGTGTACTATTACATTAATGTTTTTTGGAAGTGAGATAAGTTATGGATCAGTTAAGAAAGGAGGAAACTTTTTTTATGGTGCTGGGGATGGTATACTGCCAGCCCACAAGTTAGTATTTTTTAAAAATTGGTACTGGGAACTGAACCCAAGGCCTTTGCATGGAGCTGTCCCCTACCCTTTTTATACTGAGAAAAGGTCTCAACGAATCGCTTAAATTTGTAATCCTCCTGCTTCAGCCTCCCATACATAGTGCTGGGATTACAGGTGTATACTACCATGCCATGCTTCACAAATTGACTTTTTTTGGGTACTAAGGATCAAACTCACGACCTCACACTTGCCAGGCAGGTGCTTACGCTGCTGAGCTAAACCCCCGGCCCACAAATTGATTTTTAAAAGGATTTGTCCTTCTAGCTGGGCCTGTTGGTATATGACTGTAATCCCAGCACTCAGGAGGCTAAGGCAGGAGGATAGCTGCAAGTTCAAGGCCAGCCTGAACTACAGTGCGACTCTGTCTCAACCAAACCAAACCAAACCAAACCAAACCAAAAAGAACTTATTCCTGACTTGAAATGTGTCTGTAATTAGATTTGAATACATGGTATTATACACAGGTTTTAAGATATATTAAAACACCTGGTTTAAGAGCTTCCTCATGCCATTATGTAGCTCTTGGTTAGAACTTTATCTCTTTATTTCATATATAAGGAAGTAACAAATGTTACTTGTTACTTTTGATTTGATGGTGGGTTTACCAGGCAGTACATTCTAGGTCCTATCATACTGCTAAAGACAAAGCAGGTAAATCAGCACCAATTTGAAAGCCAGTTTATGAAGTTCCATGATGATGACCGCTTTGCTTTAAAAAATTAGATTTAAAATCTGCTTCTGACTTAAGAATTTGAATTTAGATTGAAGTAATTTAACTTCAGAGATCATATTGGGATCATACAAAGTAGTTACTTGGAGGGTTCTCTTTTTCTTGTATCATGCTGGTTTAAGGATAAAGAATTAGTGAGAAGAAAACCCACTATAATATATTTATCCCGACTTTTGAACAGGATGGAACGATAGTAGAAACCAATGGATGTGCTAAGGAAAATTTTCATAGGAAGTTACCTCTAAAATACTCCTAAAATAGGAACTAGACTGAAAGGAATTATCTGCGTCAAAATTACTAAAAACTTTTTTCAATTAGTAATGATGTGCTCTAAATGGGTACATTTCTTTGTAAAATAATATTTGTGATCAAACCCAATGAAAGATTTAAATGAGTTTTTCTGATTAGTTTATAAATGTACAGTCTTAAGACATACAGTTAAAAACAGAACTGAGCAAGAACATTTGTGATATGCAAATGGGCAACTGTGAAACTATTAGTCATGGCTTTTCTTGTTAAGCAAATACTGATAGGCAGTTTAAAACTGTACCAGAAACTGGAAAGGTTAAGACTCAGTAACTATTGTCACTTATGTTTTTGTCGTCTTTGTAATCTCTTGGATAAATTCTTTATCCTACTTGTGTCCTGCAAGTTGCTCTTGCATTCTCCTGTGCTGGCTTGGGAATTCTCTTGTCCTGTGACCAGAGGCACAGCACAATGACCTTTCTGTCCAAGATAATCTCCTGAACTGGAAGGAGCAGTCCTCCTGGATTCCCTGGCGGATGGAAGCTGATTTTCTCCTGCAGAACCAGACAAGAGGGCTTGGGTGTTTATCATTGCAAGTTCTTCATCAGCTATTGAATTGCTTTCCAAAAGAGAAACTGCACTGGCTTTTTTAAGGGGAGTCATCTGAGGAAAATCCAACTCCTTTTTTTTTATAGGTGTTTCATACTTAGTATCACAAATCCGTGGTGGCTGAAAGGCCTTCTGGGTAGCTGGGGAAACAAATGTGCAAATGGGACTCACGGGCGGCGGTAAAGGCACTCGACTCAGGAAATCCAGGGCTCTTCTCTTTTTGGAGTTTTTTGGGTCATTCACTGCTTTCTGCTCTGCACAAGACTTTGAAGTTATTTGGGCTGCTATGGGTGTGGACACAGACTTCCCTTTTGGGCAACAAAGTGACAAAGCGCTCTGATAATTTATCTCATCACTCGGAGAAGACATCTAATAAAACAAAAAGTAAACTATCATAATTATGTTCTAGCTTAGAAAACTATCAAATTAACCTTTCACTAGAAATACCGTACAAATATCACAGATATTTACCTAATTGCTAACAAATGAGTTCAATAAATATTCATGATGCTATTTGTTTCAGAAGGAAATAATTTTGCATAAAAGGATATAAAAATGACATAAAAGGAAGATGAAGAGTAGCACAAAGACCAAAAAAAGAGTTGACATCACTTCTGCTTAATCTTTTTAAAAAGTCATTGATAGGATGAATGAAGAGAGACATTTTAAAACCATCTTAACATACTCTGCCTGAGTTCTAATACCTACATTTTCAGCTTTGTGTCCCCAGGTAATTATTTTTTGTGACAGGGTCTCACTATGTAGCTCAGCCTAGTAACCCAGGTTGGCCTCAAACTCCCCGCAGTATCTGGCCGCAGCCTTCCAAGTGCTGGGACAGCAAGGTAATTGTTCAACCTCTTCCCATCACAGCTCTCATCGGTAATAATAGTTTCCACAGTTGTTTTATGTCATTGTTGTGAGGATTAAGTGAGCTGATACAGCTATACTTACCAAGCGGTAGCTATTTAGGTTAGCAACAGCAGACTTGAGTTTGATTTGAACCATCTGTAATTTTGGGGGGTTGTACTGGGATCAAACTCAAACACAGCGCCTGTGTGGCAGCAAGGTTTCTCACACTTGCCGCACGGGCGCTGTGCTGCGGAGCTGCATCCCCAGCCCTGACTCTTCTGTGATTTAGTGAGTAAAACCAACCTTAGAATCAACCCCATTGGAATGGGAAAAAGAAACAGGCAAAAAAGCCTTTTCAATCACGTGGGTATTAAAATGCTAAAAATGAAAGCACTTGTTGCAAAGTGTGTCCCCAAAGACATTTTTGCTTCAGTGACAAGATACAGGGGCAGAGGACTTAGCTCAGTGGCATAAGCACCTGCCTGGCAGGCACAAGGCTGTGAGTTGATCCCAGTACCATAAACCCCACAAAAAACAAAAAAACAAGGTACAGTTTCCAAATAGCCTATACTTATAGTAGCTACATAACAATTAACCACCCTACTTAAGCTGATTGCATTTTATCATGTTTGCTAATTACACACTAGACTTCTTTCCACCTTATGTAATATTTCTTAAACTTGTGTTAACTCACCAGGCACTTATTTCGGGTACCAAGGCCTGTCTGAGCAGTGTGCAGCTCTGATGTACAGTCTGTCGATGGGGGGGCCCTCTTGGGATCACTTACACCGAGGAAATGTGTCAGCTTCTCTGCTGCATCATTGCAAAACGTGTCAACGTTCTAAGAAAGTAATTTGGAAAACCTGATTTGTAAGTTGCAACAACATACATGTTTTCAGATATTATTTCCTTTAAGACTAGATCTAAAATATTCACACTAGAACAAATGAGATGCCCAAAAGTTGACAGCAGCTGTCAAACATGCCAATGCAAAAATGCACAACCAAAGCCACAGATTTAGGGGACCCTCTGGGGGAAGGTGCTGAGGAGGAGGGCAAGGAGGGAGGGTGCCTGTGAAGGAAGGAGACGTGAGGAGCGCCAGCCATCTGGTTCAGTCAGAGGCTTCGTGGTATTATGAGACTGGCGCCTCTGTGCTGGTTCCATGTGCATCTCACAGCAGGGAACCATCACATCCACGGGGCACTCTGTAGGACATTAAAGTCAAAGCACTGCCTCACTCCTCACGTTTGTCCCTCAATTAACTCCAACGATATGCGGGTTAACCACGTGGAACTGGTTTTTAAGGAGCCACGCTGGTCAGATACCAGCAACCTAACAGATACCAGTTAACTTAATGGTGTAACCTCATGCCTGAGAGTATTTTGTAAAACTTCAAAAACCTGGGGTGCAAACACATATACACAGGAAAATGCATTCCTGGGATCTGAAGCAAGTAATTTTAGTGTTTCCTACTTGAGATTAATAGTATCTTCATTCAAATCAGAGACATCACCTGTGTAAGATACCAGATACATTAGATAAGAGTTTAAATGTAAACTACCAGCTTACAAATCATTAAATAATCGACTGCCGCTTCCGTGAGCCACGGTGACTCAGTGTGGTTTCCAGGTCGCCTCCGCGTCCCATCTCAGCTCTGCTCCCTCCACGTCAGGCTTTCCCACCCAACAGCTGCCCCTCCTTTATCTCTTCTTGGGCAGCTGACACATGGGCTACCTCACCGGTGTGTACTACCACAACTACCCGGCTTACGCTACTTCTTGGTTCTGTCAAAGTAGGAAAACACCAAACGGCTCGGTGATGAAAAGCACTTTTACCTCGACAACAGTTTTCATTTTGTTGAACCTCTCTTGGAAGTGGCCCTCTTTTGGACTGGCAGAAAACACAGAAAAATCTCCAGCAAATAAAGTAGGAATTCCAGAGTTGGATTCTGGTCGCCATTGGAGGTTGCTTGCAGCAACTAACATGTGGGGTCTAATAATATCTTCATTAAGATCTATCCAAAATTTTACTGCCAGAAAATTATAGCATTCATCTGTCAGATAGACCAGAGGAGCAAGGCCTAGAATGAAAAAGAAAAAAAATTAATAATTTTAAAACGCAAGAGTGCTAATATTATAGTAATATTTTATTACTTTGAGACAGGGTCTTGCTGTGTAACCGAGGCTGGCCTCGCACTTGCTGCGATCCTCCTGCCTCAGCCTCCCAAGTGCTAAGACTACAAGTGTGTGCCCCACACCTGGAACAGGCACAAATGGTAAAAATAAGTCAAAATAACCGAATTTTTCTCTAAATTGGGATTTCCTTTTCCAAAATGTCTGTTGCTTAAGGTAACAGATCAAACTGTGGTAAATGTCCGTGCCAACATGTTCTGTCCCTGAGATCGCCATGATGCGGGCACACTCACAACCTGAAGGTGAGAGAATCTGCAATCCTGCTGGGAAACATGTGGCGATGCCTCCTTAAGTGACACAGACATTAACCTTTCCATCCAGCAACGCTGCTGCTGGCACTTCACTCTGCAGACGTTTCTCAACAATAACAAAACACACATGTACAACAGTGCAGCAGACAGCTGCAAAAAGGAGGGCCAACTCTACCAACGCTGCGATTTCCAACGCTGTGCTAAATGAGATGAAAATGGTACAAGAAAGGCTGGCTTATGTTATCCTTCATGTAAGTATAAAACAAGAATCATCTCTTTACTTGTGCAAAAGTAACAGAAGCAGCCTTGAGGCAGTGACCCCGCCAAACCGTCAGTTCCCACAGCTGTGACTCTTCCAAGCAGTGACAGCTCTTGATCCTGAATTCCACGTGCTGCTAAAAAGGAGCTGAAGTTCCGTAGGGAAGCGGAACTGGGGCAGGGAACACACGAGGTGAACCTGGGACATCCAGTGCTGCCAAAAGGAAGTGGGCAGCATTCAGAGGCAGCCTGCGGAAAGCCCAGCGGTGACCGCTGGGGCTCCCAGAGCAGTGCGCGCACAGGGAAGGCAGAGGATTTAACCCACAGAGCAGGGCACTTCTGCGGCAGCAGTGACGTGAGCAAGCCGGAGGAAGAGGCAGCACTGCCGCCTTACAGAATCCCAGGGAATTCTAATTCACATATATATAAAATAAATGAAGGAAAAGAAGTCACCATTAGGAAAATACTACAGTAATAACTGTCGCAAGCAAAATAAATTGAGGATGTTAAAACTAATGGTGAAATGGGATTTTTATAGTTTCTTTCCTAAGGTATTTTATCAACTACCAAGGGAAAGGCAGTTTTTTTTTTTTTTTTTAAGTAGGAGAGAAACCTGGCAGACAGCCCCTTCACCACTTGGTCACCAGTACCAAGAATAAGAAACAGTGACATCGTGACGCCTTCGGCCTGGTGCATGAAGGATGCAGCGTCATTTCAATGGCAATCCCGCCCAGAACGCCTCGATCCACTGCAGCCATGAGAAACATCAGACAAACCCAACCTGAGCGAAATGCTACCACACAAAACCCATTCAAAAGTGACACAGCCATGAAAAGCAAGGTAGCTGATGGACTGTTAGCTAGAGGCGATCACTGAGAAACAGTGGGGAAATGCAGTGTGGGATCCTGTTTAGGATTCTGAAGCAGAGAAAAGAAAATACGTAAAAACCTTCAAACCCAGACCTGGGGACACGGTTCAGGGCAGCGCTCCCGCCTAGCACATCCGAGGGTCTGGGTTCAACGCCCGGTACCCTTCCCCTCCAAACACACAGACAGATGTGCAGTACCGGCAGTGAGGGAAACCTTCAGGAGCCTTCAATGGTAACAGCCCGCTGTGGCACGTGTGCCACAGGTTCACCACCACGGGTACAGGCAAAAACAATGTGCCATTAACTTTTTGACTCTAATCACTGTGCAACAGCTGTGTAAAACATTAGAGAGGGCTGGATGAGGAATACTTGGTAATTGCACTATTTGTGCAACACTTTGAGTGTGCAAATAGTTTAAAATAAAATGCTATGGAATGCTAATGCTAGAAACAGGCTGCTGGACCAGCTAAGACTGAGATAAGGCAAAGTGAGAACTAGAAGCTAGACTCAGGTTAGGCACAAAACATTTAAACCTACTATTTATAATTTCTTGTTCTATTACTCAGATAGTTATTTGTTTCCCATAAATGACAGGGATGGAAAGAACTGCCCAGCTGAGATAATAATCTGGTTATCTTATTGCAAGTGGTGGCTTAGCCTTTCATTTTTCTCAATTTACAAGTAGATTTATTTAATGGATATTAATTATAAATATTAAGCATGGCTTTTGAGATGTAAATTTCTCCAAAATTCCCTTTTCTAATTTTGGAATCTGCCTCTGATCATAGTCAAAATTTGATATTATTACCTTTCTCTCAAATGTCCTTTAGAATATGTTTGAGCTCGATAAACATTTAATTATATAAAAGTAATACAAGAAGAACATTTAGAATAATGCAAAAAGTAAGCTTACACAGCAGTTTTTCCACTTTTCTTTTTCTAAGAGGTTTTGTGTCTGGTTCAGATTGCACTGAAAGAAAAGAACTGCCAAAGGGGCATGGCGGCACATGCCTGTAACGTCTGGGAGGCTGAGACAGGAGGATCACAAGTTAGAACTCAGTTTGAGTAATTCAGCTATTTAGTGACACCTGTAGCTCAGTGTGAAGCCCTGGATTCTATCTCCAGTATTGGGGGTGGCGGCTAAGCTTTCATTTCTTTAATTACAAAGTGTGATGGTTTGTGTCTGGATGTTCCCGTAAAGTCTCATGCAGTTATGGGTGCAGGCTTCTAGAATTTGTGATTGATTCAGGGTCCAATGCTGGGATTATGGGTGTGAGTTCTCTTCCCACCTAGGGCAGGTAGCCTATGCACATTTAAGGCACGGAAAGAGCCTTCTTCCATATTTCTCCCTTTGCTCTTGCTTTTGCTGTTTTCCACTGCCATGAACTGTTGCCCTTCTGCCTTGGAGTTAGCTGAGTATGGAATGAAACCTCCACGAACTGTGTGCTAAATAAACCTTTTCTTCCTTAATTTTGGGTGCCAGGAATTTTGTCTCAGCAATGAGAGAAAAAAAGCAACCAAGACACAAAGCACCTTATACAAATGGTAACTGGAAGGATTTTTAAAAATGTAACACCTTTGGGCCAGGGATGTAGCTCAGCAGTACAGTGCCTGCCTGACAAGCATGAGGTCTTGAGTTCAATTTCCAGTACAAAGAAAAAAAAAGTAACACCTTTGAAATGCTGACACTAAATCTTCATGAAAATAAACACTTTGTAAACTAGGCTACTTTGGTTTTTTTTTTTTTTTTTTTTGTCTTTTTCTTTTTTATCGGTACCGGGGATCAAACTCACGACTGCCTGCTTGCAAGGCAGGCGCTTATGCCACTGAGCTAAATCCCCAGCCCCATCAAATCAATTTTTTAAAGACAGGAAGTAAATACCTGCGAATGAGGAATGTTTTAGTATCTAAATTACTTGTTGAACCGGGGAAAATCATCCAGAATTCAAGAGAAAACCCTGGGATTGTGAATGTAAAGTGGATAGAAACTCAAATATCGAGCTTTGCAATGTAAATGCAGAGGAAAATCAGGTATTTCTTAAGCCAGTACAGCACCAGCCCAGAATCACGCCGGCCGGTTCTGGCAGGTCTGCTCACTTTCTTCTCCCGCACTCCTCGCCTCACGCCACCTGCTTCGGGACCCTCAGAGCCAATCTCAGCGAGTCTCCACAAAAGCCCAGGCCTGGTTCATCTCAGCTTCCTTCCAGCTGCTCTCCAGGGAGCTGCCACCCAGCCTCAGCTGCCACCAGGAATCCTCTGGTGGGGCCCTCTGAACCCAGGCACCTCCCCGAGTCCCCAGCCTTTGTAGCAGCTGCTTTTATCCCTTGTTGTAATGCACGCCATCCCCGCGGGCCTCAGACTGCTGGAAGCTGCTGCAGGGAGAGGCCCTTCTTGCTCTTGGTGTTGCTCGCTCACTCTCAAAACACTCAACTTTGAAGCTTGTGTTATCTTTCACTACTGCGTGCTGCAGGCCTTTACAGATCGCTGGGCACTCACTCCATTTACGGGTGATTTTAACTCGTCATTCACTGCTTTTCTCTTCTCTTTTTTTCTTGCTTGTATTATTCAGTGAGCTAAATGAACACCCTTCTTAAATACCATTTCCCAGTGACTTCACGCACATTCTCCTGCAAATTAACACAGCTGGAAAATCACCACATGGACACGCAGGAACATTAACCCCTGGAGCCTGGGCAGTCACAGTGCACGCGCTGGATCAGTCCCTCTGCCACTTCTCGGAACAATGACTTCCTGCCTTTTCTCTTTCGTGAAACCTATGTTAGTTTTTCCTCCATGATGACTGAGTTGCTGACTCTGCTCCGTTTCAACGAGGCAAAAGAAGCAAACAGAAGTCTACCACAAGCATCCTTTCTCTATCAACTCTTCCACTAGCAAATAAGTTACTGTTTTTGCTCATCCCTGCTCTGGCTAAGGCTTCACAGTGAGTCAGGTTTTAGCTCTCTTGCCCACTCCCACACTCTCATTCAGCCTGTGACTTTAAACACCACCTGTATCCAAGTTTGTGTCGTTACCCAGACCGTTCCCCAGAAGTCCTAAACACTCATTAAATACACACCTCCACTTAGATGCCATTTTACACCCAAAATCTAGTATCTAAAACTAAGCTTCTAGGGCCGGGGATTTAGCTCATGGCACAAGTGCCTGCCTTGCAAGTGCACCATTGTAAGTTCAATCTCTGGTACTGACCCCCCCCCCCAACAAAACAAACAAACAAACAAATAAACTTTGCTGCTTAAAACTGAGCTCCTGAGTTTCTCTACAAATGCACCTTTTTGGTAGTTCTTCCTTCTCAGTAAACAGCAACTCATTTTCCCGGATGCTCAGAGCATCCTGCACTGTCCTCCTGCCTTCACAATGTAACCCTAACTGGACTGTCCCTGCTGTGCGTTTGCTGGTTCCTCATCGGCTCTTGCGTAATGTCTTGCGATAGTCTCCCACTGGTTTCCCTCTTTGCACCCTCACATTTCTCAACAGGTTAATTTTTTTTTTTGGTACCAGGGATCAAACTCATGACCTCACACTGGCTAGGCAGGCGCAGATGCCAGAGCTACCTTCCCGACCAGGGTGCTCTTGATGGTACCCCTGAGCCATCCTGTGAAAACCTGTCAGACCTGTTCACTCACTGCTGACACTTCCTGTGAGTCCTTTCCACTCTCAGGAGTCAGAGTCTAACAGGGACCTCCATGCGACCTGGCCCTGCGCAGCCTCTCTTCTGGCTGTCACTGGCAGTAGCAGGTGATTCTGATGACCTTTTAAGTGTCTAGACGTCCTCCCTAGAGCCACACGCTCCAGTCCCTCAATTCCTTGAAGTTGCATGAAAATACGAAACTCTCAGTGCAGTCTTTCTTTATTTCTCAGCTAAAATTACATTCCTTTCTCTTTCCTCAGACATCACCTCCTCTTCCCTACTTAATTTTTCCCCTTAGTGCTCACAAAGAAAACTACATGTTTGGCCTGCAGTCTCTCTCCCTATGTCAGCTTCCTGAGGACAGCGACTCTTGTCTGCTTCTGTTTACTGCTTATGTAGCTGGCAGGAGCAGAGTGCGGGGCACATGCCAGCCGCTCAGCAAGCACCGACTGAATGCATGAATAAGCGCTACCCACTGCCTGGAACAACAGTAAGATGACAGAAAGAGTCAGGCATAATCAGATGAAATTAAATGGTATGGCAGCAATGTAGCAGCACATGAAACAAAATCCTTAGACCGGTGGGTCACAGCTAACTCCACAAAACACATCCAGAGAAGGGGAAGAGGCGAGGCCCTGAGTGTAGTTTATAGTGCACTGGGGTAGGACTGAGAAGTGTATTGAAAGACAAAGAGCACAGCCCAAAGAAAACAAAAAGTCAGCAGGAAAGGCTCAAATGCTTCACAATTGGTTCAAGCTATTAAACTTCACAGAGGCATACAGTCAATAAAAAGGTTCAATGCGAGATGATAAACAGCTCTGCAGGATCAAAGAAACAACACGTCTGTACCACAGGACGGGTATATACGAGACCCAACAAGGGATAAACACAGGCAGTGCACTGGAGAAAAGAAAATTAAGGATGCAAAGACTGGGTATAATTCTAGAGAATGAATATGGAAAAGAGAAACAGGCACTCTGATAAAAGCAAAAATAACAATAACATAAGGCTAACTGGTATCCCTGAAGTAAAGGTCCTAATAAATGGAATAGCATGCATGCTCAAAAATATCATACCTTCCCCAGAAATACAGGAAGCACTGAATCTGCAGATTAAAAGAACACATATCTTGAAAATATACAGCTTCATTTGGATTTCAAAAGATAAACTCTTTAGGTATTCTCCACATAAAAAGAAAATCATCAAAATGGGGGAAAATTAGGCCAGTCCCAGACTATTCCTTACTAGAACAATAATATCTATCAAATTCTAAGGGAATGGAAAAAGCATGACTGCGTAGTGTGGCTGAATATCCCATATCCACAGTGCTTGAGACCAGAAATGTTTTATATATTAGAATGTCTCCACATACACAATCAGACATCTCATGAAGGGGATCCAAGTCTAAACACAAAATGTATTATGCTGCATAGACATTCCACACATGTATGCTTTTTTTCTTTTTTTGGTGCCAGGGATCGAACTCATAACCTCGCATTTGCCAAACAGGCACTTACATCGCTGAAGTAAATCCCAGGCCTCCACATGTATGCTTATGGTAACTTAATACTGTGTTTTTAATGTAGCTGCATTTTAACTGTGACCATCACATGAAAGAGGTGGGAACTATTTGGAAAGTCAGGTCACCACCCAAAAAGTTTCAGACTTTGGATCATTTTGTATTTCAGATTTCTGCAGTAAGGATGTTCAACTGTAACCAGCTTACTACGGTTTCAGAATGAAGTAGCCAGGTACACATTTCTTTTCTTTTTTTTTTTGTCTTCTTCATTTTTATCGGTACCAGGGATCGAACTCACTGCCTGCTTGCAAGGCAGGCGCTTATGCCGCTGAGCTAAATCCCCAGCCCCCAGGTACACATTTCAATGACCACACGGAGCATGGTACATCTGAAGCCTTCCCAGAAAAAAAAGAGCAACATAAAAGTTCGTCAAAAAACTGAGGAAAGAATTATAACAAGGATGCTAGTAAACAGGAAACCCAGCAAATATTTAAGATCTTAGCCTGCAGAACGCAATGCTTTAAGAGCTGAGGATATGGCAGCAACAAAACCCCTGCCCTTACGGAGCTTACTTTTTTGGAAAACGAAAGAGAAACAGATACTGTCAGGTGCTGAGAGGTAAGGAGTGCTATGGAGAAAAATGGAGAAGGGTAGAGAAGGACAGGGCCCTGAGGAGTGGAGGAGGCCCGTGCTGTTAGGAAGGGTGGCCAGGGAAGAGGCTCTGCCACAGCTCGCTGTAGAATGCACGGAGCTCCGAGATGACAGCAAGGTGGTGTCACACGGTGAAGTGGGATGGGAGAGCTGGGCGTTGGGTTTGAGGCTTCTTGGACACAAGAAACAATCAAGAAATGGAAGGCTCTGTGCCCGGGAAGGGACTGAAGCTGGACCCTGACACCTGTCAGTGCTTAGTGAGATGGGAGAGGAACACAGCTTGAGAGGGAAAATGCACGCCAAAAGGTATGGAAAGAGGATTATGCCACATCGCCTTTAAGAATAAGCGACGAACTGGACTAACGTGATGGGCTGTAGGAAAAGCTGAGTGTGTTGGAGGTTTGAATGCTCAATTTACTGAAATGTAATTATTTGACAGTAATTACTACTGTGCTGCAAACATTTTCTAAAATTAAGTAGCACAACCAGGCATGGTGGTGCTTGCCTATAATCCCAGCACTCAAGAGGCTGAGGCAGGAGGATCACTGCAAGTTTGAGGCCAGCCTGGGTTACACGGTGAGTCCAAGACCAAATCAAATGATATAGCAAGACCCTGTCTCAAAAAAGAAGAAGAAAAAAAAAAAGGGTAGTGCCCAATGGGATGCAGGCTGTTGCCCTGAAATAATGTAGAACTGCTTTTTATTATAGACTAGTACAAACACTGTGGAAATCAGTGTGGAAATTCCTCAAAAAATTAGGATTAGAGGTCCCATTCAACCCAGGTAATCCCCTTCTGTGTATCTTCCCAGAAGGATTGAAAAACATCACACCACAGTGACATATGTGCAACCCTAAGGTTCAAAATATACAATAGTCACTGTGAAATGGGAGAAAACTGTTCAATAAAAAGAAGAAACTAAGATAGGGGAAAAGAGAAAGGATAGAAGGGAAAAGAAAAAAATCCAAGTTAGTTATACCATTAGTGTCACTTAGTTCACTGAATAGGAAAGCTTGCGCTAATATTGACTGAAGAAATTTTTATGCCCATATTTTGTACTTGAGTGACTAAAGATAATGATGTGTAATTTATCAACAATTGTTACTTTTTCATTATTTTGTTGTGAAAATTTGTTTTACCTTTTCTTCTTAATATTAACAAATAAAGTAAAAAAAAAAAAAAAGAATCAGAGAATAAAATAGGTCAACTCGAATATCACTAGTTAGTAAATTTGCCAACCGGTAGCTCCAACTAATCATTAGGGAGACAGCTTAAAAGAGTGTTTTTCAAAGGAATCAACAAAAAGCTGTAATTAAGTATATTGTGAGTTACCTATTTTTTTCACAACAGAAACAACAAATCCTATGAGGTCCACTTCAGAGTAAGGTGGCTGAAAGTCCGGCTCTAACAGTCTGCTGAAGCAAAGGGCCTGCCTGGGGCGATAAGCCTGGAGTAAGATTTCATCTGATGCCTACAGAAAACAAAAACAGCACACATAAAGTATGACATAATATACGGTCATGAAACCTGGAAAATCATAATAAAGTTTTGTACCGTTAGTTGTTGGTACTGAGTTTTTTTTGTTGCTGTTAACTGGATGTTGGCTCTTTCTGATTTGCTTTTAGATTTTGATGCTGCAAGATGATAGATTCTGTATCTCTTCCCCTCGGTTAAGAGTGAATGTAAATCTGATGACGGTCGCCAAATACTCAATATAACTGTTTAAAGAAAGATGAAAATAACACAGTGGGAAGAACTGGTAATCACTAAAATTCTTAAAAATCAGCACAGGTAACAATAAAAAATCTAAAGATTTTCTTATGATTCTGTGAGCAGCGGCAGCCCATTTTGTTCCTCTGATATACATTCTACTATATGTAGTAATTGTAATCTTTAAAAATAGCTTCATTTTTAAAAACAGTGCTGATAAAACATCTGAATACAAACCTGAACAGTCTTCCTTTCTCTCATGGCTTACAACACGCAGCCTCCACAGGGCCGCGACATCCCTTGCGAGACCACGCTCCCCCTGCTCGGCGTGCTCCACGGCTTTCCGGAACTCCAGCTGCATCTGCGCCTGTCTCTTAGCGTCCAGCATCTGCCTGTGCTTGTTCAGCGCTCTCAGCTGCTCTTCACTGAAGCAACCCTGTGACCATTCACAGTATTGAAGGAAAAAATAAAACAGAAAGCCATCTACCACAACCAGATTGCTTTAAACAGGAAGAAAATATGACAGATTTGAGTTCTTTTAAAGGCAGGGATTAATGTACTCAGTTTATTACATAATATTCCCAAGGGCTTCAACTATGAATTTACTTCACCACACTATGGATTGCTGGCTGCACAAATGGCTGCATCCATGAGCCTGGACCTGTGTGTGGGAAATGTACTGATTCACCTGACCCTCAGCACAGTTCTTTGAGACAGGTGCTATTGTAACTGGTGAAGCCGAAGCGCAGGGAGAGTAACAGCTGCACAGGCCACACTGGCCAGGAGGACTAAGAACCTCCGTCTTCAGACTCTGCGGTGCAAGCTCATTAACTCGCTGCAACAGTAGATGTAACATGCGACATAAACACTTCTATCTTTTTGCCTCAAAACTTCTCGAGTCCTTCTAATGAATTCCTCTTAGGAATTTTATCATAATAAAAGTGAGTGAATAATAAAATACAATAGAAAATGGAATTTAGACATTAACATACTAACTTTAGGTCACCTTACACATTTTAACATCTGGAAGAGAGACTATAAAATCTCTGTATCACTAAAGGTCACTCGAAACACATACATAACATTTAATTTATACACTTTTTTTTAAAGCCTGCATTTCAGAAGGCCTGACAACACAGGCCAGGTGTGGTGGCTACAAGGCCAGCCTGAATGACACAGCAAGATCCTGTCTCAAGAAAACCAAACCAACCAACTGAACAAACAAAACAAACAGAAGGCTACAACATTGTTAGTGTGAACAATTTTTCTTTTTATTTTTGCTGCAGTACTGCAGATTGAACCCAGGGTCTTCATACCAAGCTGTATCCGCAGCCCTTTTATTTACTTGAGAAAGGGTCTTGCCAAGTTGCCAAGGCCAGGTTTAAATTACAGTTTGCTGTATTACAGGTTTGTCCTACCATGCACAGCAGATTTAGGGAATCTGCAGTTTTAGAGAATAATAACTTCCCTAAAATATCCCCCTCTCTCCTAATAAAGTAATACTGGAATTTGAATTATTTTAGACATTTAAGAGTCAAACATTTAGTTAAGAAGGTGCCTTAATGAAATATTTTAATAATAGCAATTAATATTTATTTTATATACACTAGATCATGTGATATTAAAACAAGCTATATATAGCTATTTTATTCACAATTTGCTTAGTTAATAAATGGTAAAGCCATGATTAAATGGTAAAGGCTCCACAATTTCTAACATGGTTTAGTGCTTCTGAAACTTTCCTTTCCTAGAACATTTAAGGAGGAGATTTATGAAAGAAACTACATAGGGCTTGAGAAAGAGCTGGGGACATGGGAATTTAGACACCATTTAAAGATACCTGTTTTACTTTAAAACCAGCAAGTTTTACCTGCATTTTCAGCACATTTATTTAACCTATGATGTTCCTGAAACTTCCCTTCTTCTCGACACACCACCTGGTCTGGAACCTCACCAAGGACCCAAACTGCACTCAGCCCTGCAGAAGACACACCCGTCTTCAGGAGGGGTCAGGGCTCTCTCACCTCCAGGTACCCCGGCTCTGGCGCACTCCTCACGGCTTCATACAGCTCTGCACCATCCTGCAGAGCACGGACCTGCTGTCTTGTTAGTGCATGTGATGATGTACACCGCTTTGCTGGGTTTGCTTTAGCAAAAAAAAGCATTACTGATTATCCAAACCAAAACTTTAACAAAAAATTACAGAACTGAGCAAATGTCATTTAAAGAAAGGAGATCAATTTTTAAAAAAATGTATCTGCTAAATGTTTCCTTGAAAAATCTGAAACCAGTACACTCCTGTAGTTTTTTAAAAAAGTCATACACACTTAAGAGTAACTTGTAAATTAAGTAAATGGTTTCTCTGATTGATTTACTTCTTTATGAAAACCGTATGAGCCAGGGTTTTTTTTCATTTTGTTTTTGTGGTACTGGGGATTGAAGTTAGGACATTCATACTCAGTTACATCCCCATCCTTTTTAAGACAAGGTCTCACTAAGTTGCTCAGGTTGGATTCGAATTTGTGAACCTTGTCTCAGCTTCCCAGACTCCTGATACTACAGGCGTGCACCACCATGTCAGGCTGAGCTGGTGAGAACTGTAAGTAAACTAAACACTGGCAGATTTATACAGAATATGAAGTTAAATAATACAGAAAATCATGACAAAATGCAGGAAGACATATAATCTACAGCAATAAAGGTAGGTTAGTAAAGCAAATTTACATCATTTAAACATAAATACACTATGATTTTTATTATTAACAATGATGTCATAGGGACAATAAATCCTAATTCTACATATAGCATAAAAATTAACAACTTCAATGACAAAAATATGAAGTTGTATAATGCAATAAGGATATTAAGGAAGAAGAGTGTCAGATAGTTTAGGGGAAAATGAGCTGACAGCTTTCCTCTTACTGCTTTTTTATTTCTGGTAGAGATGCAGCCTGGGCTGGCCTTGAACATACAGCAACCCCCCTGTCTCAGCCTCCCGAGTGCTGGGATTACTACAGCCATGTGCCACCTCGTCTGGCTGCTCTTCTTTTTCCAATACTAAGAGGAGGATTCTCTGCTACTTTATAGCTGAAGCTTAGAGGAAATGGACCTAAAGGCTCTGAAAAATGCTGAGGGCCTGTCATATTTTACTTGTCAAGTCAATTACAAATTATCTAAATGTTCACTGTTCTGAAAAAGGCAGTGATATTTGGGTAGTTTACATGTTTACTTGTGTATCTGTGTAATAAAATTCTTAAACATCAAGACTCAAATGCAGAATTTAAGAAAGCATTTATTGGGGCTGAGGATTTACCTCAGCGGCATAAGCACCTGCCTTGCAAGCAGGCGGTCGTGAGTTCAATCCTCGGTACCGATAAAAAGGAAAAAGACCAAAAAAAAAAAAAAAAAGATTATCTTTATTAAAAAAAAAAAAAAAAAAAGAAAGAAAGCATTTATTACTCCAAGACACCTTTAGAGGCCTCTTAAACTTTGTTCTATGAAAATGATTTTAATATCCAAGTCAGTACCTTCACGTTCTTCAAACTGTGCTTGAATTCTACTGAATAAGGCTTCCAGCTTCTTCTGCTGGGCCTCTGCATGTTTTGCTGCTTCCTTTTCTTCTTCTCTTTCATTGCGAAATATGTACAATCCGGATGACGTCTTCTCCACCCACTATAAAATGTGTTATGTTAGTGAAACAGGAGCAAGGAAAATCAAATTAGTCACCTCAAAAGAAGAAAACACACAGCAAGTTCCCCGAAGGTACCCTACCTGCACGGGGTACACTCTCTGAACCACGACGTCCGCACAGCCCACGGCTCCCCCGTCACTGAAGAGCGACGACAGGCACAGCGGGAAGGGCCGAGGGTCGGGAAGGAACCCCAGCCTGGCGTCCCAGCGAGCGGGCCGCGTGCTGTTGGCTGAGATCTGGAAGAACAAATGAATGCAGCGATTCAGAAGCTAACTATGTGTTCAGTTCCACTCAAGATTTCCTAAGGGTTTCATTCTTGTCATCCCATTGAAAATTAGTTATTTCAAAGTATCTCATGAAGATTGCTAGGAAAGTGACTAAGTATAGAAAAACTGTACAAAAGTAGAAGTATTTTCTTTTTTCTTTTTTTTTTTTTTTTATCAGTACCAGGGATCGAACTCAGGACTGCCTACTTGCAAGGCAGGCGCTTATGCCGCTGAGCTAAATCCCCAGCCCAAAAGTAGAAGTATTTTCAAAATATATATTTATTTATACTTACACTGATAGTCTTAATATAAATATTAATAGAAATATATAAATATATTAATAGAAATACATATTTTGATATATTTATACTGCTGTAGTCTTAGAAATACTAATATAAATGTTTATAATATATTTATAAATAAATAGAAATAAATATTTCTATTAGGAAATAAAAGGGCTTCTTTTTTTTTTTTTTTTTTGTCTTTTTCCTTTTTATCGGTACTGGGGATTGAACTCACGACTAGGACTTCAATTTTGAACATACTGGATTAAAATACACTCATTCCTCCAGGTTTCCTCCAAAACCCACAAGACCAAACGGAACCAGGAAGAACAGATGAGCTCTCACCCAAAGTTTGGAAGCTAAAACTGTATCAGGCAAGTAAATGACAGAGTAGCCTGAGAATGATGATAGCTAATAAAAACGGCAAACATTCACAGTGCCCTTACTCTGGAGCCGGTGGCACGGTGTCAAGTCATTTTGACTACTGACATTTAACTGTAACAGCTCTGAGAGTTGTCCTTATTTTACTGACAATAAAACTGATGTACAGAGCAAATTACGTAATCTGGCCAAGGTTGCTCAGACACCAAACTTTTCGTAAGGAACCAATATGACACAAAATAACTGAGGGACACTCTTAGAAACTGGAGGTATCTCTGGAGGCAGGAACATACCGTGGAGCAGAAAATAGAAGTGAAGCAAAAAATACAAGAAAAGTTTCTTCAAAGATAGCTAGACCCCAGACTTCCTTTCTTATCCCAACTGCCAGGTGGCAGTCCTCTGTCCCACTAAAGGAGAATGCAGGAAGCCGCGCTTTCCGGAGGCTGAACCACACACTTGCTGGACTCTGAACGCTGCACAGAAGCACTGAGCAGAGGGACAGATGTTCTATCTAAAGCAATCATGAAATAACTGTGAGTCCCCCTGTTAGTTTCTTTAGTCTGCTCAGCTCCTGAACAGTCACTAGCATGTGAAGGTTTCCTAACTAAAAACCTAAATCCCCACCTCACCACTCTAAAGTCAGAAACCTCCTCCTCCCTCTCAGGACTCCAGTCAGCTCACTGGTGCCCCTCCCTGGAGGAGGACAGATCAGCAGTGGTCACCAGCTGAGGACTGTCTCCTCCACCACACCAAGAGAAAGAGAGGTTCTCATAGGGAAAAAGGTACTATATAAAGCCGGAAGCAGAAAAAATAAAATATTAATCAGTTGCTTCAGAAAGATGCAAAGATATTGCATCCATAACACAAGAACCAAATGCAACAACAACAAAGACATTTAAAAAATAAGAAAGGAGGTCTTCTGAAAACTATGCAAGTAGACAAATTCACTTTAAGGCTTACAAGACAAAAATGAAGAACTATTGTAGAAAATAGGAAGCAAAAGACAACAAAATATAAAAAAGAACAAAAGACCTGAAAATAAGAGGACCAACCTAGGAAGAATAGTGCCCGAATATCAGACAATCTAGAAAACAAGAAGAGAAAATTATGAAAGAATCACTTCAAGAAAATCTCCCAGAACTCAATGAAGGACACAATTTCTAGACTGTATGCCACTGAGTACCCAGGACAATGATTAAATGATTATTTAAAAAGCACAAAGATCTTTCTTTACTGTGAAATTTCAAAATACTGGGAGTGAAAAACAATCTTAAAAATAGCCCATATAATGAAGAATTAAGGAAGAAAGTCAATGAGCCCAGCTATATGCTATGTTAATAAAAAGAGCTATAATAGAAGCAAGAAGCTAATGAAGAATAGGTCTTCAAAGTTCTAAAGGAGTAATTTCAACCTAGAATCCTATATTCAGCTAACCACACCACAGGGTCTCAAAGAGCTACACGTGGCCTTTCTCGAGCAGCTTCCAAGCTGAGTGCAGTGGTGCATACACACAATCCCCCACCCTGGGGGCTGAGGATGGAGGACTGCAAAAAAAAAAAAGCCCAGCCTGGGCAACTCAGTGACTTAGCAAGAGCCTGCCTTGAAAAACAACACAGAGAATTCAATGCCCAGCGCCGGGGTGGGGAGGGCAGTGCCTGAGCTGTGAGCTTCTAGGATAAGGAATAAATCTAGCAAGATGCCATGAAACCCAGGGAAAAGGGCTTCTGACACAGAAGGATTTTTAGGGTGGTAACTGTGGAGCACAGAAAGAAAATAACCACTTCACAACAAAGTAGGAGTGTGGAAAGGTTTGGGGGTCCCCAAGAGAAATATATGAAGGTCATGGAAGTATTATAACATTTGGGGGAGTACTGTTATAGATCTTGTGTGAAAATGAGTCAAGTTGCAGAAAATATTTTCACAGTCATTACATTCAGCCAGAATGAGGCAGATTCTCCCCAAACACCACCAACTGAACAATCTGCCTCTTACATTAAAGATCATCAAGGCATCATTAATAAGTAAATTTAAATTTCTAAGTATAAAACTGCTTAAGAACTTAAGTGAACCAGTGACTGAATCTTACCGAGACACACATTAACTTACCTTTAACATAAGAGACTCTGGGGCTTCAAGAGGTGCGCAGGCATCAGGAGAGCCCACCAGTTCTGCTCCGTGGGTGACGACCTTCTGACCCACGGCCAGCCTCCCGCTCTTCAGGAGGGTGGTGAGAGGCGGGTCCAGCTGGGCCCTGACGGCGTACCACCCGTCTGTAAGTTCCACGACGGCCGCTTTCTTGATGTCTGCACTGGCTTTATCGCCAGAGCCTTCAGACGTATTTGTGTTGGATGAAACAATGTCAGAGACACAGAGGACAAGTGTTTTTGCAGCTATATCGTCCCTTTCCAGGATCTTTTTTATAGCTGACCTTCTGCTTCTATCAATTTCCACATCATATCTAAAAATTTTTAAAAATGCTCATTTTAGGAATTGTGTCTCTAGAATTTCACTGTAAACAAAGTCACTAAGTAAGAAAATTTATCAAAGAATACAAATTTTTTAGTTAGAAATACATTGTTTTATATTATTGAAATATGATTACGAAAGTTTAAAAAAATAAACTTTGTTGCCGATTCATGAATAATGGGTCAAATTACTAATCTGCATTGTTTTCAGACCCCAAGAGGTTGAAGAGGGAGTGGGGAAGAGGAAAGGAAGACCTGTGAACCTGCCATCTCTCTCAAGTGGAGCTGGGAGATGAGGAGAGAACAACTCTACCCAAAGCACGGAGGCAAGGAAGTCACAGCCTGCAGAGGTCTGGATCCCCCACAGGAGATGATCACTTAGTATTAAACTTGCCTGTATTTTAGCTGAAGAAGGACCCTTTCTGGATTCAGGCATCTGCTAGCAAATTCCTGAGGAAAAGCAACTTCCATCGCCGCCAGTTTCCATATAATCCATCTGTAGTGGTTACAGACCCAAACTCTAGAAATAAGCTTTGGATCCACACCTGGAGTGTCACACAGAGCCCTGAGCAAACACATGTAGAACAAACCAAAAACCATATCAGATAGTACTAAATTCAACAACTGTCACATGACCATCTTCTTTGCAAACAAACAAAAAACACATGTGCGAGACTGGTCAGGTTTCCTGGTGGCTCACACCTGTAATCCCAGCACTCACGAGGCTGAGGTGGGAGGATCATTGCGAGTTGAAGACCAGCCTGGGCTACAAAGTGAGCTCAAGGCCAGCCGGAACTGCATAGAGAGACCTCATCTCAAAAAAAAAAAAAAAAGACTGGCCAGGTTTTATGAATGAACACATGATCTACAACATAAATTCAGAAAACCACCATGTATCAAATAGCACACAAATAAAAATGGTCAATAAAATGATTTAAACTTACATAGAGTTTTTCCTCAAAATTGAGATTCTTAATTAGAAATAATTGTATTTTAGACAATACTTTCCTACTATAGAGAATATTCCTAAAAATCACACCTCAGAAAGCTCACTCCTGCTCTTGGGCTTGTCTTCATGTCATTCCTGATCTTCTTAAATCTATTATTATTATTATTATTATTATTGGTACCAGGGATTGAACTTATGACTGAGCTAAATCCCTGGCCCCTAAATCTCCTAACTCCTCATCCTCCCTTACTCTCCCTGCACTACGACAAGAGTGACGGAAAGGGTAGGTACTTCCGCAAACTCTGCTCCCAGGACCCCTCACTGCTGTATCTTTATGCTGCGCCTCTGCCCTTCGTGCACATGCGCCCAACCTCTCTTGCCACTCAAAGCCATTCACTTAGAATTGCCTTCTCTCCTGTGTCAGTAGATTCTCCCCTTTCTACTAGACAATATCCATCAGCATAAAAAAGTAGGTTTTGTTTCTTATTTCAAAACACACAAACTAGCCTGAACTGACCCCTTGATCCCCCTTGCTCCTCCAGGTACCCCTCCACACACACCTTGTTGCTATAGTTTGGATAAAGGGTCTCCCTCAAAACTCATGTTGAAACTTACTCCTAACACAACAGTATGGCGAAGGGCCTCGTGGGAGGCTGCAGATTGCTGGGGTGCCCCCTTAAAGGGGACAGCAGGACCCTGGCCCCTCTCTTCCTCCTGCACTCTAGTCATGAGGTGAGCACTTTCGCTCTGTCACACACTCCTGCCAGGGTGTCACAGGCTCAAAGCAGTAAGGCCAACCTATCAAGAGCCAGGAACTATAAAACTGCAGTCAGACGAAACAGCCCTTTTCTCTATAAATTGATTATCTCAGGTTTTTGCAATAGTGACAGAAAGCTAATACATGCATTACGATATTTTTCTTATCTACTAGACAATATCTACCAACATAAAAAATAAATTTGTGTACCTTAAAACATACTATCTTAAATTTATTCTTTTTGATCTGACTTTTTCTTCCCTATACTGACTCTATTTCTGCTTTTCTCTTTGGCAATTTCTGAAACAACTGACTATATTCTGTGTACTATTCTTCTTTAAATGCCTTTAATTGGACTCTAATCAAGCTTTCCTCCTACCAATCAAATTTCCAGGATGAAGACTCAGCAGATGAGCAGAACAGTTCTAAAGAAGAGTCTTGTGCAGATGGCCCTGAGAGGGGTGCCATGCCTGTGATACTGCCAGTAAGTGTGAGGCCAGGTCAGAAAGGAGTGGGTAAATCTTTATTTATTTATTTATTTTTTGGTACCGGAGATAGAACTCACGACTAGGCACTTGAAAGGCAGGCAGGTGCTTATGCCACTGAGCTAAAAACCTAGCCCCTGGTGGGTAAATCTTGAAAAAATGCTCTTCAGGAAACAGGTTCCAAAAAAAGGGTAAAATCAGTTCCTACTAATTTCAGCCCAGAGAGAGACGTTATATATGTACTGAGCGTGGAAGGTCTTCAAATCCTACCCAATACCAGAGCATACACACTGAGGAGAAACCTTAAGTGTGCACCAAATGTGGGAAGGCTTTCAGCTACAGCTCCAACCTGACCCTTCATTACAGAACACGCTTGGTAGACAGGCCCTATGACTGTGAGGGAAAGCCTTCAGAGGGTTCAGGCCTCCTTAAACATCAGCAAATACACGTGGAAGAGGCGCCATACCAACGTGAAGATTGTGGCAAGGCCTTTAGTGGCAAAAGCAGCCTCATTTGACACTATCGCATCCACACTGGGGAGAAGCCCTCCCTGTCAGTGCAACGAGCGAGCGTGGGAAGAGCTTTACTCAGCGTGCAGGTCTCAGCTCACACTGGCGCCTCCACACTGGAGAGAAGCTCTATAAATGTAAGGAATGTGGGAAGGTTTCAGTTCAGCTCAGATTTTAATGAACATCACAGAATCCATACTGGGGAAAGGCCCTACTAGTGTAATCATCGTGGGAAAGCCAGTAGCAAGGTAAATCTTTCCAAACACCAGAGAGTGCAAATTGGAGAGGCCGAAGTGCTGTGACTGTCAAAATGCCTTATTTATGTAAACTTTAGAATGTGCTGTAGTAACAGCTGATTGATTCTGCTCCACTCAGCATCAAAGGCCACCTGTGGAGTGGCCTCTGCCCTGGCGGCTTCTCAGGGTAGAGTCCCCTCTCTACACTGCAGGACCCCCTGAACCATGCAGCACTGCCTTCTGAGAGCTAAATTGATGTGTATCCATGAAAATAAGAAACATTAAAAACGTCTTTAGCTGTTGTATTCTAGAACTGTAGTTTATAAAGAACTGAGCTATACTGACTAGAATTTAGTAAGATTCAGAATGAACTTAATACCTCAAAATAAAGCTATGTTAAATAAGGTTAGCAATGCCCTCTGCGCGGCTAAATCCAGTAACTGATTAGCAGTCACCACTTTACATTACCTACCAGCAGCAATCCTCAGAGCTGCTCCCTCACTATTTCCTAAAATGCTATCTCCCTTGGCATGCAAGAGACTCTTTCCTCTACATTTATTCTTAACTTTCTGATCACTCTCCCTTTTTCATGGAACCAAATTCCATCAATATGGTGAGAACTCCAAAATTGGTTTCTTTGGTCTCTACCTCACCTATGAATTCCACACATGCATATCCAACTGGCTACTAACATCTCCACTTGGATGTCCACGATCAGATATCAAGTTTCAAATACTCAAAGCTGAAGTCTCAAGTTCCCTTCCATCTTTGTTCTCAATTCTCGTAGCATTAACTGGTAACCGTCTTTCCAGCTGCTGAGCCCAAATCTTTGAAGCCATTCTCTTCTTCTCTATCTCTACATCCAACCCTTGATCAAACCATGATGGTGCCACTTGCAAACTGTACCTAAAATCCAACAGCTTTTCATCACCTGCTACCTTCATGGTCCCAGCAACCATCTTCTACCAGACTTCTGCAGTGGCTTCCTTAAGTGGCCTCTTGGTTTTATCTTTGCTCTTCCCCACAGACCAATCTCAACAAGCAGCCACAGTAACTTTTTCAAAAGTTAGTAGATCATGCCTCCCTCTGCTTTAAACTTTATTTCTAATGGCTTACTCAGAGTGAAAATTGCATTCATGTATTAAAAGCCAAGCTTCTCCCGAGGGTCTGTGAGGTCCTCTTCTACCTCACCTACTTCTGCTCTTCTCCCTACTCCAGCTATGCTAACTCCTTTCTTGCACCTTAAATACTTCTAAAGTACATTTCCCCCGAGACCCTCTTGACACTTTCTCTGACACTTCTGCACTCTCTGTGCACCTCTAAGGGATGTCAGTGAAGCCTTTCTGACTTTAAAAGTTACAGATGGGAGTGGCAGCATATACCTGTAACCCCAGCACTCTGGGAGGCTGAGACAAGGGGATTCCAAGTTCGAGCACAGCCTGGGTAACTCAGTGACTTAGCAAGATCCTTTCTCAAAATAAAAAATAAAAAAGGGCTGGGAACGTCGCTCAGTGTGAAGGCCCTGGGTTCAACCCCAAACTCATTCCCCCTCAAAATTGCAACTCATCTTATTTCCTCTACCATCCTTCAAACTTTATTTTCTATTTTCATACTACCGATCACCTTCTAATTCACATTTTACTATTTCAAAGGATTTTTTTGCACCTTCTTCTCTCACTAGGATGCACAGGACTCTAAGACAGGGATCACTCCGTGTTGCTTTGCTATGTCTTGTGCTTAGATTAATACTAAGAATATAGTAGATTCTCCAAAAATATTTAATGATCAAAAAACAGCTAAAAGGAGCTCAACACACTCAGTTGATGAACTCTGCCCACTTGGCTATAGAGTTAACTGTAGCTCTCTGTAGTGTGCAGTTTAGATAATATAGGAAAATAATACAAGTGTTGTACTATCACAATTTATAAGCAGCTGTATTTGTAAGAAACATCCAAAATATACATGGGCATCCTTTTTAAAAATACTTCAAAAAAGTTAAAACACTTTTCAGGAAAAAATGTTTTATCACATTCGTAAAACACTAGTTTTAGAAAGGTATGTATTTTTTTCTTTTTTTTGGTATCGGGGATTGAACTCAAGACTTTGCATTTGCCAAGCAGGCACTTATACTGCTGAGCTAATCCCCCGGCCCAGTTTTTTTTTGTACTGGGAATCAAACTCATGACCTCACCCTTGCCAGGTAGGCGCTTATATCATTGAGCTAAATCCCAGGCGATGTAGGGATTAAAAAAAACAAAACAAAAGAAAAAACCCAAGGGCACAAAAGAAAGGATTTCCATCTCTTTCCATAGCTTGAGGTAACCCATCCTGATAGGAAAACAATTTATGTACAGTGGAAAAAAAACGATCACACAGTTTCTAACCTGCTGATGCTCCAGAGCGGTGGTGGTGAATCTACGGCATGCATACGTATGCAGTGGGCCGCTTTATCACTGAAAGCTGTGAAAGGCTCACTACCACTGCTTCAGAGTGAGGATGTTTTCTAGTTATTTGGTACTACTAACACAAATATTTCTGTTTAACATTTAGTATTTGTAGTTTGTATCTGTAAGTTATACAGTGAAAAAGAACGCAACATAAATGTGTGCATGTTTGGGGTGAGTCTACCATAAAATCAAACTTAACTCTTCTTACTGTTTTAACTACTGTGTTAAGAAAAACAGACACTACAACAAAAACTCCATTCATAACCTCTAGGACAAACCACATTCTCTCTTCAAAGATCAGGTCTGCTTAGGGTAATAAAGATGTCAGGGATCACTGCTTAATCAATTTAATCTGAATGTTTGCTTAACCACAATATACTTAAAATGATTTAATACATGGAAATTAACCTTCTCGTCAGTTTTAGTTCAAGAGACACAATGAAAGACAAAAGGGCAATTGTGAGGCAGAGAATGATGGAATACATAACAGTTAACACGTTTTGCACACAGTACCTATAAAATTCTTCTTTTCCAGCCTTTCCATCATTGTCAGGTATAAGCCATCCACCATCAGCCACCTGTATTCCCTTTCCAGCCTGTAAATCTTCCTTACCAAAGTAATCCTGAATGTGAAACTTAAAAGATTCTGCGTTTTTGCTGTTGATTTTCATGCAATGTATAGATACACCATACATATAGAGCTGCATAAAATAGAAAAATTTGATAACAAAGTCAAATAAAACACTTGATGTCATAAAAACAAGTATAACATCCCACCACTGAATGTGCCCAAACTTTTGCATTTAAATACTGAAGTAATTATTATAAATACATTTCCTGGGCTGAGGGCACAGCTGAGTTGTAGAGTGTGTGCTTTTACCCTGGGTTCAATCTCTAGCACCACACACACACACACACACACACACACACACACACACACACCGCCCCCACCCACCCGCCAAAATCCTCAAAATGAAAAGCCTTTACTAGAGGCTTTCTTAGAAGCTGTAATGCATGAAAATGACCTATACTTCAAGAGCCTCCTGTATACTTGTATTCCTTCTGTGTATATGCCTTTTGCTATGTATATGCCACAGGAGGCACTCTGGGGATTAAAAACGGTAACAATTTATCACAGCTGTTAAATTCCAAAGGGAGGAAGGGAGAGATCTTGGAAGGATAAGTAGGTTAGGCAGTTGGACCCACCTCTGAGGTGCTTTCTTTCATCCCAATGCTTAACCCAACGTGTCTTTTTGCTTGTTCACTGCTTGATTCTGGAGTCAGACTCTTGTTCTGGAATTGTGGGTCTTCCACTTATTAGTTAAGGAACTCAACCCTCTCTATGACTCACTCCTCTCACAAATTAACACTGCTTTTCCTTGGTGTGGTTGTGAGGACTGATTGATACATAACCAGTGCCTTGTAGGACTACGTAGTGTCCTATATATATAAAGTGTCGCTGTTGATACTATCAACATTATTTCCACTGCAAAAAATTCTACCTAGACTGTAATGGCTTGCCCAAGTCCTCTTCTAAAAATGCAACTGAACTTTAGAAGGTTCACGGCCACCAGTTGTGCACATTTTACATTCAAGGTGACTGCTTTCCTCTAATGCCAAGATTTGAAGGATTAAGAGAAAGCATGGTTTCTAGGCACAGATCACTTTGACAGGATGGGGCAGGTCTGGGAAACCAAAGAGAAGTAGCACTGAAGGCAGATGTGGAAGTATGATTTCATTCATGTGTGTTAGCAGTGTATTTTCATTCTTCAAACAAAATAATTTGCAGGTACTAGTTCATAAAGTCACCCTTTGCTGTAAAAGCTCTAAAGATTACAGCGGAAGTGTACCTGTTTATGAGAACATGCAGAGGGAACTCGACCTCCTACTGCTGCTTTCAGAGAGATTCGAGGCAAACTGGATGTTTTTGCAAGATACAGACTTCCTGGCTGTGGAAAGATATGCTGCTTTTCTTTCTCTTTAATTCGAATATCCTGTATTTTCCTGGCATTCTGAAGGCTTGTCATTAAGTCTGTTGAAAAACAAATTAGTAAAAAATGGAACTGAATGTAAATTTTAAAAGTGCAACCCTTGCTTTATAAAATTGTATATCAATTTTCTCTAATTTCACATGCAGAAAGAAAAAAAGCTCTTAGAATTCTACTTGTAAATATTCAAGGATTTAGAAAAACTCAACTTGTACAAGTGTATAAATAGAAATATATCTGTTATTTGTCTCAATTTTGGAAGAAAATTATTATGATAAATCTATTTGAGTAACGGACCCAGATCCTGTGTCTAACAGCCTTTAAAACAAACAAACAGAGGGGCTGGGGATACAGCTCAGTGGCACAGAGCCAGCCTGGCAAGTACAAGGTCTTGAGTTTGATTCCCAGTATTGGTGCACGTCCCTCCTCCCCCGTTAAAACAAAACAGAAAAAAAAAAAAAAAAAAAAAAAACACACACACACACACACACACACAAAAACCCCAAGAAAGTCCAAAAGTAATTATCTTCAAAAGAAAACATGAAAGTAATTTAAACCTAATTTTTGGATTTAGATAACCTAAAGCATTAAAAAATATTAATTATTAATCATCAGAACTGGGGAAACTACTTAGGTCATAATATTTAGTAACTTAAGTATCTAACCAAAGGCAAAAACTAGTCATACAAGTTGTCTTACAATACCTAAAGGTTCTTCTTTACACTTCGGGAAAATTTTGACTGTTCCTTGATTGGAGCAGTTTTTGTTAAACTGATGAATCTCACTGCCATCGACATTATTTTCACTATCGTCAGAGCCACAGTCATCTATATTTTGTTGTTTCTGCTTGTTTTCCTCTAAATTAATATCCCTGCTCACGAAACACTCATCTCTGTGAAAATGTGACTTGGTTTTGAAAGGTGGGACAAACACTTTGACTGGTTTGCTGGCGGTAGTCGAGTATCTCGTGTTTTCACTTCGTACAGCAGGAACTTTGTAAAACGGCTGTCTTGAAACTGGTAAACTGGTTGAAGACTTTTCCAAAGTCAAATGTTCATAAAGATGAGATGTAGACAGAAATTCTTGATCAGGTGCAGTACAATTTAGATTCTGGATTTCTTGCCGGTTGCTCGTTGTGCTACATTGGAAAGAAAACTGATTATTGAGCAGCCACGTGCTGGAATAAAGGTGTGTGCAGAGGCCGCCCCGAAGCCCACGGCCATCCCGACCGACCAACCTACCGGTAACTGTTTTGCATTCATCATGCTGCCTTCACCACAGTTTCCTAACACGTGCCATACGGATTGCTACTGTGTTTCTATTTTCATTATTCTTTCCTCCTTGTCCCCCTTCCCAAACCCAACCCAAATCAGAATTCCAATTCATTTTCTCCACAGAATAAACTTCCGGTCTTCTGAAGAAAAGCAAGGAATACCCGTCAGCAATATGGCAGGGGAAACCGAGGCTTCTCAAAGTATCGACTGATCTCCCTGTTTCCCTCCCGACTGCAGGGAGGTGCGTGTGGCTGCTGACTGCATCTTCCTCAGGCTCTCCAGGGGACAGGTTCTCTGCTGGCTCTAATGGTGAATTTTAGCTTTCTCAGGCTTACTATATTATTCATGTTTTGGCTTCTTTTGAAAGTGCCCTAGAGAATTATGTGTTTAAAAATCCTATTTTTAATTTTAGTAGGGTTTAGAGAGGGAGGAGAGATAAAAAATATTTTTAACATCTGCCATTTTCTACTAATTGACTTTCAGTATTGCTTTATTCCATCTCAATCTTAGTATATCATGAAAAAGTTGGAATATAATCTGTTGTGCTATTTTAAAAGTTGCCTAGAAACTGAAAGGTGAAATAACAGTATGAATATTATTACAGTATACTACCAAAATACTAATTTTTAATCTTGTTTCAGGCTTTCAAAAAAAGAAACTTGTTGGGCCAAGGATTTAGCTCAATAGCATAAGTGCCTGCCTGGCAAATACGAGGTTGTGAGTTCCATGCCCAGTACCAAAAACAACAAAAAACAAAACAAAACAAAAAACAAACTGCTAACTTGTTTCCTGTAGATTTGCATCACTGGCTTCAGCAATATTGTTTAAGAAATATAATTTTCCAACATTAGCAGAATTTTCAAATGATTTAAACACATTACCAAGATGGTCCACAGGTAACAGGCTCTAAAGAAATGTGATGTGTAAACCGCTTTCTATCTTTCACTGTACCTAGAAAAGATAACTTGACATTAATCATGAAAGGCTGATGGGAGATTGTATTTTCCGTTTGTTTATAACATACACTATTTACAGATTAACACAAAAATTTGAGACAATCATATTTTTAAAATTTCAGTGTATAGCATGGACATGCAGAAAATAACAACAAAAGAAATAATTGATTCTCAAATTGATGATGACTATACAGTCAAATAATTCACAATACACACATGTAAACCAATGGTAAATTTAGTCAGCTGATGCTAACAAGTACAACTAAAGGTGTTAGTTAACTATCAATGGAAATAGCAATTTAAAATGTATTCTTATCAAGGTTTAAAAGCGAAGCTTTAGGTACTATTCACTTTCAGTATATAACTTATATCCAGTGAGTCTTCAATCAGCAGTGACAGGACTGGCTGAAAAAACTAGGGTATACTAATATATAGCCACATGATCAAGACTATGCAACTGTAAAAAATAATGAAGATCTCTATGTACTCAAGAAGTGATCCCTAGACAAACTAAGTAAATGGCAACAAACAAGGAAATAGTATATAACCGTTATTGATTTCCTGTTGTCTTGTTTTGAAATCCTGTGGTGACTGCATTGTTTTATTCTGATCTGCTTTGTTCTATTTTGCTTTGTTTTATTCTCTTTAAAATAAAAAAAGTGTATATATTTTTTTGAATAAGAGAGGACCATGAGAATACACACCTGTATATATTTGCTTATTTTACAAACATGGACATAAGAAAATATGCATGTTTATTTTGCAAAAAAAAAATTCTAAAAGAATAAACTACAAATTATTAAAAAAAATTGACAGGTAGGAAAGGAGGTGAACAGTATTGAGTGAGAGGGTTGGAACCAAGACTTCTCCAAGTATATCTTTCTGTAGTGTTTACAACTGAACTCTGTAAATATTTTTTTTTCAGATGTAAGCTTAAATAAAAAAGATTCCTAAAATTGAAAACAAATAGAAACAATTCTACCAAATTAGCAAGTACTCACTGAAAAATTATTTTGACTGACATTTGAATACAGTACTTTGTATATTCTTAAATGATATATATTCTAAGGAGAAAAAACTGCAAAGAATTCATTTTCCCTTAGTAGGTTTATTGATAGTAGCATAAATTGATACTGTGAATCTAAAACTATTTTATGCATATATAGTACTGCAGGACAGTGATTCTCAAAGGTACTCTCTAGGAAGCTCTGAGGAGTACCCATAGTCCTTTAGCAGATTCAGGTTGTCAAACTGTCTTAATACTACTAAGACGTTATGTGTATCTTTTTACTGTTAATTAGTATTTATCCTGGTGGGATATTCTGCTATATCAGTACAACCATTATCTTAAGAAAATGTACATTCATAAACAAGCTAACTACTTTTCACTTTTTTTTCCTTCACAAAATTAAAATTTTTCCTTGAAAGAACAGTCAACAAACCACAGTTAATCAGACTTGGGTATTTAGCAGGTGTTTTTAAAAAAATGAATGAAGACTTCTGGGAGAACATGGCAGACAGATAGCAGCAGCTACGGAGGCTCTCTGAAACACCCAGCTTACAATTCAGGAATGGTGCGGAGTAAGGAATCATAAGCAAGTGGAGATATGCCCTGCTGACCTAAGAACGAACTGGGCTGAGAGAAACCAACTTGGAATGCAATCCTGGTGCTATAACAGGAACAGAAAAGCCTCAGTGTGGAAGCTGGAGCCCACGCCATTGGAAGCCACGATTTGGGTTTCCCGCCGTGCTGCGGCTGCGTCTACATCGGCTTGGCAGGGAGAGAGACTCGCGGAAGCTCTGAGAACGGGAATCGGTGAACGGAGTTGAAAACAGGACGGGCGGGGAGCTGTGCATTGACTTGCAGTGAGGTGAGTGAGAGAAAATGACACTCTTCTGCAGTTTAGGAGACTCCAGCGGAGGACATTCTGGGACTGGGCAGACTTCCGGGAGTGGGGCGCTGCAGCGACTTCAGCCACGTATCCCCCTCTCAGGCGGGATTGATGAGAAGTGCCTGGCCTACGTGATGCTGCTGGCTGAGACCCAGTAGGCTAGCACAACCCAGGTCCCAGAGCCTGAGGGTGGCCTGGAGGGGCGGGCCCCACATAGGCTGCCTGGTCTGCAACTTCCTGGTGTGCTGCGGTGGGCAGGAACACCTAGTTGGCGCAATTCGATCAGGCTGTGGCTGACAGGGAGGGAAGCTGGGCCTCCTATATATGCTTGCATATATAAGGAACAAAGAATATGGGAAGAGGGAGCAACAAGAAAGGCCCTTCGGCCCCCAATCCTGAGAAACAGGCAATAGCAGACGTGGCACCAATAGACATAAAGGGATATCTCCAGAGCCTCATAGACAAATTCAGGAATGAAGTTATTAATGACCTAAAGCTAGAAATAAGCAGAATAGTTAGAGAAATGCTAAGCACCACCCAAGAAAAAACAGATGGTGGAATGGAAGAACAGAAAAAGAGGGAGAATTGTTTGATGGAGAAAATAGAGAAAGCATAGAATACGTGAAGCAGGTTCAAAGAGACTACCAGGAAACTAAAAACTCTATTGAAAACTGGCATAACAGCTTGAAAGAAACTAAGGACAGACTATCTGAACTGGAGGGCAGATTTGTAATATGGGAGAATGAAATGAAAAACTTCTTAAAAGTAACAAAGAAACAAACAGCAATAATACAAAGACTAGAAGATGATAAGAGGATCCATAACTTAAGAATTAAGAACATAAAAGAAGAAGTAGGGACACAAACAAATGAACTACAAAAGCTACTCACAGAAATAATCCAGGAGAATTTTCCTAATTTAGCAAAAGGTAAAGATACTCAGTTGTATGAAGCATACAGGACCCCACCCACCTACAACCCAAACAGAGCAACACCCAGGCATATAATAATTAAAATTCCAGAAATTCAATACAAGAACAGAATATTAAAGGCTGTCAGAGACAAGAAACAGACCACTTACAAGGGAACACCCATCAGAATTACAGCAGATTTCTCGGCACAAACCATCAAATCACAAAGAGCGTGGAGGGAAATAATTCAAGCTTTGAAAGATAATAATCTCCAGCCAAGATTGATATATCCTGCACAACTATCCCTGGAAATTGATGGAAAAACAAGGTGCTTCCAGGATAAAGAGGAACTAGGGGAATATGCAACCACCAATTCAACTCTACAGAGAATACTGCAGGATATTCTAAAAAAGAAAAATACAAAGAATCCAGAAATAGTGGCAGAGAGGCCACAATGAATGGAGCAGAAAACAAAATGAAGAAGATAAACTGACAACTAATGACAGAAAAAGAGCTCAACAGAAATGAGGCAGAGAAGATTGGATGACAGGAACAGCTATTTTGGAGAAAATGACGTCTTAATAGGTAATACTGACTTAGTATTATCTTGTTTTGAAGTCTCATCAAGCTTTTGTTCTTCTGTCTCCATTGGTCTAAACAGGTTGTATCTTATTGGATTTTATTATATATGATAGTATAAGCAAAAACTTTTATAGACAAGGAGATTATACAGAAACCATTGTTCATTTTCTGTTAGTTGATTCTAAATACCCTATAATGCTGTCATTCTCTTAAATGGTTTTACATTGTTTTGATATATTTGATGCTACAGTATATGAAGTTATACTCAAAGATTTCAAGGAAAGAGACAATATGGTAACTACTTTTATGTCAGGATTATCTTGTGGTGAAACACTATTCTGCTTAAATGGTTATGTTTTGATCTGCGCTGTTTTGCTGTTATGCCCTCTTTTATCTCAATCTCCACTTCATCATTTACTTTTTTATTTTTATCCTTTTAATTAAGGGAAAAATAAATAAAAAATAGCAGGATATATTATAGTAACCCACTTTGACTTTCCATTATCTTGATTTAAAGCCCTGTATTACTCTCACCATCTTGTTTTTGACTGATGTCCCCCTATTCTGTTTTGCTTGATAGTACCAGGTTCGAAAGTTTAGGCAACAGCTGTGAAGATAGTGAGGTTCATTATGATGCCCATTCTGGTTGACTATTATCTACTTTTGAAGACCTATAATGTCTCCAATGTTTTGGTTTTGTCGGTTTTGTTCTTTACTGTTTTGTTCAATTTTATTATAACTGATGATATAGGCAGTTCTATTAGAGATAGCGGGAGGCATTATGGTAAACATTGTTGATCACCTTGTATTATGCTTTTACATTATCTATTATGTCCACCCTTTTGATTTGATTGATTCTGTTCTGTTATGTCACATTTGGTTCTACTCCCTTCCAAAACAGTAATAAGAACTGTGGGAGCAACAAAACTCAAAATGTGTAATTTTCATTGTACAAAAGAGAGGAAAAGAAAGTGCTCTAAACGATATAACTGTATGTATATTTAAGTGTATAAGACAGATAATGATACCACTGAGTTTTGTTGGATCATTGAACAGAACTGTTTGCAGTCTCACTGTTGGAATGTCCACTTTACAAGCTTTAATTTTGTGACTTGAACAATTATTTCTAAGATGACAATATGTAATCCATTAACTAGTGATTTCCTACTGTTTATTTTTTTCTGTAAATCTGTATAACTTGTACCCTTTCTCTGCTGTTTTTTTCTCCTTAAATAAAATTTAAAAAAAATGAGTGAAATCAGTTTACCACTAGAAGGAAAAGAAATGACAATATTTTTGCTAGAAGTAAAATTCAAGCTCTTAAAGGAGAGGTTAGAATTTGGGGACATTAGTATTTGACTATAAACTTGACAGCTTCTAATACCTGAAACTTTTTAGATCAGTGATGTCGGCAACAAAGGGATTCAGTATGGCATAATAAAATTTGTCAAATGTTGGAAGAGCTGCGTAACTCAGTAAACTAACATTTTCCAAAGTATCAATGAATAATGTTACAAATATTAAAATTTCTCAACTTTAAGTTCTAATATAATAAATATCAATAGATAAAATCCATACATACCAATGTTCTTTCAGGTTGTCCATAATTTGAGAATACAAAGAGGTTCTGAGACAGAATACAAAAGCTTAGAAACTACTGCTGTAACATAAAGCGAAGTAAAAATGGTTTTATGAGGAGCCAAGAATGTAAATAGAACATTAACACCCCCAGCAGTAATAGCATGGGTAGCATCCAAATTTTGGTTTCTATAAATACTAACTACTGGAAAGGATCTTTGGGGAAATAGTTGATTCCAGTACTAGGGTAAGGTAACTATAAGATTCTAAGACATCTATGGAGCACCACCTGCCATAAAGAATAAACGAGTCATTTGTGGAAAACTTGATGCACCTTGAAACCATACACAGAAGCTTAAGTATCTCATCGTTTCTCTTACATGAGAAACATAAAGTATACGTAAAGAGCAAAATAACAGACAGATAATAGGAAGCAGATCTTTCTAGAAAGGGAAAGAAATCGAAAGATGGACGGCAGGGGATGAACAGAAGAAATTAGGGAATGTTACGTACATGTGCCAATTCCATGCAAGGAATATACTGTAAACATTTACCAAAAAAAGAAAGCAGGGAGTGGAATCAAGTGATGAGTGGATGGGAAGGGAAAGAAGAGAAAGGAGATAAAAAACAAGAGAGAATTAAGATATATTATGTACATGTACCAATTCCCCACAAGGAATGTAAACACTATGAACTAAAACAAGTACTAATAAAAAAAAGATTCTGCGGGGCTGGGGATTTAGCTCAGCGGCATAAGTGCCTGCCTTGCAACCAGGCAGTCGTGAATTCGATCCCGGTACCAATAAAAAGGAAAAAGACAAAAAAAAAAAAAAAAAAGATTCTGCAAAATCGTTTTTGTAATAATAAAAGCAAGACATCCTAAAAAATTAATCAGGATATGTTAAAAACAAAAAAAGAGGTTTCTACTTCCAAATCTGGGATAATCTGAACATTAAAAAGCTTATGTTTCCTTTTTCTAAATAAACATATTTACATGTAGTTGCTTATAAATTTTATATACTTTATAAATAAATATCAATGAAATCAATTTTATTCATAAATAAAATTTTAATAGTGACTATTATATCAACTTACTCATTCTGAAAAATTTTATCTAGAGGGTAATAATTAAGCATGTATAAACGATATTTTATTTTGGGAGTTAGCTCAGTGGCATAAGCACCTGCCTGGCAAGTGCAAAGTCATGAGTTCAATCCCTGGTACCAAAAAAAAAAAAAGAAGGTATTTTATTTTTAGTTATACATTTATTTTACATTTTTTATTTGTATATCCTCAAAGTACCAAAGTATCATCTCAGATTATTTAAATGCAAATGAAAAAATATACCTTTCAATAAAATGATGTGGTAGTTAGCATTGTAACCAACTTATCAAATCACCTAACATTTTGTGTCTCTTAATATGATGCAATACATATACACAGCTCTTCTCTGAAGTATTTTGCCAAAACTATAGAATCCTAATGAAGTCTCCTATCCAAACAGGCAATGCAAGGGTGTGAGATACAGATCAGCAGCACAAGTGCCTGCCTGGCAAGCGCAAGGTTCTAAGTTCAATTCCCAGTACCAGAAACAAATGAAAGCAAAAAAAATAGATGGCCCAAACAGGCAATACACTAATAAGCTGAGTGATACCAAAAACAAAACAAAACACCAAATCTAGAATGTGTGACAGTCTACAAAATAATTGGCCTGGTCACATTACAGTATTGATACTTTAAAAAATAAAAAATTTACTGTTGTAAATTAGATTATATCAGGTATTAAGTAATACTCATATACTAAGTATGTTTCTTTCTCTCCCTTGGGGTGTGTGTGGTATAATTAAAAGAACAGTGAGTGTTTTGATAAAAGAAAATGAAGTATAATAAAAGACACACTGTCATTAACCCCTCTCAAAATTCCCTCCCTCCAGGCCTTATTGATGTATTAGATATGGAGTATGAGGAAACGAGTAAAAGGTATTATCAGGGTACTGCATGATCAAATGGCAGAACGGCACAGCCCTTTACTGAGAAAGTAAAGACAACAGAACAAGGTTGAGCAGGGACAGCACAAGGAGTTCAGCTATGGCCACATAAGTCTGAGTAGAGATGACCAGCAGGCAAATGGATGAGTCTGGAGTTCAGCCACTTTCAGTCTAAGGCTGCAAGTATGACCCGTAGTCATTGAAGTTTAGGCAGAAAGTAGACCTAAGGCTCCCTGAAGTGTTCCTGCTTGGAGTAAGGAAGGGGGCTATTAAAAAAAACCTGCACATACGCAGCCATTAAGGAAATGAACAAGAGACCATGGTGGGCTGGAGAAATGATCAACTGGTTTGGAAGATGGAGCCAAATAAGAACGGAGAAACGCCCACCGGGTCTGGCAACATGGAGAGAGTGGCGTGACTTGGAGAAACTTTCCAATTATAGACAACCTCATCGATATTATGAAGAAAAATTCCACCTAACAAACAAGATATAATAAGTTAAATTATTGAGCTATAATGTAAAAATTTTCCAAGATATATAGCAAAAAGAACTGAGAAAAAAAATATAACACACTGTACTTATAGAGGGTAAATAAGAATACAAAGGAAATTTTACCATCTGGAGTGCATTTGGAAGCTTTTAAAGATTTTTCTTCATTTTCTTTTATCCTGTCAAATTCATTTAACAAGCTTCTTTTGATTTGGGATTCTCCTAAAAAGAAATTTCATAAATGTTTGTAAATTATATCAGCTTCATTTTTAAAACCTCACAGTCCAGTAAAAAAATTAAAAATACTGACTTTTACAATATGTTAAATAAAACTACATAAATAGTGTAAGTATAAATAGTGACCATTCTTTTTAAAAGAGAAAAATTTTTTTCTCAGTAACAATTTCTATCCCTTTTTGATCATTTAAAGACAACTACTTTTTGGGGTGGGTGGGTGTTGGGATAGGGATTCACTATGTAGTGCGGGCTGGCACTGGACTCACTTATGCAGCCCAGGCTGGCCTGGAACTTGCAGTGATCCTCCTGTGCTGGGAGAGTACAGGCATGAGCCACCTTCTCTGGCGATAAGCTATTTTAAAAAAAACAACAAAAACTGGCACCAGGTGTAATTCTAAATTATGACAATAAGGACAAATAGCTTTTTCTTCACACTGACGACTTCCGGGATGACATCAAACTCAAGGATGAATTTATTATACAGGTCCATGAGTCACAGTTAGTAGGTAGGAGAGGATCTTTTAAATTACAAAATCATATTAAAATATTAGTAATTGTCGTAACTTTTTCTCTCACTCTCTCTTATCTCTCTCGCTATCTTGTTCATGGTCCTGATGACTGAATGTCAGGCCTCCTGCATGCTAAGTGGTTGCTTCACTAATGAGCTACATCCCTAGACACTAATAATTATAACATTTCTTATTTATAAAAATAGGGCTGGGGATATATCTCAGTGGTAGAAGGCTTGTAGAGGCTAAGATAAAACCGCAACTCAAAGTATGCATTTCCATATCATGTTGAAATACATGGTAGCAAGTACTTTGCATTTTTGATAAGTTTATTACAGGAATTAATCTGTAGGATGTAATAAGAAGAAATGTCCATGCAAGCCTTTATCGGTCATTAGAAGCCTTTCTCGAGGGTTTAATTGTTAAAAAAAACCTCATGCATTATTTAAATAAACAAGAGTGGCTAAGCTATATACTTAAACATAATTAATAGAGGTCAGAGAAATTATATAGTAATACTGCTGAGAATATTCAGAAGTCTGACTTGTTTTTCTTTTCTAGATGGAAGGTAACTTCAGTATACAAATGGAACAGAATGAGTTGCTATAAAGCCATTATTTTTCCACAAAAGAATTATGGGTATATTTTTTTTTAAAGAAAATAAAATCAAGCAAAATAAAACAGAATAAAGCCATCAAAACAAAACTTTGTAAGAGACACAGAACTTCAAAATAGGAAATCAACAATGGTTATCATAATGCCTCTTATTGTCTTCAAAATGGCTGCCCTTACATAGATATCTTTTAAATATACTTCTGAATTTTGTACTAAAGGATACCAGATAGTTTCAGGTAAGTGTTATAAACATACTACTTGCCTATGAAGTAAACTCTATACAGAATGCAAGCTGGGTAACAATCTGTATCCAGCAGAATGATTTAATGAACTGACTGGTTTCAGTTATTTTTTTCTGCAATATGAAGGGCTGAACAAGATTTTTGATAACTGAATACTCTATGAATCTGCAGGTGTCTAAAAGAAACTAGTTATTTACCTTATCTATGTAAGAGTTGAGGCTTAGTTTTGGCATTTACTTTAACTGTAACTAATCAATATTTTCAGTACTTCAAGATTATAGTCAGAGACTACCAGGAAACATCTCTACACATCCAGTTAACCTAACAGTTGAACTCAGTTGTTACATATACATTGAGAATATAGTCCCCCAGCATTAAGATAAGAATACTGGCTGCTAATGTTAACTTGTTTGCTTGTTTATTTTGTTTTGTCTTTTTGAGGCAGGGTCTCGCTATGCAGTTCAGGCTGGACTTAGGCTCACTTTGTAGCCTAGGCTGGTCTTGAACGCAGTGATTCTCCTGCTCCAGCCTCCCAAGTGCTGGGATTACAGGTGTGCACCATCACGCTCAGCTATGTTAACTGTTTTAAGACTATTTCCTAAATAGAAAAAAAGGAAGCAAGTAATACCTATTAAATGTTCTCTCCTTACTATGTGTCAGGTTCAATATTAAGTGATTTAGATACATTAGTTTATTTTCACATTTACTGAAGAGGTGCTGTTGGCATCAACAGATATGGAAACTGTGGCTCAGAGGAACTAAATAGATAGGACAACTAAGGACCATATATTACCAAATAAGTGGTTTGACTAGCAACCAACTTATAAAGAACCAGTCTGAATCTATTTGAAAAGTCAGAAAGTACTATGCTGACTTTGTCATATGGAAAGTATCATCTTTTTTAGAAAAATTCAAACTTTCAACAGTGATTTCTCAAATGTAACTATATTAACAATCTCAAAAAATACTTTTGAGACCCTCAAAACATGGCTTGTAGCACACAAACTTAGAGATACCAAGAATCAAATCACTCTGTCTACATGCGAAGCCTTAAAAAATAAAATAAACTTATCACTAAGGCTACTGTGACTGAACTTTTAAAACAGAGATTGGAAAACTGAAAAATAAAAGTTGATACTTACCAACCGAAACAAGGGCACCTCCTCTTCTTTTTCCAGCTCTTGAATTTAACAAAACTCCCTCTTTTTTCTGGCAGGTAGAAAGTGAGTGTCCAGGATGACCTGGTGGTTCAGAATCAGTCAGCTCATCATCTTCCATGAAAGCTTTGGCAATCTCCACTGCTTCTGTTTCAAAATAGGTTTCTGGTTCTTCGGGATTAGGAGAACATACTTCTGCACTTGTTCGCACAGAGTCGTTAGAAAAAGTTTCAGTTTTACTAATTTCCATTGAATTTTGGGGGAAAGCCTGTTCTTCCCTCAAAATATGAGCATTCTCAAAAAGCGATCCTCTGGTTCCTAACACCAAGTGCTGTTTGTCTTGCTTAAACTGAGAGAGACAAGGAGAAAGTGTAACAGAGTGATTCCCTTCTGATGAACTGCTTTCAGTGTTATAGTTACTTGATACTTTGTATTCATTATTGCAGTTTTTTTGCATTTTAAAGTCTATGGAGTGTTGAGGGGTACTCTCATCAATACAAAGAGGTATTTTCGATACATCTTGTCTAGATGAAGTCGAGTGCCCAAGAGTATAAGCAGTTTGTATTAAATCAAATTCTTCTAACATTCCCTTAACTTTGTGTAAGGCACTTTCTGAAACTGACACTTGTTTTCCACTTGCTGTGCTAAATCCAGAGAAAGCAGTTGAACGTGCACTATGGTGAAAGTTTTTCGGAGGTGATGGTACTTTTGAGGGGGTGCGCATTACAGTAATTTCTTCTTTTGTGAATTGGTCTGAATGTTCACTGCTTTTAAATACTTTGGAAAACAGCTGCTTGGCACTATCTTCTGTTTTAGAAAACATCTGTTTTGCCTTTTGTAATGAACCATTTGATACTTGTACAGATTTTCCACTTGCCGTGCTAAAAATTCCATAAATATTAGAAGACATTGTCTTGGGAAGCTTCTCTGTATCACTAAATTTACATTTATCTGGCGCTTTCAAGCTAACATAAGATGGTCTTTCAAAAATGGTCTCCAACCCAGACATGCTTTTGTTATGTTGTAAGCTTTCTTCACTTTGAGTATCAGCAAAACTCTTACACGACCGCACACATTCTTCATCATCTGGAGAGTCAGGAAAAATAGCATCCTCTGAATTATCTAATGCCTTACTACCTGTCACAGTTTCCCTTTGGCAAGTATCTGATTTACTTTCAGTGTTTTGGTTAATCGTCTTATTGCAGTTTTCTATAAATACCTGTTTTTCAGTTGAGTCCTGTGAAACAAAGACCATTTTACTACTTGCTGTACTGAATGCAGGTGGCCCGACCTCATAATTACCTGAATCAGATACAGCCACGTTAACGGCTGGATTTTTACTTTTGAATGGTGAAGAGATAGTCACAGGTTGCTGAACACAAACATCTTCATTTATGGCTTGTGGATGTGTGCTTACTTTTATAGTTGGTACTACTTCAGAAAAGTCAGTGTTATTTTTATCTTTGACATTCATGACTAATTCAGTACCAGAATCAACTTGATTTTTTGAGAGATATCCTGAATCATATGCATTATCAGAATGACTAATATCAAAATGGTAGCTGTCAGACATACAACTGTTACTCAAATGAGGTAAACCTTGTTTTTCAGAGACATGACTTTTGTCATTTGCAGTTATGTTACTGCTTGAACAAATTTTATTTGAAGGATTTCCCACACAATCCTGAGAATATTCCTTTACACATACACCTTTAGCAGTATTTACTTCTTCATGTTCATCATTCAGGTCTTTCAGCCACTTTGTTGCCTTAAATAATAAAGCCGGATTCACAGGAATTTTTTTACCATGTCCTGTGTAAAATGCTACAGGCAAATCTTTAATAGCTGAATAAGAGAACTGATCTGTGCAGGAAGTTGTAGGAGGGTTTGCTATTCCTTTTTCCACATTTTCAGGTACTTTAACTTTTAAAGAGATACTATTTGATGCTTTGAGATTTTTGGTTTGTCTGTGTAAACCACCACTTACGCTGGGCATTTCTTCACACTGTGGGATATCTGTTATCGCAACAGTCTCACGTGCTAATTCAAGCCTTTCTTCACAGTCCTGTCTGTCACTCAGGATCTTTGCTACTTGGTGACCCCATTTGGTAATTTTACTAACATCTTGCCGGTTTTCATCAAAAAGATTTTTCACTTTGTTCAAAGATTCCTTTGCAATATTTACTTTTTTCCCACTAGCTGTATAAAAACCCAACAGGTTAGGTTCGTTTTCTATTTTACATTCAGGCTGTTGCAAGACACATAACTGAGCTGCAGTACCAGCTGGGGTACTTTTTTCCAATATTTTGTTTTTCATTACATTTGTTTCCTCATGACTTGAAATATCCATTTTATTCTTTATGCCAGGAAGCAATTTACAATTCAAGGAATCTGAAAAGTCATTCCATTCTTCTGTTTCTTGATCAAAGAGATTTACAGCTTTATTTAATGACTCTTTGGTGACACTGATATTTTTTCCACTTGCAGTCTGAAAGGATATACCAAAATTGTTTGTATATTGTTCCATCTCATCTGTGGTTAACTGTTCATTTGAATTAATATAACATGTTTCTTCAGCCTTTACAACTTCCAAACAAGTTAAATCTGACAAAGTTTCTTTAAGTTCTGTGCTTACCTCACTCATAAACTGGCTAGATAATTTAAGATGCATATTGTGCTGATCCTTACATGGCAAATCATTATCTTTCTGAATATAACCTGTATCATTTTTACTTGAATCTGTGCCTCCAGGTTTTCCCAATTTACAGTTATTGGTACTGGTACCAATATATTTATTATCTTCATTTTCTGAATTTCTCATGCAATTTTCAGTATTTTCTTCAGCAAAATTGCCAGTAGTCATTTCAGCATTACTTTGTAATACTGCCTGGCAACTGTTTTTCACATTTACATTTTTATTGTTGTTATGATTTTCTATCTTAAACACTGAAGCAACAGAATCATAACATTTACTTGCAGAGAAACTTGGATCTACTTTGTCAGAAGTCTCTTCACTAATATTCTCAATGTCACTGAACAGTTTCAAGGGTTTTTGGGGAGCTTCACTAGAAACACTCAGTTTCTTTGTACCAAGACCAGAATAAAAACCTCTATACGCTACTTCATTTTCATTTGTTAAAAAACCAGCAGCACTTTTGTTAGGATTGTTTTTTAATAAACAAGCAGATTTCTGTTTTTCTCCAGCTGCTCCTCCAAACTTTTTGCTGCTACCCACCTGACAGATAGATGAGGCATCAATTATGGCTTGAAGATTAACATCTTTCGATTCCTTAGAAGTGGTACTTAAGGCAGTCATCTGGTTTCCAGGCACTTGGAGTGTGTTACTTTTTATCAAGTGGTTTGGTTTTCTCAACTGTGTAAATTCAAACTGACTTCCTGATTCTTCTAATATAGAAGAAAGTTCTGTAATTTCTGCCTTTTGGCTAGGTGTTAAATTAAGGTTTGAATTAAAATCTTGCTTTACTGATAACCTCTGGGAGGCTGTGTGGTTTTCATGATCAGAAATAGAGGCACTTCTCTGGACATATGTAGACACAGTATTAACTGACTGTAAATCAAATGCATGAGGTTTATTTAATTTCTTTTCGTTATTTAATAAGGCATTTACAATTTCAACAGGAGCTGAACTAGTAGGATACTGTTCTTCAATATCTTTGAAGAGCATTTTGCCTTTTTTAATATAATGTTGGGAGACTTTTATTTCTTTATTGGAAGCTGTTCTGAAGCCACCTCCAAAACTGTGACTCGAAACTGGACCTAAGATCACTGTCATTTTGTGTGTGTAATCATTCCTGTTTGGCTTCCTATCCAAGGAGAGATCTGATTTCAAGTCTTGACCTGAAGCTAGATGCTGCTTTACATCAGTTCTGTTCTCTTTAAGATCATGTATTGTATTTGATGGGCCAAAGTCTTCAGTAATTGGCATTTGGACCACTTGTTTGTCATCTATGTCTGTATCTACTACCATGGCAGAGTTCTGGAGAATGGACTCTTTCATAAAACTGCAGTCAGATCCATGAACCTCCTTAGTCTTTCCTAAAACAGGACTACTTTCATCAGTTATTTGGAAAACAAAATTATTTTTATTGCCTGCGAAAAGTTCTTCAGAGTTTGGATTACCAGGCATTTCTGAAATTAACGAAGTTTCTTCCTGGTCTTCTTGGGTTGCTGTTAGATTTGTATTATGGCTGAACGGCATCGTCACCGAAGGTGATGCTGCTGATACATATTTTTCAGGTGGCAATAGCTCAGTTTTTTTAGAATTTAAATTTAAAACACATATTTCTTGATTGTTTTCAATAGAAATATTTTGGGCTAACTCAATACCAGTTTCACAATTCTCACGTTTTAGTTTCTCTGATATTTTGTATGATTTTTTTCCTTTAGAAATCATAACTGGATTTAAAAGAGGATCCTTGGAACTAGGAGTTAATGTAAGAGGGCTGGTATTATCATGGCCATCAAAAAAGCTTTTCTGTGATTGAAACAGAATACCACTATGTTCTGCTTCTGAATGCCGCGCTTCAGGCTGACATGTTACAACCAAGACATTTTCTTTTATATCTGAAACTTTCTGGCTTTTTGGATCATCATCCCACCGTCTTTTCTGCAGGCATGACAGAAAATCAGTTTCTGGGGATGTAAGTGACTGTGATTTTTCCTTATTAAGTTTTGTTTCATTATAATTAAGGTCCTGAGATATTATTTTATTAGCATAACTACTTTCATTATTGGAATGTTTCCTCGGACTTGTTCCAGAAGAGTTGGTCAAAAAGGTTGACTCTTTAGGATCATTCTGAAAACAGTTTCTTTTGACAGAAGAATGTGATAAACCTAAACATAAGAATATAAGATGACAAAATAAAATTAAAGCATCACTACATTCATTAACTATTCTGCTAAGTTAAAACAGTAGTGTTTAAAACAAGAATTACATGAAGAAAAAGGTATCAGATTTAAAACAGAATTCTATGTATTCTCCATTGTGAAGGTATTATACTTTCTAGCCAGATAAACAGAGCTTCAGTAGTTTTAAAACAATAACACATTAGCACACTCAAAATAGTATCCAGTTTAAGTAAATAACTACCTATCATAAATAAAACTCAAATTTCCAAAAACTTTTAATTTTTATTGGCAAATTAAATGGGAAGAAACTTCATTGCCAAAACTAGTCTGGTAGGAGACAGAAAAGCAAGACAGGAGAATAAAAATATTAAAAATTTTCTGTAGCTAATTTTTTTTGTATTGAAAAACATAATTAAGAGTCTATGTAAAAGGCCTCAGTTATAAAGGTAAATGAGCAAATTTGCTGTTAATTTTCTCTGTTCTTTCAATTTCCTGTAAGTCAAGGGTTTTAATTTCATTTCATTTAACCAGTGATTACTACAATGTACTAACTGCTTCACTAGCTTTAACTCTAATATGCATATGTACAGACAGATAGAAGGACAGACAGAATCAAGCATTTTTCTCAGGAAATTTAACTCAAACCTCAAACAGTCCCTCTGTACTCCAGTACCAACATCCTATTCACTATCATTATGGCCTAATGACATTTTCTCATAGACAGATAAATCACTTTTTTTTCCTGGAGAGATGACGTTTATGTTGCCCAGGCTATCCTTAAACACCTGGGCTCAAGTAACCCATCTGACTCTGTCTCCCAAATAGCCATGACTACAAGTGAGTGGCCCTATGCCAGAGTTTTAAACCACTTTTTTAAACACAGTTTTAGTTACTGTTAAGAGAACTGTTGCTAAAACAAAAAATGACTTTCATTGTTCATACTCTGGAGAACCAGAGACAGAGCAGTAACTGTACGTACGTATCCTCTAAATACTTAAGATTAAATAACAGTAAAAATCATTATTTTAGAACAGCCTAATTAGGTTATTGCATGCTTTAGAGAAAATACATAGCACAACATAAAGTTGCTTAATTTGCACATAAGAAGCACTTTCAAAATTAAAGCAGGAACTAAGTAGCCAAGTTCTTCATATTTCTAAATCAGAATCTGCCTGTCTGAGCAGTGATGAAGCCAGGTTAAGGCATATAGCATAGGCCCGGCTGCTAAGGAGGTAGATGAAGAATGATTGCTTGAGCATGCAGAGCAAGACTGTTTCAAAAAAAAGAAGTAAGGGCTGGAGATACAGCTCTGCAGCCCGGCAAATTGGCTAGGCCTAGGGTTCAGTCCTCAGCACCACCAAAAAAACAAAACATTAAAAAAAAACAAAAACCCAAAAATTATGCTGTGCAAACTGACTTGCTAAGTTTGACTCTGAATATAAGATATAAAGATCTAAACAAACAAACAAAAACTACAGAAGCAGGCAGTGAATTTTTTAAAAAGGCTAAAGAAACACATCATCAAATAAGAGATATTACCATTATCTATAAACTACATGCACAATTTGACAAAAAGATAAAACGAGAAATAGTACCTGCATCAGCATTTGTAAACGTAAGTGATGCTTTGAAAGTGTCTGCTTCAAACTGGGCTGAATGGCTAGTTAGTTCTGTTTTTTGGTTTTCCTGCAAGTTTTCCCTTTGATAGCATGCCTTATCATTTATAGCATAAATAAACTTTTTTGTCTTCTTTTTCAAAGATGATATTAAACCTGTATTCTTCAAAGTTACAGAAGAATGTGGGATAGCAGCTGGCAAACTTCTGTTATCAACTGAACTTAGACATAAAGAATCCTCTTTCTGTGAACAATCAGTATACATTTCCAACCCACTTTTAGAGGTTTCAGTTTCTTTAAAGTTTGGCTTCATCACAATGTCTGAGAGAACTGTATTGAAAGTGTCTTCAGATGGTTCTCCTATCTTGAATATAGGCCTTTTGGCACCCTGAAATAGAGGAGATACCGGAGAAGTCCAAGACACTGTCCCTTTCACTGCACGAATGGAGTCTTCATGAGATTCAGGATGCTGCCTTCCATCTCTCTCATCTACAGGTTTTTCCCCATTTGATATCTTTTCTGATAGGCTAGAAGTATGTGGCAAAGAATTTTCTGAAGTATTATGGTTTGAACTTTCTTTTTCACTCTCTATTGAGTCTTTTCCAGAATTATCTTGGTCATAAGAAGAGACAGGCAGTACAGGCATTTCCTTCCTCTGGGTTGCATTTGGACCTGGGAATGTTAGCTGGGACCACTCACAGGATGAAGATGGTGCGGCTTCCTTGGAGATTCTGTCACTTTCAGGGCCAAGAGGCTTCTGACTTGCTACATCTGAATCTAAAGGATCACCATCATTTGGTTCCATTTCAGATGTCAATGAATGTTTATTTTCTTTCATTTGTTCTTTGAAGTCATCAGTTCTAGCTTCATGGAAAATTTTTTTCCTAGTCTTGCTTGTTTTTTGTAGATTTCCTGTTCTATACTTAGGAAAACATAGTGAAAAACTATCTTCATCAAAAATGTCTGTGACTGTTTCATGCACTTCATTTTCTAGGGGATTTGGCATTAACTTTCCAAAATGATCTTTGCTGCTACATGTTTTGCCAAATGAATTTCCTACCACTTCCCCCAATCCTGTTAAAATTTAAAAAGAGGCACATTAGTGATTTTATAATACAGCCATAATTTACGTATTACTGCTACCTAAGACATGTAATATATATTAAACAACACATAATTTAGCATTTAAGGGTTATTCTGAGTGCTAACATTTTGTTTTCCTCTGCAAGTCACCTTCCCCTATTCTTTTGGTAAAGCCTGATGCCAACAAACCCAAAGCCTTTTATTCATATTCCAATCTCTAATAATCTTCTTTTACCAGCTCTGAACAATCAAAGCTCACATCTAAAATTACTATATATTCAATTTAATATTTAGGATTTATCAAACCAGATGTTACAAATCAATTTTGTGGTGCTACAACTGAGAATAAAATCTCACTGTACATACATGTATAGAAACATATACACACACTCCCCTGATACTACACACAGCCATTCCTATACTTTTATAAGTATATGAAAGAAAAATGCGATATTTCAATAACTAACCTGTAATATATCTAAAACTATATTTCTTTTTAATTAGAAATATAGCAATATAGTTTTAGATATAGCAATATATCTAAAACTATTTCTTTTTAATTAGACTTTGTATCTCTGCAAAATTAGTTTTGGTTAGTATTGGTTTTGTTTTTACAAAATTAGTATTGGTTTTCCTTTTGTGTTACAAAATATTGAGTAATACTGCCTTAGTACGATATTTAAATATTGTCATCTAAATCAAGTTAGTTTATACCTTCAATGTCTTGACTGTAAGAGTCAAGACAGGAAATACAATGTATATTCTCTATTAAAAAAAAAAGAGGATCAATTATGCCAGGTAAAAGCGGTTCATAGCAGGTCCTCTTAATTCAGTTGGAGAATACTTGTCTAATCAAGTGTAAAGTCTTCAGCTGGACCCCAGAACTGCAGCCCACCACCAACATAAGTTCAAGTAAACAAAAAGACTTACCAGAATGGCTAGCTTCTCTTTGATTTTTGTTTTCATTTTCCATCACAGGAGGGATAAAGCTATCATTTTTCTTCAGATTTTCGTCATGGCTAGACAAAGAGTGCTTCAAAATCTGCAAACATTTTTTAATATCACTAGTATAAATACTTTTAATGCACCTATGTATGCAAGTTATTCTTAAACACAGAGCAGAATTTTTCAGAATGTCAAAGAAATTATATAAAGGATCAAGTTTAGAGACTTTCTCAAAGGCTTAGATAAATTATAAATTAGAGAATCAAAATAAGGACAAATGGTTTATCAAAGCATTTTCTTTTTTCTTTTTGAGACAGGGTATTGCTATGTTGTCTTGGTTTGCCTTGGTACCACTATGGAATCCAGGCTAACCTCAATTAAAGGCACTCTAAAAATATAAGGAATTTCAATTTCAACAATATGATCAATTTAATATTTACTTACCACAGTAGTATCATTAGGAAATATAGTTTCAGATACTTCATCTCTGACTGTAAAATAAAAACTCAATTTACTTGTACTGTATTATTTATCATATACTAAAATACTAGTTTTTAGTCAGAAACCATAAAGTACCTCTATTATCAGAGTAAATGACACATTTTGGCCCAAATATAGTAACTAGAAAGGTCAGTGAATAGGCCATACTTATTACACTTCACAGGAAGCTGAGATATAATGGCTGGTTGATCCCAGCTTTATGATACTACTGTCATAAATGACGGAAAATCAGATGAAGCTGCAAGACTAGGATTAAAAAACTAATGCTCTGAGACTTGAATATTTGCTTAGAAAATAATACAGTTTAAAAGTACATTGCATATTAAATAGTTCTTAGCATTCAAAACAAAAACCATTCTCAGTTAAAGATGAATCAAAATGGAATGTTTATTTTACTAGAATAACCAAACAAACAAAATTCTGGTTTGTGTATAAATTCATGCTTTCAGTACATTCCACAATAATAAGCACATATTTTATGACTTATACACATACATCTATACACACATAAGCTTCTTAAATTTTACTATGTATAAGGAAGGTATATCTCATTAAACTTGAATTTCAGATTAACAATAGGTAACTTTTTAGTACGTCTGAAATAGCATAGTAAAAATTATTCAGTTTACCTGAAAATTAACCACATGTGCTGTATTTTCACTTGCTAACTCCAACAACCCTAACCAGATGTGAAGCATTCTAATTTTTATTATTTATACTTCATTAAAAAAGAAAAACTGTGTAGATTCAAAATTAATTTGTAAACTACATTATTTTTCTATAATTTGAAAAACAGTGATCTATTTCGGTGTCTTCTAAAAAGAGAGCAATGTCATTGGTATTTTTTCCTCTATTATCTAAACTTTCATGTTGTGCCTATAAATTGAGATGCATTTTTGTAGGTGAACTTTCAAATTCTTGTTCACACTGTATTTAGTCATTTATGACACTTCTTTAAACTTACATTTTTACTTAACATTATAAAATTAAGAAGTTATCATAGTCTCTCAATATTAAGTCATGACTATCCAGATCATAGCTACTCAGAGATTTTAAGTTGCTTTACAATAATAAATACTTTTAGATCTGGTACATTAATGAAATCACTACCTATTTATTTAACATTCTAAACAGTACTAGAGAACTACATAAAATATATTCTTTTGCTTAAAGATCTGCTGAATACCAACTGTGGGCCAGGAAACTGTACTCAGCCTTTACAGAGCTGGGCAGAGTTCAACAGGCAGATAATCAAATAGTTCACATAATGACACAGATGTATAATTACAGTTATGAAATTTAAAGCCTCAGTTGAGTACTACTGGCAATGCAGACCTGCACGTCAGATTTAAACAAGGAAGCAAAGCTTATTCAATTCTACATTAATGATCAAAGTACTAAAATTATTTGTAAAACTTCATAGTTAATGCCAAACATTAGCTCTTAAATGCTTAATATGTGTTGGCAAATAAGTATTTGTAAAGCTACTATAGACAAAGGGCACAGTGCTAAACTGTAACGCTCAACTCCTTTATAGAATACTACTTAGTGGGCACACCAGCAGGCAGGACTAATGGGAAGTAGGCCCAGAGTGGGGACACACTGGTAGGCGGGACCAGTGGTGTGGAAATGTCCGAAGCAGCAGTGAGCCAGCAGTTGGTGAGTTAGGGGAACAGGCATGGTGCTCCAGCACACCTGGAACAGAAGTGTGCAGGCAGGGCCACCACTCTATGTCAAAGTGCTCAGGGAGAACTCCACCAACAGGAAACCAGGCCCAGCTCCCATATCCAGAGGCCAAGATCGGCCTGTACCTGGAATAAACCCTACTGCAAACTTGGCTGGAGTACACAGCACAGTTCTGGGATTTGAGCTGGACAACACCACAAAATTATAGACCTCATAGGAATTTTACTACCTTTCTTTTTCTTTGTTTGACTGGATTTCCTTTATCTGGTTGGGTTTTTTTCTTTTCTTTTTTTACTACTTAGGGTTTCCCCCTTTCTTTTTGCTTCTTCTATTTGTCTTCTCACTTTCCTCAACCATCTTTCTTGATTTTATGATATTTTTATGAGTAAACACTGCTTAACTTTCTTTTATTCTTCCTTTCCTATGTTCTTGCTTCCCAAAATGTAGGTGATCATCGTTTATCCTCCAGCCTAGCTTCTACTATATTTGACTCCATTCATCTTTGTCTCATCCCCATCCCTCTTAAATCCCACCTCCTTCCCCTGCAACAGGTAAAATCACTCTTCTTAGGAGAAAATTACTGCATACAAGTTCCCTGTATATGCTGGGTTGTTATATAACTGTAGAATCTACTCCTATGATTAAAGTATCAAGTTACTGGTTATCATAGGTTGTCAGCAGCCAGGCTGTGCTGGATGCTATTGTTATTGCTAACTGTTCTATTTTCGCCAGGATGTCATACTTGTTATAACCAATGTTTCTCCCTTGATTGTTTGGAGTTATAACCATCACTGTAGTCCAGTACAAAAGAACTGGGTGCTGAGTCAAACAGATAGCAACTTCTCATTCCTAATTAATTGGGAAAGTAGGTTCTTGGGATAGACACAAAGACCAAGAACTACCTGCAGCTAGAAGACATCCCTAAGGAATAAACACTTCTCAGGGAAGCCTTGATACTAGTGATAAAGCTATCTACCATAAGAAATCTGTAAGCATCAACATACAAAGCAAAATAAAATAAAAAACACAAAATAGAAAATGACAAGACACAGAACCAAAATGCAGCCAAAGACCTTCAACCCATCCAGGACAAGTCCAGAGCACAATGAGTCAGAAACCAGAAGCCACACACTAGAACTTTCTTAAATGATTGTATCAGACGTAAAAAACAAATGAATGAGATTATAGAAAAAATAATTATCTTAGGGAAAAAAAGACATGATGATCAAAATGATAAAAAAATGGAGCAGATAGGTTAAAAAAGAGATGCTTAGGAAAACTACGGAAACCATGAATGTCCAACACACGAAAGAAATGGACTCTATAAAACAGATATCCAGGAGATTAAACAAAGGACTTTGCAAAGGACTGAAAAAAGGTAAGGATACAGATACAGATACAGTATCAGATCTAACAGTGGCTAGTGACCACAAAAAGACATCTTAAAAACAAGCAAAGAACTATTAAAAATCAATCCAGCAGCTACAAGATGAAGCAAAGAAGAATGCAATTGATCGGAGTCAATGAGAAAGCTCAAGATAGCACAAATGCCATAAAAACACTCTTCACAGAAATAATGGCAGAAAAGTTCCCAAACATGGATAAAGAATTTGACATACAAATAAGTGAAGCATACCGAACTCCAAATAGCCATAACCAAAATAAATTACACCACGGCATACAATAATCAAGATTCCAGAAATTCAGCACAAGAGGAGAATCTTGAAAGAGATTAGAGAAGAGACAAATCACCTATAAAGCAAAGTCAATCAGAATCACAGCAGACTTCTTGATGCAAATTCTCAAATCAAGGAGAGCTTGGAGAGAGTTATTTTAAGCCCTAATAGAAAACAAGCAATAACCCAGTTTGATGTACCCACAAAACTACATTTCAAACTCAATGGAGAAATAAGATATTTCCATGAAAAAGAACAAATGGAGGCTGGGGATTTAGCTCAGCAGCATAAGCACCTGCCTTGCAAGCAGGCGGTCATGAGTTCGATCCCTGGTACCGATAAAAATGAAAAAGACAAAAAAAAAAAAAAAAAAAAAAAAAAAAAAAAGAAAAGAAAAAGAACAAATGAAGAAGTCATGACCATCAAACAAATTCTCCAAAATACTCTAAGGGATATTTTACAAGGAGAAAACAAAGACCACAAATACAAGAACACCAACAGAAAGAAGCTACCAGGAAGGCAAGCAAATAAACAGGGGGAAAAGACAGGTAATCAACAAAAGAAAGTAATATGAGAAGGATAAGTGAATACATATCAATTATAATCATCAATGTTAATGGTATCAATTTACCAATCAAAAGAAACAGAGTGACAGAATGGATCAAGAAACAAAATTCACCTGGGTGTGGTGGCACACACCTGTAATCCCAACACTCGGGAGGCTGAGGCAAGGGATCACCGCAAATTTGATACCAGCCTGGGCTAACGAAAAAATCCCCAAAGCCCCGCAAGATCCAAAAATACGCTGCATACAAGAAACTCAGAAAGAAATTCAGAGACTGAAAGTCAAAGCATGGAAAACAATGCTCACATGACAAGAACCCAGAAAAAGGTACAGATACCTTTTCTATTTGCAGACAATGACTATTATTTTCAAGCCAAGATTGAATTTCAAGCCAAGAAGGTCAGTATATACATGCTAAGGGAAAACTCTAAGAGAGGAGATAACAATCATAAACAAACATATAACAAATACCAGTACATCCAACTACATAAAACAAATATTAACTGACATGGAAAATCAAGTAAGCACTAACACAATTTAATGCAAGACCTTAATAATCCAATGTCACAAATACACGGGTCAACTAGACAAAAAAATAATCAGAACTAAACCAAACCTGTAAACAAATGGACTCAGTAGATGTCTACAGAGTGATCCACCACCACTACATCATACTACATATTTTTCTTAGCTGCATATGGGACGTTCTCCAAAATAAGACAAAACAGTAGCTCACAAAACATGCTTTAGTAAATGCTGAGGAACTGAAATTATTCCATATATATTATCTGGCCGGAGAGAAATGAAAATGAAAAACAATGGCAAAAGAAATCACAAAAACTACATAAACACATGGAAATTAAACAGCACCATCCTGAACAACTAATGGGACACACAGGAATTTAAAGAATAAAGTAAAGAGTATCTACAATTAAACAATAATCTCAATATGATATACTGGAACCTATAAACACAATGAAAGCCATTCTATGAGGGAAATTTATAGCAGTGAGTTATCACATCAAGAAAACAGAATGAGCTCAAATGCAGAACTTAATGATAAATCTCAAGCTTCCAGAAAAGGAAGAACTTAAAAGCAAATGCTGTATAAGAGAAGAAATATAAAAGAACAGAAATTAATGCAATGGAGACTATGAAAACAATACAAAGAATCAATCAGCTGAAGAGTTAGTTCTTTGAAATATTAAATAAAATTGATTTGATTGTTGTATTTTGAAATTCAGTTTTCTTCTTCACTTTGGAATAAACTGGATTTGAAAAAAATAACAAATTAATTGATAAACTCATAGCCAACCTTACCAAAAAAAAAAAAAAAAAAAGACTCAAATTCACATAAGGACAAAAAAGGTGAAATCACAACAGATCCTACAGATCATCAATACCAACTTCAAAAACCTGCACTCTATTTTGTATTTTTATTTTTTTGGTACCAAGAAAAACCTGTAAGATGGAATAAGATGGAAAAATACAAAAGAAATGGACAGATTCCTAGACACATATGAACTGCCAAAACTCAATTAAGAGGATACAAAAATTCTAAATAACCTGTTATCAGCCAATGAAATTAAGAATGTAATAAAAAATCCACCAACAAAGAAAGCCCAGGTTTGGACAGATTGTGTTGAATTCTACAGGAAACTTAAAGAAAATCCAATGCCACTACTGTGGAAGTGCTTTAATGAAACTGAAAGTGAAGCAGTATTTCCAAAATCATACCTGGAAGCAAGTGTGACCCTGATACTAAAACCAGAGAAAGGCCAAAACAAAAAAAAGAAAATTCTAGGCCAATCTCTCTTATGAGTGAACATAGATGTAAAAACCCTCAATAAGATATTGGCAAACAAAATGCAGCAAAGCAATAGATGATTCAACAAGACTAAGCAAGATTCATCCCAAGGCTGCAGGGTTGGTATAACATATGCAAAACAATAAATGTAATATACTACATCAATAGAGCAAACGACAAAAATCACATGAGGATCTCAACAGATGCAGAAAAAGCATCTGACAAAGTCCAAAACCCATTCATGATGAAAAGCCTAGAGAAAATTGGATAGATGGTCTTTATCTCAACCCAGTAAAAGCCATGGATGACAAACCAATAGCCAACATCATAATAAATAGTCAAAAACTCAAAGTTTTCGCTCTAAAATAAGGAATGAGACAAGAATGTCCAGTATCATCACTCCTATTTAATACTGTTCTGAAAACATTAGCCAGAGCACTTTGACAAATGAAAGAATTAAAAGGAATAATAGGAAATCAAATTATTGTCATTTGTGTATGATATGATACTCTACATAGAAGACTCCAAAAACTGTATCAAAAGACTTGTAGATATGATAACCAAATTCAATAGTGTAGCTGTATATAAAAATCAGTGCTCAAAAATCAATACCATTCCTATACAGAAATAACAAATTCACTAAGAGAAAAACTAGGGGAACCAAATCTTTCACAATAACGTAAAAAAATACTTAGCAATCAGTCTAACAAATGAAGTGAAAGATGCATACATTGAAAATTATACTACTCTGAAAAAGGAGATTGAAAAGGATATCAGAAAATAGTAAGGTATTCCTTGCTCATGGATAGAAAGGACTAACAGTGAAAATGGCTATACTTCCAATATTGTTATACAGATTTAATGCACTCTCGATTAAAATATCATTAGCACACTTCACAGAATTAGAGAAAACAATCCTAAAATTCATTTGAAAGTACAAGTGGCATAGGATATCAAAGGTAATTCTGGGCAACAAAGGCAAGGCAGGAGTCATCACAATTCCTGACTTGAAATTATACTCAAAGCTACAGTGATACAATCAGTGTACTGATTTTATGGTACTGCAAAAACAAAACAAAAAAACAACCAACCAAACAAAAAAACCCACACACCTGAGGATCAGTGGAACATATTAGTGGATGCAAACACTACTCTAAACATACTTAGTCACTCTGTCTTTGACAAAGAGGTCAAACATGTTCACTGGAAGAAAGATAGCCTCTTTAATAAATGGTGCTGGAAAATCTGGCTTTCTACATGCCGAAAACTAAAACTAGAACTACTTCTACTACCATGCACTAAACTAAATTAAAAATGGGCCAATGATCTAAATATTAAAACAGAAACACTAAATCTGTCAGAAGAGAGAATAGGTAGAATTCTTGAAGACATGATGTAGGCAGAGTTCATGAACAAAATCTTGATCACATGGGAAACACTTCAAAGAATGAATAACTGGGGTCTCATCTTATTAAAATGTTTTTGCACATCAAAAGAAATCATCAACAGAGTGAAAAGATGACCCATAGGGTAGGAAAAAAATTTTAGCCAGTTGTCCTTCAAAGGACTTATATCTAGAACATATGAAGAATTTAAAAATATCAGACCAGTGAAATTTAAAGATCCAATCCAAAAATGGGCATCTGTGATAAATACATACTTTTCAGATGAAGAAATACAAATAGCAAATAATTTTATGAAAAAATGCTCAACGCCATTCAAGAGATGCAAATTAAAACCAATGCTGACATTCCTTCTCACTTCAGAAAGAATGGTTATAATCAAGAAATCAACCAATAATAAATGCTGGAGGAGCTGTGGGAAAAAGGAACCCTTCTCCACTGCTGGTGGGCGTTGCAGACTGGTGCAACCACTGTGGAAATCAGTGTGGAGATTCCTCAAACAACTAGGATTAGAGGTTTCATTAGACCCAACTATTCCCCTTCTGGGTATCTTCCCAGAAGAATTAAAAACATCTTACCACAGTGACATATGCACATCCATGTTTATAGTAGGACAGTTTGTAATAGCTAAAATCTTGGAAACAGCCCAAATGCCCATCAACCAATTAAAGATACAAAAGATGTAGGGTTTTTATATAACAGAATTCTACTCTGCCATAAAGTAGCATAAACTTCAGACATTTATTACTAAATGGACGGACTTTGAGACTATAATCATAAGTGAAAAAAAATCAGACACACGTGTAAATATTGCACTGTCTCACTAGGGTAGGAAACTGAAAGTATAAATAAAACCAAACTGGACAAGAGATATGGTAAAAAGTGAAGAAAGTACTCAAAAGGAAAGGGGAAGTAGGGAGAGAGCGGGGGAAAGGAAAAGAGAAAATGAGAAAAGGAGGATGAAATGGAAACAAAGCTTTGAAAATAAAGAGGAGCGGGGCTGGGGATTTAGCTCAGCGGCATAAGCACCTGCTTTGCAAGCAGGCAGTCATGAGTTCGATCCCTGGTACCAATAAAAACAAAAAAAAAAAAAGAAAAAAAAAACCGAAAATAAAGAGGAGAAAGAGTTGAATGGAGGGGTGGGAATGGGAGAGAAAAAGATGAAACAAGGTATATCATGTACAGGTACAAAGTCCCTGTGATGAATGCGATCATGGCATATACCTAAATTGTAGCAATAAACTGAATTAAATTAAAAAAAGAAAGCTAGCCAAAAAATAATACATATATAGATTTTTCTTATGGTTAAAAAAAGTGTTTTCTTAAAAAAATACACTGGAACCTGATTAATGTGTTTTGAAATTTTGTTGTATTTTTTTTCTTTTCTTCTTTTTCTTTTTATCCTTGAAATAAAACACATTTGGAAAAAATATATATACAATGGAGTACTACTCAGCTATAAGGAAGGATAAACCTCAAAGATTTCTAGGTAAATGGATGCAATGTGAGATCATACTCTTAAGTGAAATAAATTGGACTCACGTGTAAAAATATTGTATTGTCTCCCTGGTATGAGAAACTGAAAGAGTAAATAAGGACCAAAATGTTCAATAAATACTATGAAATGGGAACAAACTGTTTAAAAGGAAAGAGGAACTAGGGAGAAATGAAGGAAGGAAAAAGAAAATTTAAAAAAATTTGAAAAAAGAATAAAATGGAAACAAAGCTTTGTAAGTAGGGGAGAGAGGTTGAAGGAAAAAAGGGGGGAAAAAAGGAATCAAAATGTTATATACAGGTACACATTCCCTATAATGAATATGATCATCATATATATCTAAAATACATTAATAAATCTAACTTCAAAATAAAAAAAAATTTTTAAAAACCACTTAATGTATTTGTGATTTACTCCACTTTACATTAAATGGAATAAAATTGTTTTGAACCAACATACTGTCAAAGACAGTATTATTTACACATTTTCATGTTTTAACAAAAGCATTACAGATGACACTGAGTCTCATCTACGTTTTCTGATACAACTCACATTTGCTATTATTACCTAGGAGCACTGTAGAGCCAAGAGTTGGAGGTGTAGCTAAAGAACTTGACCAAGACATATCAGGATCCACCTCTGCTCCGAGACTCTCAGGAATGTGTTTTGGTGTCTGACCCTAGGAAAAAATGCAATAGTTTATTCTGCAGAAACACATTGATGATAAAGAATATTTTTCCCTTCACTTTTTTCATTTTTCATTACGGGATGCCTACGTACAGATCCACAATCTCACAGCAAGGTAAGACAGCATTGTCAAATTAATACATCATAAAGAAAAACAAGCAAATACTTACCTTCACAAGCCGGGGTGTATGAAATAAACTCCCACATATAACTGGAGGTGAAAAGAGAGAAATCATTAATTTTTATCTTTATTAATCTTTCAATGATTCTAAAAGTCTTGTTTTTGATCATACCTGGCATTTTTCTTTGTGGTGTTTTCTGTGTACATCGTAGAACAAGAGGACTAAAACAAAACAAATTCCTTAGGATATTAAAAATTAACATGGCCAAAAGGAAGTAAACCACTAGTTAACCTAATCCTTAAAGATTTTCAGTCATACCTATTGATACAATTACAGTACTTTTAAATATTATGTTATTTTCTCCAAAACCAAATCTCCTGAAGATTAAGTAGGTTACTAGGTGATATACTTTTAATTTAAAAACTATGTAATATAAATATCTAATGACATCATATCCCCTCCAAAAACTCAAATCACATAAACATTTACTCTAAATTGATATTTCAAGGAACTTACTGCTTTACTATTAATACTTCAGAAAGCCATAGAACATATAAAAACTAAATGGTTCAACATTACAAAAAAAATAAAGCAAATATTTCTAACATTAAAAACTCCTCAATTAAAGGACAGCCTTAAAGATTATTTAAAAACATGATTCTCCATCAGGCACTCAGATAAATATTAGGATGAAAGTTAGATTTCCATAAAATAAATACATTTAAAAAATGTTTCATTTTAATTTTTTTTCCAGTCCTAAGGACTGAGCCTAGGGCTTTCACATGGAGCTATACCCCCAGTCCTTTTTATTTTTATTTTACAGATGTGGTCTCACTCAATTGTACTAAGCTGCCAACTAAGATGTCTTAGCTCCCTGAGTGCTGGGATTACACGCATGTGTCACTACGATCTGTTTCATTTCAACATTTTAGTATGAGAGCTTCACCATACCTTTCACTGAAACAAGAATTCAGAGGTGGACTGGTAACATCACTTATTCGGTCCACGTTAGCCTTTACTGTGTGACAATTTTTAAGTTCAGTATCGGCAATATCCGTTCCTATAACAGTATCATTCAGCAATTAGTCTTAATTCTGAAATTTTGTACTTAAAAACAAAGTCTCATCTACACTAAGAAGAATATGAAGAGTTATTCCTCCCATATCAAGCATAGTATATGTGTAAGACCCTTTGGGCAATACTCCAATTTAAGACGTAAGTTTAACCTCAAAGAGTTCATAATCTAGTATTTCTGAAATAGTCACAAGTGGAATAGACGGTAGAACATGAAGCATTCTCCCATTAAGTTACAGATAATGGTATGGTATCAGAGAGAATCACCAAGGATAAGTGTAATAGAAAAGACATTATCCAAAAACCTACCAAGATACTGAATCTGACCATATCAGCCTACTGTAGAAAAAACTTCACTGAGATCCTATTTCAAGATCAAGTTCAAACACCATAACAAAGTGCAGCAATAAAGTCTTTGATTGGATGAGGGGTTTTGCTTTTGGCCTGTTTTGATGCTGGGGACAGAGCCAGGGCACTGTGCACACTGACTATGTGCTCCACTACTGAGCAGCAGCCTACCCCAGTTTGCTTTCTGCATTTTATGATGCCATTTTTGCACATTCTACTTTGCAGCTCTACCGAATCACTGCACATCCTGGAAAAATGCTCTCTTTAACCTATAGGACTTTGTACAAATGTTTCTTTTTCGCTCTTTTTCTTTTTAAGGCTTGTAGATAGAAACATCCTTTTTAAGGCTCCCATTTAGAAACTACTTCCCACGGGAACATTTAGTGTGCCCTGTGGTGAGCACAGGTGCTTGATCTTTTTGTGTGCTCTCTGAAGTTTATCATGAGATGTCCTTGTTTCCTCCCTTATTCTGTGAGTTTCTTATGGCACAGATTATGTCCTATCACTGATTTCCTAGCAAAAACAACACCTGGTATATTATGGTCACTCTGAATATATTGATTAAATCAATTAGCTAGAATTATGGAAAACTGTAGAGAGCAGTATATCTACTGTCATCAAATACTTTCCTAAGACAGTAACAGAGTTTCTAAAGCTATAGGTAGCTCTATCAATATCAAATCCTAATCATAGTTTTTCAGTATCCCTGTTTTCCCGTAAGTACTCTATGAAAAGTACTCAAGCCACACTACTGGTCGGTAGCCTCAGTTTTGTCACCCAAGGCATTTACTGTAATTCTTACAAAAAAACGCTTTTAACGGTAGTTATTTTAAGCCAGGCTTGGGTAGAACAGGCCTGTAAGCTAACACAGAAGAACCTCAGGTTCAAGCCCAGCTCGGGCAACTTACTGTTTTAGAGAGACCATATCTTAAAAAAAAAACAAAAAAGCTGGAGATAACATTTACTGTAAAGGCCCTGGGTTCAATCTCCAATACTGAAAAAATAAAATTGCTTTAACTGATCTTATAATCTCTAATTTAAAAAACATTTGGGAAAATAAATGGTACAATTTATTTATATAATAAACAATTCATATACTATTTTAAAAAATAACTGTTACTAGCCAGACACGGTAGTACATGAATCCCAGCCTTCGGGGAGGCTAAGGCAAGAAGATCACAAGTTTGAATCTGGCCAAGGCAACTGAAACTTCTCAGAAAATAAAAAGGGCTGTGGACACAGTTCAGTGCACAGGCCCTGGGTTCAACTCCCAGTGCTGCAAAAACAGACAACAAATCTATAAATGGTATGTAATATATGTATTACATATTACAACTGAACAAAGTTAAAAAAGTGTAATGTCTATTGCTTGCCCATTTCAGCAATGATTTTAAAATAAAAGCAAAAGGTATCAAGCAATTATTAATGCATTATAAACTTTAAAAAGTTAACTCCTTTGCAAGGAGTTCGAATGACCTTACTAATTCATTTCTATTCTTCTCTGGTTAGACAGGCCAATTCCATCAGGTTACAATAAATAATTAGCCAATGATTAACATAGTATGTTCAGCAAAAATTACCCAAACTCTTCCTTACATTACACAACAGGTGCTCAATTTACATAGCAACTTTGTATAGGTTTTTACTACAACATATCACACCAGCATGTCTGTCTTTCTCTCCTAAAAGACTGACTACCTAAAGGTGAAACGCTAGCTCGTTCATGTTTGTACTGTTAATGGTAGCAAGCCACCCGGCATAAGCAAGCATTGAATATTTGCTGAATGGATGATTTCACTTTTGTCCTTTTCTCTATTGTATCTGTCAAATACTCCTCAAAGCTCTCCTATACCTCATAATTTTCTCACTATATATGACCTTATCATTTTCCAAAAAAAAGTTTATTTTACACCAAGTTCTCCTGACTGTATTCTTTCCCTAGTTTCAGCCTTTTCCTCCTCAAAACCTGCAGAACACCTTCACCTTAACATCCCACTACTGTCTCAAACTATAGCCCAGAACTCAAGAACTTACTTATGCTCTGCCTTGTCATTTGTCTTTTGCATCTCTCCATGTCTAGGCTACTCCCGGGTCTGATAATTTCCACCTTCCATATCTATTTTCCCTATTACAGTAGCCACCCCTTACCCTTGGGGGATATATTCTAAGACTCAGTGATGCCTGAAGCTCAGAGTGCTCACTCCTGTTATGCCACGTTTTCCCCTAGACATGTGCATGTAGGATAAAGTAGGCACAGTGAGAGATTAACACTATAATAAAATAGAACAATCGTAACAGACACTGTGATGAAGTTCGTGAATGTGAGCTCTCCCTCAGTCTCACTGGGCTGCACCCATCCTTCTTGTGATGTGAATGGATATTATGCTTACAAAATGGAATGAAGTGATGCAGGCATCATGATATAGCATGAGGCTACTATGCAAGTTACCAGAACACAAACAGCACTGTACTGCAGGTCAGCTGGATGACTGAGATAGCTTGAGTAAGAAGTTAGGGCCTACAGAAAACGACAATGCAAGACTTCACCATGCTTCTCAGAAAGGTATACAATTTAAGAATCATTTACAGCTGAAAATTTCCACTTAATATTGCAGTTGACTTTGACTAAATGAAACCGTGGAAACTTAAAACATGAAAAAGAGGGGGTTAGTGAACTAATTCACGCACCTGGTCTCATCATGTGAACACCAAGTGCTTCCTTTTTCCCCTCCCCTTGAGTACTGGGATCGAACACTGATCAACATCCCAGGCCTTTTTATTTTTAGACAGGGCCTTCCTGCACTGTCCAAGCCGGTCTTGAATTTGCACTCCTGACTCAGCATCCAACGTTGCCAAGACCACAGGCACATAGCCTAACTCATCTTCCCACCTCCTATCTTGTCTTATGAACACCCAGGTAGTTTAAGAAGTAGGGCTTCTACTCTAGGAGACTAAGTAAGGCAGGATAAGGGCAAATTTGAGCCCAGTTGGGGCAACTGAGTAAGATCCTATTTCAATAGTTTAGTGTCAAGACTCTGGGTTTGATATCCAGTACTCGTGAGGGGTGCGGAGTAGGGGGCTGGGCTTCATTTCCAGATATTCTAATTCAAAAGATTCAGCACAGAACCTGGAATGTACCCTGGAATTTCAATTAGCACTCCATAGAGTCCAATGGCCTATGCATCATATTTTGAAAAAACATTATTTCCAAAGACTGCTTCCAAATCATTAGGCTTTCTGAAGTAAATTTTCATTCAACAAATATTTACCAAATACTTACTGTGTATACCACTTGAAATGCAATGATGTATGGAAAACCTTTGCCTATTACCTATGTTTCCTTCATATGTGAACCTCCTAGTGCCACCAATTTCCTTTCACAGCACGCATCACACTAATATTGCTTTCGCATGTCTCCTTCACTAGAAACTCCATAGGACAAGACAGGGAGCATTTTTTCAAAAGCAGACATATATAAGCCAAGATCTAGAAGATGAATGTGTAAACTAGAGAAAAGGTAGGAAGAAGCAAGCAAGCTGCGGCAACAATACTTATAAAGAGAACAGAACTCTCCTCAATACAATTTGTCCTTTTTCTTAACTCTTTTTATTCTTCTAGCAGATATCACACTCAATCACACATAGTACTCTACTTTAGCTCTGTAATATTTATTCCCTTCATCAGAGAATAATACTCCAAACAAAGGGAAAGTACATTCCTTATGTAAGCAGGCATCAAATATTTGAATGAGGAAATATAGGATCTTATTACCTAACTGCTTGAAAATATGTAGTACCGAGGCTAGAGAAACTTACCAATTAAAAGATATTTATAGCAAATTGATAAAAATCATCTCTGCCCTGCTACAGTCTGCAAAATATAGTTCAATCAACATCAAACCAAAGCCTATGTTTTTCAATATAAAGACAAAATTCAGTAAATCTCAGGTGCTGGGATATATTAAAGGAGAGAAAAAAGAACACTTACTAAGTATCTACATTATTTTACTTAATCCAAATCTACTGAGTATTATTTGATCACCTATTATTTAAGAAAAGAAAGCAAGGCTAGAGAGACTGTCTGCTCAATACAACAGAGAGTGCAGAGATTTTAAAACTTGTTTGCCTGAATCACACTTTCCCCTCATCCACCACATCATAGTTACCCAAGATTAATTTGGATTTACCTAATTCATTTAAAGGAGACTGGTATAGTGGTAGAGTTTGGCCTTGCTCTTTGAATATTATTGGAGTTGAAGCTAATTGATAACAGGGTTTTCTTTGTGGTGTTTTAAATGGATTGGGCTCATAAGTGTTGACTTTATATTCAGATTCTTCTGCAGGTTCAGAGTTAAAGGGTGGAGCCTCTGAAGAAAGTTCTTCAAACCAATTAAGACTTATAGGTCCTAAATCTGTAAGAGAAACAAAAAACTCACCTTAATCAATGACACAGAAAAATTTATCAGGCAATAAAAGTCATAATAAAGGATATGTGAAATTCATTACTTAAGGCATGTTATATAAGCAAGGTAATCCATTATCTAATAAGGAGATAACACTTAGCTATATTAGCCTTTTATTTATATCTAACATTTACTTTCTTGTCCTAATATTAAAAAACCATTCACAATAAGAATGTATTCTCCTATATGAGTGTATGTGGCACATTTATGGGTACAAGAAACATGTACCCTATCAAAACTGGAAAAAAAAAAAAAAAAAAAAAAAAACTTCCAGGAAGATGGCAGAGTGGTAAACAGCCAAGAAAGAGCCAGACACTGGAATATGCATTGCAAGGAAGAGAAGAAAGAGAAAAGTGGGTCCCCTGGGCCCAGGAAGGATCTGAAGCAAGAACGGAAGCCCAAGGGGAGGGTGAAGAGAGAAACTTCAACAAAGGAGCAGGCAGCAGTGGTGTCTTCTCCCTGACTGGGATTCATTGTGTGGCAGAAGCAGTTCAAATCTGTGACTGCTGGCAACCCTAGAGGCCTCCATGGAGACATGCAGCAGTGCAATGGCGAAGCAGACCCCATGGACTGCACTGGCCAGCCATTGATGTGGCCTTCCCACGAAGACAGCCATTGGCCAGGAGCCATCTTGGCCAGGGGCCAACAGAGCCTGGAACTCAGAACAACTGCAGGCTCCCTCTAGTGGCTCCCAGCTGAGTAACAGCCTGCAGAAAGTGCACTGTCTGCCGCAGGCTAATAGATCTGGTTCCAGCCTCAAGCCAGAAACCAATCTGAACATAAGAGGAAGTAAGGGTGCAGGCTCGCGGAGATTACCCATCACCCTGCCATAAAACTACTGATGCCTTGCTGGGATAAATCACCATGGATCTGGACTCTGTCTCCACATGCTGTCTACAGTGATAGCAGTGACAAACCTTGATGTGGATTTTTTTTTTCTGTTTCTCTTTTCTTTTTCTTTCTTCTTTGTTTGATGTTCTTTTCACATGAGTGTGAATGTGGTTTCCAGCTTTCTGGTGGTTGTTCTACTGTTTTGTTCTTCCTTTTATTTTTTCCTTCACTCTTTCCCTCTTGCCTCGTGTACCAGTTTCCCAAAGTTTGCATGATCCTCCTCTGTCTTTCAGCTCTGCTTCTAATCTCTTCCTCTTCTCCTATTTCTCTATTTCCCCCCCCCATAACCCCTTTTAAATTTTCTTCCTTAAGGATAATATTGGCATACTGAGGACCTATTTGCAATTTTCTTGTTTGTTTTAGATTTTATTATATAACCACAAACCTAGTTCATACAGATAAAGGTGGAAAATTAATGGTTACCTCAGTTTGTCATTATCTAGGCTGTGTTTGATGCTACTGTTACTGATTGTACCACTTTAGCCAAAGTGATGTAATTGTTCTAACCAGTAGCTCTTCCTGACATACCAAGACTGAATTGACTAAGGGTCATGAAAAATACTGTAGGCCAGTGCTAAAGAACCAGGGCTTGGGCCAAGTAAGCAGTAACTTCTCATTCCAATGAATTGAAGAGGTAGAATCCTGCAAGAGAGTCAAAACCCAAAAGCCCGCTACATCTGGAAGACACTTCTGAGAAATAGTCATTTTCTAAGGGTTCTAAATATCACCAATAAAGCAACTTACAACCATCAATTTACAAACATTAACCCACAAATTAAACTTAAAAAAAGAAAAAAAAAGAAAAAAAAAAAAAAAAAGCAAATGAGAAGACACTTCAACAAGATGCAAACCCAGACATCCTGTTCGCCAAAGGCAAACTTAGGGCGCTATGAGGTGGAACACTCTGAAAGCCAGCCACTTGGAGTCTCTGAAGTGATAACAACAAAGCAAAGAAACAAGGCTCTAGAAAAAAAATCAAATCAGAAATCATTTCTCCAAAAACAGCTACAGAGATGATGACCACAATGAACAACATGCTTAGTGACTCCAGAGCAGATACAGATTAAAAAAGAAATAGAAGAGCTTAGGAAAATGGTGGCAACCAGTAATGCCTAACAGAAGAAAGTAATAGAATCCATAAAACAGATTCAAGCAAGTAATCAGAAGACTAAGAATTCCACTGCAGTAGCCACAACAGAATGACTCAATGGGAAGATAATCTCAGACACAGAAGACAGGTTTATGATTAGAGATCATGAAAAGAAAGATTGCTTAAAAATAGCAGCAGGCCATGAAAAATCAATCCAGCAGCTGCTAGATGATGCAGAGAATAACATAAGATTGATTGGAGTCAATGAAAAAGTGAGAAATAGCATAAATGATACAAAATCTGTGCATAAATATGGCAGAAAACTTCCCAAACATAAAGAATTTGATATACAAGTAAGTGAGGCATAGAGGACTTCAATTAGCCATGATTTTAAAAAGTCTATAGCAAAGCATATAATAGTCAAGATTCCATAAATTCAACACAAAAACAAAATATTAAAAGCTGTTAGAAAAAAGAAACAAATCACCTATTAGGGAAAGCCATCAGAATCACAGTTCATTTCTCAACACAAACTCTCAAGTCAAGGAGGAATTGGAGTGAAGTATTTCAAGCCCTAAAAGAAAACAACTTCCAACAGAGACTGATGTACTCTGAACATCTGAGGAAATTCATGTACACCAAACTAGCACTTCAAAACATTCGGAAGGACATTCTAGAAAGACATAACAAGGACTACAATTCCATAAGCTTCAAAAGAATGAATTCATCAGGCAAGGTAAACAATTAAACAGAGAGGCAAAAAAAAGGGAGCCAACTACAGGAAAACAACAAGACAAAGATAAGTCAGTGCATACCAGTTGTAACCATCAATGTTAATGGTCTCAATTTATTAAAAGAAACAGACTAACAGAATGGATCAAGATCCAAGAATATGCTGCATAAGACGGGCACATTTAATTAAAAAAAAAAATTCATGAAAGTCAAAAGATAGGAAACAATATTCCATGCAACAGGAATTCAGGAAAAAGCAGAGACAGCTATTCTATTTGTGGACAAAGTGGATTTCAAGCAAATACTGATCAAGAAAGATAAAGAAGGTCACTATATCCTTGTAAAGGGAACAATACAAGAGGAAGAGATAACAATCATACATATATAGGCAATAAGTATCAGTGGACTCAACTATATAAAAACATATCAACAGACATAAAAAATCAAATAAGCACTAACACAATTGTACTGGGAATCTCAGTAATCCAATGTCACAAATAGACAGATCAACTAGACAAAAAAATCAACAATGAAATATTAGAACTGAACTAAATTTTTTTTTTAATTGGTACTGGGGATCGAACTCATGACCACCTGCTTGCAAGGCAGGTGCTTATGCGGCTGAGCTAAATCTCCAGCCCCTGAACTAAATTTTTGAAAAAATGCACCTAACAGATGTCTAGAGAATGTTCTATCCCACATCAGAATACACGTTCTTTTCAGCTACACACAGGACATTCTCCAAAGTAGACCACATACTAGCTCATAAAACATGCTTAAATAAATGTAAAGGAATTGAAATTATCCTGTGCATATTATCAGACCATAGTGCAACAAAATTGGAAATTAATGGCAAAAGAAATCTCAAGAACTTCATATTTAAATGAAAACTAAATAACACTCTCCTCTACAATCAATGGATCACAGAAGAAATTAAAGAAGACATTAGACAGTTTCTACAAATAATTGATAATGCCAAAACAACATACTGGAACTTATAGGACACAACACAAGGAGTCCTATAAGGGAAATTTACAGCAGTGAATATCCCTATCAGGAAAACAAAATGAGTTCAAATAAAAAACTTAATGTTGCTTCCAAAAAAAGATGAGCAAGTCAAGCCAAAGCTCGTACAAGAGAGGAAATTATAATGTTCAGAGCAAAAGTTAATGTAATGGAAACTAAGAAAACAATACAAAGAATCAACGAATCAAACAGTTGCTTCTTTAAAAGATTAAATAAAACCAACAAACCCTTAGCCAACCTTAAAAAAAAATAAATAAGAAAGAAAAGACTCAAATCCATACAGTTAGGAATGAGAAGGGTGAAATTGCAACAGATCCTGCAGAAATCCAGATCATGTATACATACTTTAAGAACTTATAGTCTCTTTTAAATTTTATTTTACAGAGAATAAAAATACGCAAAATAAAACAATAAAGCCAATCAAAACAAAGCAGTATAAGTGACACAGGACTTCAAAAACAATATGAAATCAACGATGATTACCATAATGCCTCTTGTTGTCTTCAAAATAACTGCCCATATATTCTTACATAGTAGAAATCAAACAAAACACAACAGAATAGAACCAATAAAAACAAAACAATGAATGCAATAAAGGACTTCAAAACAAGACAACAGTAAATTCAAAATGGCTACTATAATATATCTTGCTATCTTTGAAATCACTGTCCACGCCACTGGATATAACACAATCAAACAAAACAAAACAGCATAAAACCCAACCCAACCAAACAATGAAAATGATATAGGACTTCCAAACAAGATAACAGGGAGTTAACAATGGCTACCACCTTCAGGAGATTCCTCAAGATGCCACACTGCGTAATTATCCTCTGAATAGATGATCAGACTGATGGCCCTAGACCTGCAGTCAGTGAAACACCAGACACCACAAACATCAAATTGCATTTCACCTTTATAACTATCGTTGCAGTGTGTTTCTCCAGATCAGCAGGTTGCTTGGGGGGTGGGGTGTGTATGTGTATGCTGGGCGTTGGGGTAGGATGGCAGGTGGGCTCTTCTTGTTTCCCAGTCTTCGAGCCGGCAGGGGCTGGGGTCTGGCTGTCCCCTTGTGTGGCCCATACATAGTGCCGATTTGCAGGAGGGCTTATGAACTTGCATTCTAATAAGATGGAAAACGCAGGAAAAAATGGACAAAGTTCTAGATCCATATGAATTATCAAAGCTGAATCAGGAACGTATAAAAATT